GCACTGTGCAACACAACAAAGGTATGTAACGCGGTTTTTTTTTTTTTTTTTTTTTTTTTTAAGTGAAAAGATAAGTAAATCAAATCGAACAAATAAATCATCCGCGCGTTTATTTTCAGGATATGGAATTTACGTAAACAGCTCGTACGGAATGACGCACATTAACGACTGCACGGTACTCGAGAACGGAGCGGACGGCATAAAGTACGTGCACTCGGATGAGCGACCGGACGACAAGCTGGATCGCAGCGGCATTTACGATCTCTGCACTTTTCCCAAAACGGCCAGTCAGGTCTTTCCCGTCACCATATTCATGGAACAGACTAAATATTCTTCCAGAATAAAACAATGCACGCAGGTGAGTCATTTGCTCGCTGCCAAACCAAGCAACCGAGAAGTTGAATTTCGATGCTTCGCAAAACAAAATACATCGAAGTAAGTTTGTTAATTGGCGATAATTTGTTGCTGCAGCATCTTTTAACGTGGTCGAATCGCGTTCTGACAATGCACTTTCTTCAAATGAGAACCGACAGGAATGACAGCGCTGTCATCGAGGTGTACGATGGCGACAGGGAGGACAGACTTTTGGCTCGCGTTAAAGTCAGAAATGGCACGTTGCCGCAGAGCGTGACCTCGACGCGTGAGAATCTCTTTGTAAAGTTTATGGCGGATCCTCTGGCTAGCACAATCGTGTTCGTGCGATTATCTGCGGGTTACAGTAAGTATTATATTTCTTTCCAGGAATTTGTAACAAATTCGCTTTTGTCCGTAGAGAGATTGTAGTTGTTCTTTATATTGTAATTTCTCTCGTTCGACAGAAAAGACGTACGATCTCAATGTAACCGGCAGCACGATAACGAGCAACAACGGCCGCGGCATCGTCGCGGAGAAGCTAAGATCTGCTCTGCACATTCACGAGACCTCGGTGTCGAACAATCAACACGTGGCCGGCGTTCACGTGTTGGGCGGTGCGATGGACGTCAATATCACCGACAGTCGTATTTCGTTCAATCAGGGGGACGGTATTAACATTACCGTTACGGGCGGCAGTCGCAACGTGTCGCACAGCAGTGTGTCGTCCAACCGCGGTTACGGCTTCGCGGTGTGGCTGAACGACAGCTCCGCTACGGAATACGAGTATTTCAATCAAACAACAGTGATCGAGTACTCGCAAATATTATGCAACACAGACATCGGCATTCTGGTGCGTGAGAGTGTGGAATATTTAAATAATATATTTTTAAGAATTTTTTAATTGTTTTATAATTTAATATATATTTATATTGACGTTTTCTTTTTTTGGACGATAGGTCGGCAACGCAACCGGCAACTCGTACGTGAACATCACCGGCAATTGGTTCAATTCCAGTTCGGAAACGGCGTTGCAAGTGGAATCCAGTTGGAGGAGAGACAACGGATTGATGAAACTGCAGATCGGACACAATTCTTTCATACAGAACGCAAAACTGGGTATCAGACTGAGCCCGGCGCTCAATCTCGACGCTACGATAGAATACAATCACTTCGTGGATCAGTCGAATGGCGGAATTCTAATAAGAAATCCTCTCTACGAGGAATTCAACGTTTTGCCCGCAGAGATTGTGATTCGACACAACGAGTTTTACAACAATCGCGGCACTTTCGTGGTCAGCATCGGTTTGTCGCCCTACAGCGACGTGCAGAAGCTATTGTTCACGAGGAACTTCTTGCGAAACAATCGCGTTTGGGAGCTGTTTGACAATGGCGGTACGCCGAACGTCAAATTGATACCGCGCTCCAGAGTGGCCGCGGTCGTCGTCGTATCTTCGAGCAACGTTGAGGTTTTCCGTAACATCTTACAGAATCCCGAGTCGCGTTACGAAATCGGTTCTCATCTCGAAGATCAGAGCAAAGTTATCAATTGCACTTACAATTGGCTGGGATCTGGAGAGGAGAAGATAATATTTAATCGACTGTTTTACAGGTACTGTTACTTTTGAATATATTTTTAATACACATAGGATCTTGAGTTACAAAACGGCAAAGTAAAATTGTTAACTTTGACTCTTTAGGAAGGACAGATACAATCTCGCCAAGATCGAGTACTTACCCTACTTGCTGCACTCCAGCAATCCCGGCACGAACACCATAATTCCGAATCCGATGTTCGTGCCGCAATTTGTCACACCAGGCACGAATCTCGTCGGCGGAGAGGTCGACGGCCAGGAGGAATTAAAAGCTGGAGAGTACATCGTCGAGCGCGACATAAACGTGAGACCAGGCGGCAAGTTGATACTGCAACCGGGCGTGACGTTACGCTTCCCGCCGGCCGTGGGGATGATGGTTGCCGGCAAATTGGACGCGCGCGGCAAAGGACCCGGCAACATCCTGTTCACGCTCAAAGAGGAACTCGCTGTGACACCGAACAATGAGACTCATGAGGACGAAGTTATTATTAACCATATCGACGATGTGGAATCCGCGTCGGTGAGGCTTCTCGGTGGCAAAACGAATCTCGAAGGGAGACTGCAGGTAACTCGAACATATTTACATTCGGGGTGTAAATTCGAGCAACAGTTCATTATTACGCTTTTACTTTCTGATATTAAATAAAGTTTCAATCTGTAATAATTTGTTTTTGTTTTTCTAAGGTGAAAATTGGGAATAAATGGGGCACAGTGTGCAACTACGGCTGGACGATTCTGGACGCAGCCCTCGTTTGCCATCAATTGGGATTCATCCTCGACATTGAGAATTGGTTTATGGAACGATCGCAAATACCGAACGCGGGGATCAACGAGGATATACTTCTGAGCAACGTTCGGTGCACCAAGGACGACAACGACATAACGAAGTGTCGCGCGGAGAGAGAGCAGGATTTCGAGAACTCGTGCACTCATGCCAACGACGTGGGTGTTAGATGTTTGGAGGCGGCGTGGGCGGGTCTTAGATTGGGACCGTTGGCTCAAAGAAGCGATCTGCAATACGTGACCATTGAGAAAGCGGGTTTGCTAGACTACAAAACAAATTCATTCAAACCAGGTAAGTCCGTTACTTCTGCAATTGGTAGAATTCAAATTGTATAGATAACGTCGTGTTTTGTTTTAACAGCTTTGCAAATTGATTTTGCTCGTCATTCGCTGGACGGAGTCAGGGTCGTCAACAACCTGCAAGACGGGCTGGGAATTTTGTACTCGGACATATATTCGGCGGGCGCGATAAATACCGTAACCAACAGCGAGTTTTCCAATAACGGCGGAAGCGGCGTCAGTTTCAAGCAGCTGGGCATGAAGATAATCAATTCGCGCGTCGAGAACAACAAAGTCGCGGGAATAAAACACAATCCCGCTCTCTCGGCGGTTCAGCAAAGAGAATTTGCGGGATGGTTCTTGCAGACTCCGGACACCACGATAGATTCTCCGTACGATCCCGTCATTTTACCGGAAACGAACGAGAAGATCGAGCTCGAGAATGGAGAGACCAAGTACATCACAACGACCAAAGTAACCGGCCAGTCTGTACGACGTACTATTAACATCAGATGCACCACGTTGAGCTACGTCGTCGGAATTCAGTTGCTGAACCCGATAGAAAATCGCAGCACGGAACAAATTATAATTCACGATTCGCAGTATCTGAGCAAGACTCAGATAAGCTGGCACGTAAAACGGGATCTGAGCGTTTTCCCCGTTACATCCAGTTCCTACATGATCATCTTGGAGTACAGCAGCGGCGAAAACGCTCTTGGCGGTGTCGTAATGGCCGTTACGTCGATTTTATCTCCAACGCAGAATAAAGACTACAACAGAGATTACAAAGACAATAAAATCACCGGTCCTATTCCCACGTTGTTCGTCACAAAAACGAAAATTAAAGGCAATCAGAAAGGCATACTCGCGTACTACTACAATCGGTATTTGAACGAGATCGGCGATCATTTTCTGCGAAAAGCTAACGAGACCGTTCAGCTGATTGGTTGCGAGATATCGCACAATCGCGAGGAGGCTGTTTACGTTTACTCGCCGTACTGGAACATTTTCCAATCGAATCTGTCCGAGATATCGATACACATAAACAACAGTCTGATCATAGACAACGGCAAGGGCGTACATCAGTTCAGTCACGACGCCAGACACTCCAACAATCTTTTCCACTGGATAATGCAAGACAGCACTGTCGAGAGAAATCGCGGCGGCGGATTCGAGGTGTTGCTGCCGGACGTCTGGCAGTACAACGAGAACTTCACGCACTCCTTGTACTTCGGGAACACCACTTGGCGTAACAACGAGCAGTTTGGTTTCGTGGTGGACGGCCATTTCGCTCACCTCAACATGTCCTACAATCACTTCGACAGCAATCGTTGCAAAACCGGTCTGATATCGATACGCGGCATGGAGAAGAGGATCAAGATCGATAACAATCGCATCGAGGGCAACAGCGGTGCTTACATGGTCGAGTTCCGTGCGGACAGTCAGTCCGAGATTCTCGGCGATGTATACGCGCGCTTCTTCTACAACGAGGTCAAACGAAACACCTACGATCTCATCGGCATGGGGCCGCGTCGTACGTTCGACAATCCCAGCTACGTCGTCGGCTTCCACGGCATACAGAAGGTGGAAGTCATCAAGAATCTCTTCGGCGAGAACTCGTTGGATTACGAGTTACTGGCCGGCATCAGAACGGCCAAGATTAACAACGAGGTGGACGTTAGGGAGAATTGGTGGGGCACCGCCAACGACACTCTCATCAGACAAAGAATCTTCGATTTCGACGACTGGAACGATCACGCCGTGGCCAATTACAGACCGTACTTGATGAGAGACTCGCTGGACGCGCACATTTCCGCGAAGTGGCGCGTAAATCCGGAGACAATCGACTTGGACAATCTGGGCGGTCGTATAATCGATAATCTCTCGCTCTACGCGAGATCCGAGCCCTACGTTATACGTTCCGACATCACGATCATGCCGGAGGCCACTCTGCGCATCTATTCCGACGTTGTGATGGAATTCGCTCCCAACGTGGGAATCCTGGTTCTGGGAACTCTGAAAGCCGAGGGCGCGGTTGGTCACGAAATCGTAATGAGACCGATGAAGCGCACGGACGCGAGCGCGAGCTCCGCGTTCGCAAAACCGGCGCCGCTGAAGAATTCCGCCAATCTCGTCTCGATAACGGACGAGACGATCCGTCTGTGCAAGGACGGACGCTGCTCCACGTTGTATCACGAGGGATTTCTGGAGTACTTCAACGAGACGACTCTGCAGTGGATTCCCATATGCGACGATCGGTTTACCGAGCGCAACGCGGAAGTCGCTTGTCGACAACTCGGTCACGACACCCTCAACGTCTACGTGTCGTACGATCGCAGATACGAACTTCATCCCGGATCGTTGACGCGCGTGTGGTCCTGGCCCGAGCCGCTGCAGTGCTCCGGAAAGGAGCCGAGTCTCAAGGATTGCCAGATCAGACTGAACGGTCAGCTGTTCGGTCATCGTCACGAATGCCCGTGGGACGGAAAGTTCGTGTTTCTTCACTGCGGCAGACGAAATCTGGACGACGCGTACGATTATTGGGGCGGGATACGAATCGCGAACAGCGAGTTCGAGCATTCTCTTTACGAGCATCGCATCCACGACGTCGTGACTCACGAAACTCACAGACACGTCGAGTCGGTTCTCAAGTACATCAACATAACCGGCGCTGGAATTTTGCATTTCGAGAAATCGTCCGCCATACAGTCGATCATGAGATCTCCGGCGGTTGTGCACGTCACCATCGAGCAAAGCGCTTATCACGGAATCAACTTCGTGTCTCCTACGAACACGGTGGAATTGTTGTTCAACACGATCAACAACGTCCTGGGCAACGGCGTGAATATACTATCTCTGACGGGAGAAGGCCGCGAGGCGGACGAGAGCTCGTTCACACCCATCAAGGACCTCAATGTCCCTTATCACCTGTTCAGCTTGATCGACATGTGCGACACCACTAAGGAGATCACGATCGAGGAGCGCGTGATTGTCTATTACAAGTACGACAATTATCCGGTGAATTGCGTGAAGATCTTCCGTAGCACGGACGGAGCGAAACCGTTCGGATTCAGACTTTTGCAATTCAATCTTTACAACAACACCGGCAAACCAGGCCGTGCCGACGGTATTGTTTTGTACGACGGGGACATCTACAACATCACCTCCAAGAAGATTGGCCACTTGGAGGCAAACACTCCCGACGAGAAGAGACTGTTCAGAACGCGAAACCCCAGCCTCAGCGTGAGATTCTTCGCTAATGGCGCCAGCAACGTACACGGATTTATCGCGGAAATCGTGACTCTTCCGATATCCGCCATCGGATTCAATCGCGACGTTCAGCACAACGTGTCTTACTCCGTGATGTCGAACTGTCGCGAGGGCGCGATGAAGTACGCGAGCGCCGGCGAAGTGAACGCCATAATGACGATCGAGCGTAATCAGTTTGTCAACAATTGCGAGAAGCTGTACGGCAACTTTTCCACGTGCAAATCCGCGTTGTGGCTCGATGTTCAGAACACGCAGTCGCTTTACTTCAGAAACAACCTGGTGCGACGTAATCAAGGCGGATTGTCAATTCGCGCGGATTCGAGAGGTTCGGCAACGTCGCTCAAGGGATGGATTCACAACAATTTGTTCGCGGAAAATTTCAACAAGCCCGCGTTGTACGTCGAGGGTCGTCAGAGCAGTCCGTATCAGGAAGTGATCATATACAGAAATTATTTCACAAAGAACAACGCCCCGTACGACAACAATATTGTTCTTAAGCAAGTGGTCAGCAATATGACGCTCAATTATCTGCACGGAAACCTCGGCATGCATCTGTTGGAGATTTCGGGATTCGAAAAGGTGCGGTTGCCAATTTATCAGAGCACGTCTCACAACGGTTTTTACAAAAATTACGCGGTGGATCGCGAAGGTCGCAGCACCATAGTCGCCGGCACACCCGGGCAGCAATACGTCGACAACGTGTTCTTCAATCCCGACAACGATTACGAGATGCTCACCACAAATAGATCTCAACAGTTCAAGATATGGACAGCTCACGTGGACGCGCGACACAACTGGTGGGGATACAACGAGACCCTGGCGGTCGCGGGACGCATCAGGGATCGCGGGGACTCGCCTGAGCTGTTGGAGGTCGATTATCAACCCTTTCACATGAACAATAAGTCGGTGTTGAACGGCAAGTGTCCGCCCGCTTGGGATCTCGTCGGCGACACGTGCTACATCTTCATCGGTGCGCCCATGGACTTCTACAGCGCGCGGGATTTCTGCAGATTGGCGAACGCGTCGATGCCATTTATCATGGGGGATTATCGGGAGCTCTGGAGATTCGCGCGAAGACAGCAAGAACGATTAGATTATTCGGAACGTTTGTGGGTGCAGCAGTTGGAACGTGTGGATCAGTGCACGATCTTCACGTATCAGACCATTGAAATTGATCATTGCGCGCAACCCAATCCGTTCGTTTGCGAGATCGATCCGAAGGTCCACATCGATCCTCTGTCGTGGAGAAAGGATATCGTCGCGGTCGGAGTTCTGGGAGCGGCTGGTGTCGCGCTCGCGCTGCTCACCGCGGCGATAGCGCTGTGGGTTTCTAAATCGAAAAAACGCAAGATCGAGAGACTGGAGAGACGCAACTCCATCAGACAATCCATGCATTCTCTGCGTTCAATTGGCTCCACGTCCGGTTTCACTGAGCTTGCTTATCGGCGGAAACCAATCGCGGTAAATCCGATTGATGTGTAACTTTTAAAATTGAGATTGAATCGCGTGAATTGTATACACCAGTTGTTTCGTTTTCGCAATATTACGACAGTAGCGTTTAATTTATTTTCAGGAAAATGGAGAAGAAAGTTTTTATACAAACACGTTGTTTTTTTTTTTTTTTTCAGACCAAACAATCCACGGACACGCTGAATTCGAAGTCGCTCGATTACAAGCGTATGCTGAACGGCGGGAGTTTGGACTCGATGGACAAGTCCCAACTAAACTCATCGATAGAGGACAATCAGAGTTACGACGTGTACGAGGCTCACAATCCGCGATATTCGCCGAGCACGAGCGATTTCAAGGACGCGCAGAAATACGGCGCGGCGCAGAGCATCGACAATCCGGTTTTCGATCTGGCGTATCGCAACGAGGGATTTCGTAATCATTCGACTTTCGCGGCGAGAAACGACGTCGCCTCGAACTGGCCGTCGCAACCGAACGTGCGATCGACCTCGATGGACGAAAATCACATGATGGCCGATTCTAACGAGAATTCGTACATGAATAACGCGTCCACGTTGCCGTTGAATTCGAGTATGGCGTTCACCGATTCGATAAGCGAGCTGAAACGCGACATAGAGGCGTCATCGACCGCTTACGACCCCGTGGAATACGATTCGAGACGCACGGCCACGTTGACACCGAGCCAGGCGTCCGAGCCGGTTCCGGAGTACGCGTCTGACTTCCAGCCGCCGGTGCCGCCTCATCCCTATCACTACGAGGCCGAGAGCAGACCGAGAAGCGAGGCGCTGCTCGAGACCAACTTCGACACGGGCGAGGAGAAGCCGCTGCGATCGAAAAGCGAGGTGTTACTGGAGACCAATCTGGACGCGTTCCTAGTCAACGAGCCTACGGAACTTACGCAGTTGTCGGCGTCCGCGAGAAGCAAGAGTCAGCCGCTGGAAACGGCGATGTAGAGCTCTGAATTTTTACGACGGATATTCGCGTTGTCCGCAGTTCGGACGCGAACAGAAACATTGCGTGCCAAATATCTCCTGGCGATATAGACACTGCCAGCTACGACGTGTCGCACAATAAGAGATTTATCTAAATCGCTCACAATCGCTGCCGATTTACACGACACTGTGTGTGCCATTTCGAATGAAAACAGCACGAACCGAGAAAAGAACGCGATACGCACAATAAATAAAATGTTGCCTGCTGAACGAAGCAGTTGAACTTAGAAAAAATAACGTGACGCCAACACGAACGTTGTAGCTCATTGTTAAATAGAATCACTGATGAGAGTGTTCGTCTCTCGCGTCGACAAGAACTTACACAAAGGGTGCTTTCCAACTACGTACACAGGCGACACTGTGTAACACAGTGTCCATTAGTGTGAGAAAGAGCATATCAGTGTGTCTCACTCACACTAGTGGACACAGTGTCGCCTGTGTACGTAGTTGGAAAGCACCCAAAATCGTCCGACTGACGAGGTTTGATTAAGTTAATGCGATGACTCTTTGCGCACTTTATTTTGAATACAAAATAGCTGCGCGCTCGTTAACTCGAAACTTATATTGAAGTTTTACAGAATAAAAAAGACTCCACCGAAGTACGCTCGGTGATTGCCGTTATAAATATAAACACGCAAGTCCTGTATGAGACTCTAAATTGAAAATTGAATTTTGTTAAAATCTAAGACGTGTTTTGTGTACGTTGTCAAAAAAATTTACTGTTTTTTAATGTTGTTAAGAAACTTCGTATTATATTGAGATGTTGACAGTTCGATTGTACAAGATCGAAAGGGACGAGTGTGTATGAATTTTTTTTTATATATACATATATATATATATATATATACAAACGTCGTGTAAAGAAGATCTCATTCGTGATGGTCAGTCTTTTGTCTATGATAGCCGAGAGAGTGGCGTAGTATATAATAATAATAATACATTTGTCCACACTCGTGTGTTCCAAAGAAGACGGATCGTTATTTGTGTTACAACGACGTATTACTTAATCATAATTACGTCCAGAAAGCGGTATTTTTAATAATTAACCGCTAACTTAAGAGACTGTCGTTCATCGAGCGTGTATTTCTAAAAAGATAAAACTTATATAGTACCTTTTTTTTTTTATCAAAAAAAAAGTATATCATTGTTAAGAACTTTTTAATATACTGAATATTTATGATTAATCTAAATAGATTTTTTACTGTACATAAAAAAAAAATATATATATATATATACACATGTTAATGGAAAATTACAAATTAAATTTATAACATATATATATATATGCAAATGTATAAAATATTACAACACTAATATGATGACAAATATATTTATATTTGATTGGAGAAAGATTTTAAATCTTACTTAGAGAAAATTAAAAACGCGTAACTAAAGTCACGTGACAGGAAAGAGTAGAAAAACAACACGTGAAAATAACGTGACTGTAATTTATATTATATATAACATTAAATAATACATATTATACATATAATTTATTATATATTTATAATATTATACTTTATATTGTATTATATGTATTATATACATACTACAGTAATGTCACTGACCTCCGCTGCGCGACTTTGGCAGGATCACTGACCTCAGCCGCGCGGCCTTGGCGGGGTCATTGACCTCGGCCGCGCGGCCTTGGCGGGGTCACTGACCTCGGCCGCGCGGCCTTGGCGGGGTCACTGACCTCGACCGCGCGGCCTTGGCGGGGTCATTGACCTCGGCCGCGCGGCCTTGGCGGGGTCACTGACCTCGGCCGCGCGGCCTTGGCGGGGTCAATGACCTCGGTCGCGCGACTGCGGTGGAGTCACTGACCTCGGCCGCGCAACCGCGGCGGTGTTACTGACTTCGGTCACGTGATTACGGTATATATAATATTCTCTTTTTTACCCTTTTCCCTGTCACGTAACTTTAGTCACGTGTTGTTTTTTCACTTCTCTCTCTCACTATTTTTTGAGTTTGATTTTCATGCGTTATTTCTGACATTTCTCATATGTGTATTATATATATGGTTTATAAGACGTATATACTATCTGTCATCGCGGTAACAGATTGTGTTCACTGACAACACGTTAAATAAAAATAACAATAGCGTGCGCGTAGCGCGCGCCTGTGTTGTGCTAGTATGTAAAAAAAAGAATAATGGAAATTAATCAAGTGAACAAAAAAAAAAAGAAGAAAAACGAACAAATTTTTCACATTATTTACGATATTTATTCTTCACAGTGTGTATCAACGATTAGGAGTTACCACAAAGCGGTGATTTTGTAAATCATGTTGCGGATATACGGTATTACACTGCCAACAAGTGTGCCCGATGTCGTGCATAATTTTTTCTTCGCGAAGTATTAATAGATTATAACAAACAATCTTCACACCATTATGTGTATCTTCGCAAATATGCGGATATTTTTCTCCCTCACTTCACAATATGCTACTTGATTAGCTTTACCATCGTTTCCCGTAAGTAAGGTGATCTCACGCCAACTTGGTTTTATCGAAAACTTTTTATACAATATATATATATATATAATCCATGTATGTATATCTCTCTGCCTTTAGCAAAATATCCGTCCATACACGTAGGTTTAGCGCGAGCGATAATCGCCCTTCTAAGATGCGCAATAAGTAGATTAATCTGTTGATTCGCTATATGTGTTAACAAACAAACTCAATTAGCGAGAATTCGAAAGATTTTTTTTACATTAAGAAACGTGTGAATCTTTGCGTACGCTTGTTACCCTTCGGTAGAACGTGAGGGCATTTATGACGTCTAGTATATGTGTATGTGTGTGTGTGTGTGTGTGTGTGTATTGTATTTGATAACTATTTTACAAAATAAGAGCTTTAAAACTATAAAACGAGTTTTTAATTAAGGAATTTGTGTTGCGTCTCGTCCGTTCTCTTACTTGTGTAAATGACTGCCTAATGTGTGCGTGTGTGTGTGCGTGCGCGTGTGTGTGTATACTTTGCAGGAAAATAAATATAAATACAAACAATAAAAATATCGAACCACCAATAGTTTTTATGTAACATACAGATATAAAAATAACGAAAAACCACGCGACAGGACCTCAACTGTGGGTTGCAATACAGGATTTGGACAGGTCGGTTAATAAAAAACAAACCAATGGTGTTTTTTTTTTTTTTTCAAAAAAACAATATCGAATATATTAATATTAATATCGTCAATAACATAATTAAATATCAGGTTACTGTTCGTCGCAGCCGTTTTCTCGAACCGCTGAAATAAACGCGAGCACATTTTTTTTTTTTTGTAGAGTTGGGAGATTCTTTCCAACGTTTGCGTAAATAATTGAGAACGAAGAAAATTCCGCGCGCCACACTCGATGTGACTTTTTTAAATGCGATATTTTTTTTCTTTTTTTGTTTTTAACGCGTTATCAGCGAAACGGCTCCATTTCGATTCCGCGTCTCCCAGACGCGATTCACATTTCTTCGGTTCTGCTAGATATGTAAATCTTACAACATTACGGATATGTATGTTTTTTTTTTTTATAATTGTGTAAATATATATATATTATATTATATGTATATATATACAATTTTCTCTATTATATCTATGTATAAGGAGGAGCGGAGAGGCTCATGTCGAGATCGTCGGCAGGTACGGTCTCCGTTGCTTACCGATTGAATAACGATACGCGTTTTTATCACTATTTACATATGTGCTACGTTACGTATATACGCATATCGTGAGAGAGAGAGAGTAGAAAATTTATATAATCGCGCGCACATATCTGTATTGTTAATATCATTATTAACTGCGCGCTTTTCGAGAAATAAAAATGTTTTCACGTCCGGTTTCCACAATGGCACATACGTACAGGGTGTCTGAAAGATGTTGACACAGCCGCAAGATAGATCGGATCGGTCTGAACGGAAAAAAGTCACAATTGTGCAAAATTCGCAATATTTACTGAGTTATTAATTACTGAACGCGTGCGATAGTCCTTGACCTCGCGTTAATTATGACAATAACTCAATAAATATTGCGAATTTTGCAAAATGATAAAATGACCGACCGTTCCGTTCAGATCTACTCAATCTGTTATCGGTTGTGTCAATATTTTTCAGACTCTATTTTCAGATAGTGTATATTTTTTTTTGAATTTTAAATACGTAATGTATACAGAAAAAGACTTTGTCTTCCATGCGCGCTCGAGAACCTCAAATTGCATTGTCGAAACCGGGTCGTTGATCGTGTTACCTCAGCATACGGAGATGTACCTGTGTTTGATCTCTATTGCACAAGTTACAGGAGAGACATTAAATATAAAAACTATTGCACCAATCGTGCGTGATCACACGTACGGTAACGACAGCGAGCGACGAACGAGCTCCGCGAGGAAGGGTTTTCACATCGTACACGTTGCGCGTTTTCGTTGCCGAACGGAGCCGCGAACGTCGCGCCTATATCGCGCTTGTCAAAAAAAAAAAAACAAAAAAAAATTTTGAAACATCGAAGAAGCGCACACGTCGCAAAGAGAGAAAAACTGTCGCACAGAAGAGGACTGAAAGGGGAATGAGAAGGGAGCAGGAACTCACGCGCTGAGCGAGTCGATACGTTCTTACAAATGCGTGATCGTTCGCCTTCGTTGTTGTTGTTGTTGTTGTTGTTGTTTGAGCGAGACAGAATCGGATCGTAACGAGAACGAAGCCGAGCGAATGCGGAACCAAGATGTTTCTTGCGCGCGTAATTCTGATTTGTAATCGCTCGATCAATTGCGTCTATGAAGCGCGTTCGCTTCGCTTCCGTTCGTACGACCTGACACGAAATCTGACATTTCGAATTTTGAGTTTTTGGATATCGTCTTTGGCACAAGACAATACGTTTTGAGAATTAAAATTGACGTCTCGATGTCAGCGAAGCAATTTGTCATTTGTACACTATTATGTAAATATGTGCTTAAGAAAATAAGGTGTGGAAAGTAATACGGAGAAAGTTTCCGCGTTCTTATCCGGCGAATCAATCCTCGGGGCTTGGACTCGTGAAATTATCGTGTAATTGAGCTATACAACGGCTGATTATCGCAGCCACATATTTTTTTTTTTTTTAACTTACAACACTGCTTCGTACGATATATTTACTTACATCTATATAAACTACTATGTTCTAAAAAATATATATATATATCTATATATATATATATATCGTAAAAGAGTCACTGTACGCTAACACGTGCTGTGATTAACATATATCGATCGTACCTTATATCAACTCTCTCTCTCTAAGTCGACGATAAACGTGGAATAACAAACGAAACAAGTGAAAAATTTTCACGGAGCAAAGAAGACCCTAACGGAAGACTTTTGTAATATTTGCTGTTCTAACGTGAGATAAACAAGCGCCCCTCCGTTGCTGTTCGACAACGCGTGCGCGTACGTTGAAAAATATTAATAACATACACCGAAAAAACGGACATTTCGAAAAACAAATTATATATATAGAAAATTGTACGGCAAATTTTAACTTAATTTCACGTTTAAACAAGAAGAAACAAATAAACAAATAAAAAATATAAATATTTATATATTACTTTTTTTCACACATCTTAAAACTTTAATTATACTAAATTATAGGTAATATTTGTAAAAACAAGTCAAACGTAAACTTTGAAAGAGGAAACCTCTAATGAAGCCCGTAGAAAAATTGTTCGTTTTATATATTTGCGTAAATTGCACGCACATTTGCGAATGATTCTTTGCAAAAATTGCACACACACACACTGACTACGTCTTCAAGTATTGCACGACGTAATCGTTTTCGACAAACAATTACTATTTACAATCATCAAATTTCACAATGACATGTACAACAAACACAATAACACGGAACGTTCGAACTGGTGTGGTTACTCGAATGTTTTTTTTTTTTTTCAAATGCGCGGGAAATTGAAGAATCGCGGCTCGGCGCCGTTCTTACAACGGGAAAAATAGATGACGTGTGTAATAAGAAAATTAAAAAAAAAAAATTGATGGTTTAAAAAAAGAAAGAAGAGACAAAGCGGGCGATAAATATTCCGTCTCATTTCTCGGAGCAAAATCGGAACAAAAAACGAACGAGAAAGAAACGATGCCGACGCGTGCAACGCCATAACACACAACGGCTCCTCTATCTCTAGACTAGAAAGAAAACGCACCGAAGGCTCTCTCGCGGGAAACGGCGCGCCGAAGATTTGCGAAGGAATGAAGTCACCTTCGGAAAAATGCGCATGGTGGAAAAATCGCACCTTTGTTTTGCACTCTCTGCAAAATAGCACGTGGGTACGCATCATGTGCGTACACGTGTACACTTGTGTGTGTCTCACTAGAGTGTACAACCGTCTTTCACTAGAAAAATCGCTCGAAAAACCTCGTCGTCGACGAGGAGGTCTTCTCGGGATTCGCGTAAGTATCTCTCAAGTAGCTATTTCTTTTTCGCGTGAAGCAAAACACGCGCAAATTGTGCGTTCTTGGATCAGTTCACCGACTCGAGCACGAAGCAAGGAACCAGGATAAGGATCGGCAATAGAGTCCTAGGTGAGGAGGTTCAAACCATGAAAACCTCGACGAACGGAGGATTGCACTCGGTCTGAGGTGGAGGCAACGCGGCCATTCGCTTCTCTAGCTCCACTCGCGGTAGATACGCCTCGATACGCGCGTCAGGACCTGTGGGAGTGGACGCAGTTGTTGGTCCGGGCGCTAATTGCAGACACTCAGCCGGCGCCAGCTGTAAACAAGGAAACAAAACTGACAAGAAGTGTCTCTACAAAGAATGTCCTCGTGAATGCACATCATGGTGTTGGCACTTACCAAAGCCGCTTGCTGAGGAATCGGCGCGATGCCGCCGACACTCGCGGGAGTGTAATAATTGGTCGGGCTGACCGGCGGCGACGGGTAAGGCCAGTAAAAGATCGGCGGCGGATACGGTGTCGCAAATTGCGGTGGGCCGCGGGGTAGCATCGCGGCCGCAGGCGGGAATATCGCCACTGGCGGCGGTGGCAACATCGTGCCTCCTACAGAAGAAAGAAACAGATCAACATTCAACGTTCGATGATTCGCCGTTCGGTCGATGAATCAGACGGTCAACGCGCGTGCAAAATTACAGAAAAAAAAAATAAAAAAAAAAAAATAAAAAAAAATAGCACAGACTCGTTGCGGTTCGCTCTGTGACATCTTTTATTCGCGACTCGCGGGCCAATTACACATTATGCGAAAAATGTATATAAAATGTATTTCGAAATTTCTCGCGCTCAACTGAGATCTCAGAGTATATAATACCGTCGACACAGAAAAAAAACAAAAGAGACTCGTAGTGCCCACGATTATCCATTATGTATTATGTACAAACGTAAAAAAAAAAAAAAGAGTGCCCACTATGTAACCACTCCACAATTACGACGAGTGACATCGTGCAGAGGTCCATCCGTACAGAGGTTTTTCTAAGAAGCACACAAAGCGTTTTTCTCGTTTTTAGTTTACCAAGTAAAAAAAATAATGCGCCAGTATAAAATACAATAATAGTCTTCACAGGCATGTAAGTCTGCGCAGCGTGTTGTTCGCACTATTGGAAGTGAACTAACGACTTTTCGTCTCTCTCTCATAACGAAACTACTACTCGGATTCTCTCTCTAGAGTTTGCGCGCTGCACGATTTCACTTTATAATTCAGGCTGCTCTTGCACGGTCTAAGCGGTAACGCCGACGATTTGCGACGTGTTATTTCAAAGCTCGCCCTCGCGTCGCGACACAAACGAAATCCAAATCTGAAACTTTCAACAAACACCGCTTTAATGTATATGGATAAAAAAAAAAAAAAAAGAATCTCTTGGCACGCGCGCTTGCTCTGCCCAGAGCGTGCAAGAGACAGTTCAGACCAAAAGGAATAAATGATTGGACTTGTCCTACCTGTAAGCACAGAAGTTAGTATTTGTAGGTCCCGCTACCATAACAGCAATCGACACTGCACCAGATTTTGTATAACACGATATACGTATTTTTTTTTTTTTTTTTTGTTTTGTATATGTAATGCAGCACCAACTTGCGATCTCGCCCCCTTTTCTGCCAAATCACCAGATACACGCAGATTCTCACTCTCATTCTCTCTCCCCCTTTCTACTTTTTTTTTTCTTTCTTTTTCTCTTCCACTCATTTCTTTCTCCCCTTTTCTCTCTCTCTCTCTCTCTTTCTCTCTCTCCCTCTCTCGTTTTTTTCTCTCTCCCAGCGGAAAAGCCTGTTTGCGTGCGACGTCTTGTCAAACAAAAAGTACGGTCTTTTTACGTATCAATTTTCTTTTCTGAACTTTTTTTCTGCTTTATTTGACTTTACATCTTGTGTCCCGCGCGAGTTCAAAATTTAAAATCCAATTAAAATCAATTACTTTAATTGCGCATATATTATAAACGCGACGTTCCGTGCCGCGTGGTTTGCATATGCGTTGAACCTTCGTTAATCACATTTGCGCAAATTTTTCACGCAACGTAAAGTCCAGTGCAAATCCAAATCGGCACAAGAACGTATCCCAACAACGATATGTATCAGTGAGCATCTTGAGCGGAAATGCGACACAAATTACCAAGACCGTACGTTTTGCATCAAAAACAGATACATACGCATCGGGCTGTTTGCAGGGGAATACAGGAAAAGAAACGTACATGATACGATAGGAGGAACAGGGTGCGAGAGAGATTCGCTAAGACTACAATTAATCTCTAATTAAACAGGCCGCTGAGATGATATATCGGCATAGCAAGAAGCGACGGCTTAAATTAAAAGATACACTGAGGCCACATTGAGGGTAACTTCCGTTAGCGTGTAATTCGATTTTCGACAAATCGAAAATTCAGCGTTTTAGAAGAAAAAACATAACACGGACATAAAACAGTAGGAAAGAAGGTAGGTGACTTGTGAGTCAATCGGTCTTCCGATTGGGAAAGATGTGAGGGAAGAAGATTCACGTGTAAAATATGTCAAAGATACGAACAGAGAAGGAGAGAAGGAGAGAAGGAGAGAGAGAGAGAGAGAGAGAGAGAGATACCATTTTTACGCAGAGAGACAGAACAACAAAACAACAAAGAGAATGAGCGAGAGAAAGAGAACTAAAAGTTACGACACAAATCTCCAACTTGATCTGTAGATACCAAAGATACCTGTGAGCCCAATGAAAAAAATGTATAGAACGTAACAAAACACACGGTGGTTGCAATCTTCGCTTTGATGATTTTTTGTTTTTCTTCGTCCGCTAGCAAAGCGAGAAATCGGCGCGCGAAAAATGTTTGTTTCCGCAATTTTGACGTAAGTATACACGCGTTAGAATGCGGGAAACGCGGAACGGACGCAACACAAAAAGTGCAACCACCGCGCGAGGTAAATATAATATCAGGGTAAGAGTCCACCAACCCGGCAAGCTAAAAGATATATAATGTCCACAAGGCACATTTATTAAACATGATCGTTCTCACCGTCGATATAAAAATCGTTGATATACAGAGAGTTTATATAGGAAGTAAAAAAAAAAAAAAAACAGAGAGAGATTACACCGTTATTTTGTGTGTGTCGCGCGCGCGCGCATGTGTGTGCGTCTGTATGTGTGTGAGAGTGTGCATATGCATGAGTAACACGTGTAACACCGTGTGCGTGTGTCGAATGTCCCGCGAATGAAGAACGTTCATTTGTAGAAAATCGAAGGATTATATATTTTGAGGAAAAAAAAAAAATACAAGACACATGCAACCGTGAGAATGAAGAAATGGAGCGATGTGACAAATTTCAGAATTCTCGCGTTGGTTCTTTTTTCTTTTTCTCCACGCGCAGGACATTCTCACGCTCACGACATACACATACTCACTAGACACTTCGAGAGGATGCACCCCCAAGTGGAAACGGTGCGAAAGTGACGTCGTTGTGCACGAGGAATCCTTTTCGAAACACGTGTGCAAGCGATATTTCACGAATATATATATATACACAACGTGTTTCTCTATGTGATATATTTTTATATATCGTAATATATAATAATCGAACGTGTTGATGCTGCACTCCGTCCATTTCGCATCGTTTCGCTGTCGCTGACCCTATAATCAATCGTATTGGTATCACTATGTTAAAGCCGAATCGGGAGATAAAAAAAAAAAAAAGTGATTGTTCCCGATTGAAGGATGTCAGAAATGCACGTCCCAGTCTCTCGATTTTCAGGACGCTACTCAAAATGATCGACACAACTTGTCGCTGTTAAATATACATATATATATAAATATGTATATATATATATTTCGATTACACACCGAAATAGAAAATGTTCATCGTGTTCTCACGATCATTTCGCGTTACCTCCTGAAGAAAAGAGGACGATTATTTTACCATGTAAATTGTGCTCAGTGTTCTTTTTTTTTTTTTTTTTTTTTTTTTTGTCTTTCGAACGACCCTTGTCTTCATGTAACCTTCTCGAGCAATTACGTTGTATTAATTAATTAATATACCAAGAACCGGATTGCGGAGTGTCCAACACACGACAGGTACTTTTGTTGTAGCTGCTACGTGACAAAATAGAAGATTGAAGCGAGACACTCTCTACCCGGCCACAATTTTTATAAAAGTCGCGCGTTGAGAGAAACAAAAACACGGGAAAATTTGTTTTGCGCGAGATGACGGCGTGTTTTTTTTTTGAAAGAAAGCAGCGTTTCGGAAACGAGGCGACATTCTTCCCGCGGTTGTGTGTAACGCGTACGTACTGACGTACTCTGTGATAACGTACGAAGAAAACGAACAATAAAAAAATAAAAAAATAAAAATATCAAACCCGTTTACGCAATTGTAGCTCGCGGAAGTAATAAACGGACACAAATATTTGTATGTTTATTTTTTCTTGTTCTCTCTCCGCAAAACCCGCACGGCATGCGCAACACCAGAAATCCGTTTCGTAGAGAGCGGATATTAGATCGCGGAACGGTGAAAGTCGCTTCGCGCGTGGTGTTTGTCCCATTATGCTAACGATGTAAAAAAACGTGGCAAGAGAGAAAACCATAATCAAGAAAGAAAAAAAAAATACAGCACTCGGCGCGACGGAATCGAGATTGACTTCACGAGAAGTTTGTACGTGAGATTACGGAATTTTTTCTGTGCCTCTTCGCGATAAAAAAAGAAACAAAAAAATAATGGAAGCTCGTCACGGCAGTATCTTCGAAGCGAGAAAAGGGGCAAGATGTTCTCGTCTCTCCCGGTGAAGCCGATGCTCGATTCGACGGTAATAATAATAATACACCGTAATTTATTTATCAGCCGTGTGTGTCTCACTTGATCTCAACCAACTACGAACTATCACAAAAGGTATTATAGGCCGTGAGCCAGCTTTGAGAGAAGAGAGTGATGATAATAATAATAATAATAATAATAATAATAATAAAAACACCGCCGACACCACAAGTTAAATCACAAGCCGCGAGTGCGAGAGTACAGAGACGGCGTTTATAATTCCACTCTCTTTCGTTATGTGTTTTCCCCCGTTACATCGGACTCTCCAAAAACCAAACAATCCAATTAATGCACACATACTTGATATTACTAAAGATATTATATATCCGTCACACACACACACACACACACACATATACACATACGAGGAATTAGTGGTGAATCACTTTTTCGTATACGCGATGTTAGATTATTGACAATAATTGTTTGCTAAGATGCAGTATAGACGCTACGTGTGCGTGTGCGTGTATGTGTGTGTCTGTATATGCGAGCGCGAACGTTTCTCCCCCAAAAAAGTGTAAATAAAAATAAATCATTTTGCGTGACAATTTTCCAGTCTAAGTTTTCGGAGCTTGCATGTTACAATCCTCGTAGTAAGGAAGAACTGCGACGAAATGGAACTGTCGAGACCGTCGTGTGCGTATAATATATATAAATTTGAGGAATTTTATATATACATAGAGATGTTGTAACATACAAGCTCACAATAGATGCCATATGTGTGTGTGTGTGTGTGTGTGTATATATATATATATATAAAAGATTTTTACTATACATTCGAATAATTGTTTTTTTAGAATATATAACATTGGATGGAATGTCTATATTGTACACTTAATACTAGTGAAAAATATTTCTAGCAAAATATATAAATCGTCCTTACATATGTGTGTGTTGTGCGTGTGTGTATATTATATTATATTTATATATAAATCAAATGTTTCTGGCGATACCGACACTTGCACGATTCTTTCAAATTGCGAGACTTTTTTGCCGCCTTTCGATATTTAGATGTCTCACAAAAACTTCTTTTCTAGTTTTGAAGAATTACTCAAAAGAGTGCACGTGAAGTGAATGGAATTCCAGAATTTAGAAGACTAAGCAAAGTTATTTGCTGCGTTTGCGCTTTAAGGCACTTATTTTGCACTCGCGTGGAAAAACGAGACAGTGTGTGTGTGTGTGCGCGTGTGTGTGAGTGTGTGTGTGTGTACACGATCTCCCTTTTCTGTACATGATTCTTCTTCTTGGAGATCACCACGCAGAGCGTAAAACTCCGCGTTCTTACGAAAATGTAAATATTATTATCAAAATACACATGATTATATCGAAATTAGTCTTGCCGCCTATAAATACATCAGAACTATATAAATTTTTTATATGAAAACTACAGGTAAATTTTTTCGCGAATTAGTTTAAGTACTCTTGTGTAAGTAACGTTCGAATTTGTACAAAAACCAGTCCGAAACGTCAATCAATAATCTGGCCGAAAACGTTTCGTTAAAAATTCGTTTGTTATGTGAAAAAAAAGGAATGTCATATGTACCACGACTAATATTACAATAACTGTAACTTACATGCTAGGAACGTACATAAAATTCATCAAAAGATAAATTGTATTGTCAACACGGTAATGTGTAACACGATAATTCTCGTAACGCGATGATGACGAAAATGTATAAACTTTCGCGCTAAGATAACAAAACCTTGCTCTCGTCCGAGCAAGATCTACCTAGATGAGAAACGATTATTCACGTTCTTTCTCATGGAAATTGAGAAAAAAAAAATATATATATGTATAAAACAAGAACCGAGGTGATACAACGATGCATCAGATCTGCGGATAGAACTGAGCAGGATAAGGCAAGCCTGGAGTCGCGGTTGGGGCCGTTGGAACACCGTGGAACGCTGCCGCTGCTGGCGTGTGCCAGGTCGGACGTTTCCCGGCGACGCCGCTCGCCGTCGCGTCAGGCGCAAAAGCGGCATCGAACGTTCGTTTCAAACCTACTAGCGTGGCCGGATTCAAAGCCGGCGCAGTGGGCATAATAGGCGCTAGCATGTGCGGCGTCGGCGTTCGCAGGATAGGAATGCGGGGATGATGATGGGGCATATTGAACAGTATGAACGGCGCTGTCGCCGCTGTCTGAGTCACGGCTGGCGCATGAAGCGCAGCTGCGACAGCGGCTGCAGCGGCTGACGGGGACGTCATCGCGTACGCGGGAATCTGAGCGATTGGATTATGGCCGGTTAGTGCAAGGGACTTGCTCGTGGCGGCCACGGAGGTGGGCGAAGCGGGAGTGGTCGAGGTGGGTGGCGGATTAGACGCCAGAGCCATCAGCCAAAAGTCCTGATTCCGGATGGCTTGCGCCTGGACGGCCTGCGCTTGAGCGGCCGCCTGCGCCTGTGCCTGGACAGCTTGCGCTGCCTGTGCCTGCGCTTGCACCAGCGCGTGTATGTCCCACAGAGGCGGAGGTGGCGGCGGCGGTTGCGCAGTCGGCACCGGCACCTGCACCGGCGACGGTGCAGGCGGATGTGTCAAAGTCGCGGGGGTCTGTGTGGTCAACGTACCGGGTGATAGGAGTGCCTTGGTCGACGGCGCTGTTACCGCACCTGTCAATACTAGATTCATGTCATCGCCACTGCACTGGAACACTTCAATGTACCGTTGCTTCTTGCCGAAGATCATATATCGGTGATGTCGCTGAGATGCACATGCATATGCCGATGCCTCACTGTCCATTTGAATGAAAGCCTCGCCAGACGGTTGACCCTGATGGAATCAAAACGAGAAAGAAACCCGTGAATAAATCTGCGGGCAATTAAATCGTATAGCGATAATCATATAACGCATGTGATATGTACTTGAGCATTATAAACCATATGAACACCCTGGTAGACAATATTTTTGGAATGATCGCCCATGAACTCTAAAATATGTTCCACATTCGCTTCATAAGGCAAACCACGAAGTCGAACACAGTCCTTACGCGTGCCGGACGTAATGATATGTTGCGGCAGCAACGGAGGAAGTTGCGCAATAGGAGGTGGTGGTAGTATCACTTGTTTTGAATCGGTCGCTCTATTTAGCACCTTTGTAACAAAAATTCATTTTTAAAAAATCACATTTCTTCCCCTCATACGTATATAAATATTTACTTACCTGTTGCACTTCCGCGGTTGTACTTCGAAACAGTTCTATGTATCGACTGCCAATACAATCTCTGTGTTTGCTCAGAGCTTTTTCGGCGTCCTCTTCCTTCGCGAACAACACAAAGGCATCGCCAGTCGCTCTGCCATCAGGCTTCTTTACAAACAACACTCCTTCCTCGCCGTCCAACACTTGGCAAGGCTTTTGTCCGGATTGAAAAAACTCTAGCTACAGGAAAATTACTGATAGTGTATACCACAGAAAGATAAACAATGGGAACTGAAAATTAACAGGCTTGATTTCGTGCGTATATCTTAAAAGACATTGAATAATTATGTACCACTTGTTTAGCAACGCAATCATACGGCAAGCCCCTCATTCTAACGATGACTTGAGCTCCGCGTGACAGAAAAGCGTGCGCCTCCCCGCTCGTACCACCAGCTACACCAACAAAATCCTCGCCGGAGGCCTTGTAAACCTCTATGTAACGTGTACCCATGTGATGTTTGTGCCGCTTCAGCGCCATGTCTCTATGTTCTTTATTAATAAACCGTACCAACGCCTCGCCGTTACGTCTTCCCAGAGGACTTAAACAAAGAGCTACACCACCCCTAAAAAAGTTATTACACCAATGTTAGGCGCATTGTTGCGATCAGTTCGGCTATTCTATATAAATTACGTTCGTTAGAGAAAAACTTCATAAAGAGACAATTAAATCAAAAATTATTAGAACACTCTAGAAGAGATTTAAATTCTCAAAGATCACAGTTAGATCCATACAGCATTCATACAACATTCACAACTCAAAATAAATGTTTATCACTATGTACAACAGCTGCAAGCAAATAGAAAGGTGTTTGTTTGTTTTTTTTTTTTTTTTAATTACACTTGTTACAATCATTGTAAAGAGAAACTTAGAACAGATCGAGTTTTGTGCATCTAGGTGTGCATTATAGAAACACATAGCTGTCTCAATTACCTGCTTTACACAGATCCGTGTGGCTTGTGCATAAATACCAAAAAGATAGTTAGAAGATAAATTTTATTACTTTTCTTTCAGAATATCTGTTAGTTATGTAAATATATATATATCGGGTTTTTTTGTTTGGTAAAGTCCCAAGAGGAATACTTACTTGGCCACATTTAATCCGCGAAAAAACTTTGCAATGTCTTGGTCTGAAGATTGCCAAGGAAGACCACGTGCTCTCACTACACAGTCGTTGTCCACCTCCTCATCCTTGGAGCTGAAAGACGTCTTATTATTTACAGACATTCAATGTTGGTGTCAAAAAAAAAAAAAAAGGATACAAAACTTCACAACAAAACTTACCAAATGCCAGGTTCTAAGACAATGTTTACTACTTCTGGATTTTGAAAGACGTGACCTGAAAATATACACACGTATATTTATCACATTTACATGTACATACACGTATAACAGTTTGCGAACAGCGTTCGAAACTTAAAATATAGCAGAGAGAAACATCCGTTAAACTGTGAAACATGTACAAAATTTCGAAGAAACGACTCATGTGGTTTAACCTCCTAAGAAATGAAAACCACCATAAACGATCTTCCTCACTGAGCGAAGACGACGCGTATACGCGTATACCTATGTAAAAACAAAATTTTCAAACAAGATTTTGTTTTCTGATCTCTGTGTAGTAGTTTTCGTCGAATTATTGATCAGAAGGAAAGAACTGTGAAGGAAAAACGTGTACGTACATGTGCGTGCGGAAACGTGGATTGTATATGAAACATCGCGTGTAAACACGCAGGTATCTCATATACGTTGAACAACCACCGGCAGTAAGTTAGCACAGAGGGCTACTCTTTTTATTGCCTACTGCACTTTCTACACTTCCCTCGTGTCTTCTTTCTTCGCTTCGTTTCCACGTGATGATATTGCGAGATCCGAGTTTGCGGTTAATTTCGCTCGAAGACTTGGCGAAGAAACACAACGAACAGGTAAGAGATCACAAATTGTGCGAACAAATAACGTAAAAATCTCCAACACGAACTGAATTCTCTCAAAATTCTTGTACCTCACAGCACGTAATTCAAGAAACGATCTCGGAATTGTCAGAAATCGATTAAATGAAATTCGTACAGTTTTCCCCCATTGTGTCTCGCGAGACTACTACTTGCAAAAACAAAGTTGAAGTTTTTCGGTTAGAAAAATTTAAAAGTTTCGACAAACAAGCAAGAGAGTCCGCGATTCCGAGTAGCGTGTCTCTCTTCCTCTCTTCCTCTTCTAAACTTGTGCTTATTCATTTCCTCTGTAACCATATCCGCGAGCTTGTCTCTGATTTCTCGTTACCTGCAACGAAATGGATTATTCGATTCGCGGACTCGACAAAAACAAACGCGTACCCGCGTTCAACACGCCAACGTTCGTGAATTTCGTTTTGAGGAATGCAGGAATCGATCGTCCCCTTGCTTTATACTCGCCAAGCTGAATTGTTCGCTCGTTTTCTGTGGCTCTTTTCGAGCACAAGCGAAACACACCAAAAACGCACGCAAGAAAACGCACGTCGAAATTATTCCATTAAAAACGAAATTTTCTAAATTGTTTTTTAATGATCGAAACGCGCATTGCAAAAGTATTCCGAAATATCCTGTCCTGAGACGATGATGTTTCGGTGTTATTTCAGTCTTTTGTGACAAAAAGAAAAAAGATAATTATCCAAAAATGTTCTCGCAAATATATGCGAGAAACTTTGACAAGTAAAACTACTTACTGTCCGTATCGGCAATGCGGCAGATCGAAAGATACGCGATGTCAAAAGCGCAAAGTATTTTTTTTTTTTTTTTTTTTTATGCACGTCGCGCGTACATATGACGCGATAGCGCACACGCGGCTATTGGGCAATAATATAACTCTTGGCAGGTTGAGTGTCACTGTGATAAGAAAGCCGTAACATACTCTGCTTTGCTTGGAACGTTGCTTGACCCGCGTGTTTTGCGTCTGTGTGGAAATACACAACTTGGGAAAAGTAGCAGAAAGAGAGGAAAAGAATGCACAGCGCGGCGATCGATCAATTGTTGTTACGATGTCTCACCAAAGCCTGACGTGCCGAATGCGAGATTCGTCATTTGTTTTCTCGAGAATGGAAGACAATTTTTTTTTTTTCAAGAATCAGAAAGCGCTTGTTTTGCACAAATGAGCACAAATCGAGAAAAAAGTGAATATCTCCCCCCGAAGAAGAAGAAGAACAAAGACTTAATCGCCGCACGCAATCGCAACCTTCCAAGGCCGTAAATTGTCGGACATAAACACACGCCGCGCAATTGTATTTTGGAGAAATGAGCAACGCACAAGCAGAGGCAAGACATGTATCTCGAGCAACATGACGCGCACATTGTAACTCGAAGTTCTTATCTCACGAGTGTTAAGTTAAAAAAAGAAGATGATGATACGCGCGCGACCGTGTCCACATATTTTGAAATCGAAATAGGTTTTACTCTTATCCGCTTCCTAAACCGATAAGTTGGACGACTCTCACATGGCGTGTAGATATAACGTAACGTTTCGTAATTTCACCGATCGAAATCTAAAAATTTTGTTTCTCTTGTTTTTTTTTTTTTTTTACAAAAAATTTAAAAGAACAGACGAACGTCAAGTTCGTAATTTTCCAAAAGAGGCCACTCTATCCCAATCTCACTCACCATCCTTAATCATTCGCTGTATCACGTTGATCATGTCCATTATCTCTTTGACGTGGAAGTCGTTGTCAGGATCTGACGGCATGCCGAAATCTGATTTTAAATGTCAAGGAGGAGATAAAAAGTCGACTTTGACGATATCACAACGCGCAAATTTTTATTATTCGCGCGTTCGCATTTTTTTTTAACGAGAAGTTGAGTGCTGACTCGATTTTTTTCCAGCAGAAACGGAAGTCGCGCAAGACTTTACGCCTGCTATTTTCTTTACGCGTATTCATATCGTCGCACTTTCCACCGTGCGCGACACATTATGCGCCATTTCAAATACAAATGTGAAAAATATGATTAAGAAAAAAATAAAAAAATAAATAAAAGACATTATGAATAATCGCAGCGTTCTAAGAAAAACAGATACATGAAACATCCTGTGTTCAAACGTGAGATAACGTGAGAGGGGAAAGATGTACACATACATGTATGGAATCTAAAAAAAATTATTATAAATAGATAAGAGATAATATGAAGAATAATTGAGTACTTGAATATCTCGCTCTCGTACGGTTTTTCTTTGACTGCAAATGACATCAATGCCACTTGGAATATGACCCTAGCGCGATTACACGGACCTTATATAACGATAACGTGTGTATGTATGTGTGTGAAATAGTTTGTTAAAAATAAAAAAAAAAAAAAATCTATTTCAGAAAACAAAACATGGATTCTCTCACAATTCCGAGAGAAGAGTTCAGCTTCGAGCGAGCAAGAGAAGTAGAGACTGTATATATACACATGATTTGGTATAAACAATGTTAAAACACAACGCGGAATTCACTGTCGCGTACCCTGTAATTCCAAATGAGCTGAGCGTTTCTGTAATGACCAGGTAGGGTCGCGCGAGCGTTACGTTAGAGCGGAATCACGCGGATCGGCGTCCGATGGAAAATCGGTACTGAGGAAGAAGGAAAATCGAAGAGAAAAAAAAATTGCGCGCGTAATGACACACATTTACATGACGTTCGCTCGTTCGTTACCGATATCTTGCAGCAGAGGGCTGACCTTTAAACCGTCTTGATAAGACGGCATCGACTATAACTCGAGACTCTCTCCTCAAGTCATCTGGTTATTCCTTCCCTTTCTGAGGTCTTCTCCGAGCGATTTAACGATCCGAGAGAACTTTGAATGAAAAATTCCATGAAGAAGTAAAAGACATTCTCTCACTCCAATTGTTTTGACGAAGTTAATTGAACATTATCGTTGCACAAATTTGTGTATTGTAATTAATATGCGAACTCTCGAATGAGTCGTCGAAGTTTCTCTTGCTCTCTCGAATAAATCAGAAACGCAACTGTTATTAATTCTACGTATCACAGCTGAGAATTACGTTCGAATTACTTTTTTTCTCTCTCTCTCTCTCAATTGAAGAGATAAAAGTCTTTATTTTTACAAAACGGAAATTATCACAGCAACAATTTGATCAATTAATGAATATTTAATACTCACGACCTTATCAACGATACGAAAAAAAAAAAAAAGAGAAAGAAAGAAAACGAACCGAAGGCCGATACTTTTGAAATTTGAACCGAGATAGTAATGTCAATAAATTCGTTAAGGGGTTAGCGTTAATAATAGCTATGTGAAGATAACATATACTTGATACAGTTCGATCTTTTTTTCAGCGCTCGAGACATCTCTCACATTCTTAGAACATTTCTAAAAAAAAAAAAACAAAAAAAACGTTACTTCAATACGCAACACAAAAGAAGAAACAAAACTCGATTTCATTAAAAACGAAAAAAAAAAATCTGCATCGGGAGAGATAACACGACGAGAAACAATTCCCGCTTTAAAGTATATTTTAAAATTCTTCGCAACGCACACACGAGTTTGCGTACATACAAAAGTACGTGACACGTTGGAGAACCGAAGTCGCAGACCGGCCAATCTCAACGCGACTCGCATCGAACAAGTGAGTGATGAATCGATCGATATGCATGTGTCTCAGACGGCGCAGGTGGTCTTGTTTTATTAGCGCCAGATAGAATATACAACAGGGAGAGACGCGAACAAAAGATGCGCCGATATAATACAGCTTTGGCCGGATGATCGAGATCGGATTTATTTAACGCGAGAGAGAGTCTCTTCCTAAGTCTCTCTCGCGGGGATGTGACATCTACACTCTTCTGACATCGCGACGGAAAGGATCTCCCCCTTCGCATCTCCATTACAAATCGAAAATACGCTCGCGGCGTATCGCTTAGCAGCGGGACGCGTCGTCGCGAAACCGCGTCGGAGCAAACACGTCAAACCGAATCAAAACGAGGAAACCGAAACTTCTTGTTTGTTCTTATTTGAACACGAATCTTGAAATAAATATTCGATATTCGTCAAACGAACTGCACGAAACGAAAAAAAAAAAAAAAAAAAAAACTGTACACAAAGTATTCTTATCGAGTTATTATCTTTTAAGTAACCAAATTTATAAATGTCATAGATGTCACTTTTATAAATAACCGAAACTTGACGGGAGATTGATCACAAACACGAACTCTCTTATTGAATTTCAACGTGGATTAAAATATCAAAGCGTATCGAAGCACACAAAGAGTGTCGCTTCTCTCGAGATAAGAAAATCTTACTTTTTTCATTTTTTTTTTTTTTTTCGAGTAACTGCTCGAGCGTAACGCTTACGTATGTTTCAACTGCTGCTTTCCAGATCAAATCGAAAACTGATACAGAAATCGAAACACGCACGTACCTGCCCAGCAATCTCAATTCCGAGTCATCGTTAAGTCGACGGTACACGCCTTGATGAGAAAACTCAAGAAGATGATTCTCTGCCACTGTGTGTGTATGTGTGTACGAAAATACGCGACTGCTACAGATCGTTTTTCTGCTCTCTCTCTCTCTGACTTTTGATCCTTCGTTTCTCGATTATCTATCGACGGGATCGCGATCGGATCTTCTTACGATGGAATCGCGCGACCGATGCAGTCCGCGCAGCGACATACACACACGCCCACGCTTCGTACGACCCGCGGGGACTACTGACTCCCGTTCGGATAATGCGACGTCGTCGAAGTTGCCCGCGTTTGTGCTTCTACCGCGCCGCCTGACGGCCACGCGACACGATGATCTTCCGACGTAGAAATTCACGTACGGTAACATACAACGCGAGCCAGTCTCGAGTGTTAATGTGTTGTAGGGTATTAGATAAGTCCGACCGGAAGACTGAGATACCACTCTGCAGTGAACATCGTCATCGATACGATGACATCGGCAAGAAGATATCGACAGTAATCAACTTCCTGATTAAGAGTCGCGTTTTTCGAAAAACTCAAACAACGCCGACAAATATCTTACAGATAATTCTCATGGACTTGACATTTTTGAATTAAATGTCAAGGCGCTTAGTATATATGTAACAAATCGGGATGGACAACGAAGTGGCACTGATGTGTCTTATAAAACCAAAGCTTTGACAACTCGATGACAAATGTATAAAAAGGATACATTGTAACATCTCCTGGACGCCGAGTGTAGACAATTCTCCGTGAGACGAGTAACACTCCACGAACTCCTTTCGAAGATCATGAAAGTAATTATAGTGTTCCGGCAGCTCGATGTTCTTTCTACAGGCTTCTGGATGCAAGCACTGTCTCAGCGGGGCCTGACCGTCCACCACGAATCTTGGTTTAGCACCGGACGTTACGGAAGACATAGAAGCCCACCAGATCTCGAACTTGAAATATAAATTGCATCATGTGATATTGAACGTAATTATTTAGACTTAATATATATCTTTTTTTTAATTTAGTAACTCTGTTATGTTAAATTTTTTACAAAAGTAAATGTTTTCATATTCCAGAACTTCACTTTTCAAGATAGAAATTCAGATCTGACTTTTAAATATATAAAAAGTTAAATAATAAAAAATAAACGTAAATTGTTTGTTAATTCGCGTTTAAAAGAAAATTATATATACGCGTGCATGCAAAATTGTTTTCTTCCTGTAAGCTTGGCAAATATATACCTTTTCAATAACTTGCTGCAGAGGACTCCCGTATTCCCGAAGGGTTCGTTCGGTCAAGGTTGGAGCGTGCGCTAACGCTGCCTCGTTAATGTTCCCGCTGCTTCCGGCGATCGCCGGGTTGTCGCTGCCGGTCCCAGGAGTGCAACTCTCCTCCATTACCATCGGCCGCACGATGTACTGCTGCCTGCCTACCACCTGCAAGAACGAGTCCACGAGTGAGGAGAGAAGGCAAGCAAAAACACGGCGAGCTTGTTGCTATGCGGCGCAAGTAACGTATCAATTATTTGCCGGGCGCAAAACAAAGATGCGACTTAATTTTCCCGTATCAAACGGCGTGTATCCCGCGTGCGAACAAAGTGGCGACGTTACGATTTTTGTTTTCTTTTTCGCTTCCGCTTATCGAAGCGAGCAAATTGCGCAATATGCGGGCGAACGTTTCGTCTTTCGAGAAGGTTTCGATTGTTCGTTTCTCGAAAAGATTGCTCGCGGAGAAATGTGCTGCGAAAGTTTTTGTGAATTTTAAACGGTATTAAAATTCACAAATTACATTGCGATTTCGGACTCGAAATCAGAGATAAATTTGTTTTTAATGTTCTGCAAGCGGAATATTTTTTATTTCTGTAAAATTGAAAGAAAGAAGAATTTTATCTTGAGTTTACCTCATTTTTACTTCAATAATCGTGTAAACAGTATCAATCAATTGTTGTTTATTAATCGCGATATAGAAAACAAGTTATTTTTACACGGGATCCATATTGCTTCATTCGTCAGCTTCCAAACAGGTTCTTTTACTTTTTTTTTTTTTTTTGCATCTTAATGCTGTGAGCGCACACGCGCGCGTTTGCTTTACTTTCATAAGACACCATGTGTGTGCGCGTGCGTATTCATTGCGACAAAAACTATCGGATATTTATCGAACGTCGTTCTTTAGTTTTGATGCATAAATGTGTGTATGTACACACAGACGTGTTATTCTCGGACACTTTTTATCTCTTATACTATTATCGTATTTTTCTTTCTCTTGCTATTTATTGTTATTTATCACTTGTACCATACGCGTCGGAGCTTTAAACCGAGTGCGATTTCCTTATTAAAACCAGACAGTTTACGACAGTGGTGTGCAGTCAAGATCACGAGCTTTGAACCTTGAACTTGACCAACGTATTCTTCCCTGTGTATTGATAAATACGATTAGCAACATTATTAACGCGCCTGCGACGATGTGCCTGATGCAATTCCGTTGAGTCGCAGCGTTGCATATTCAAAGGGGACACAGAAAAGGGGACACGCGCTTTATGATAATTTCCTAGGTATGTTTTTCTCCTTATGTAAAAATTTTCCGTGTGGTATTCACATTTCAACTAGCTGTGTGATTGAGAGACATTCCTCTGTGAAAATATTGAAAGATCTTTGCGTTATAGATTTTCAACAATGAAATAGATAACAACAGTGCAGCGTATTTTAAAACACACATGGTTTGTCAACTTGACCTAAACTTATCCCCAACCGACTTGACTCAAATTTCTGACCTCAAAGCATTCATGGATTTTAAAATCACTCCGATCTGATCGCACTCTTTCTTTTGACAGAAAAAATTCAAAAAAAAAAGAAACGTTCCGAGTTGAGTTTTGGGAAACGTATTCTGAAAAGTTACGCATTAGCTAGTCCCTACCACATTTCGACAATTTGTCAACCCTAATAGTGTGTTGTTTATTTTTTAAAATCACGACTGACATTATTAATCTTACACCGTTTTAGTCGTACACGTGGAGCTTATTAATACGAATAAATCACGTTGAAGAATCGTTAAAGTTCGATTTCTCTCGAATTTATTATAATTGAATGATAAAAATGTCAGGTCACTAGACGGCCCCGGTTTGACGCACCGCCGCGAACGCGGATATGCGTAATATATTTAAAACAGGACGATCGTGTAACGTCTTTAAATTAGACACTGTTTTTTATCATCGAAACACACAGAACAATATGTAAATTATTTTTATACAAATATTACAATATAAAAAATATTTATAAATAAATAATCACTTTATTCCGTAATTCATCCTTTTAGAGTATTCACTATGTGTTTGTGCGATTGTCTATCTCTTAATGCCTATAAAACAACAAATAATATGAAATACAAATAACTAATAACCAACAAATCGAATATGAGAAAGAGAGAGAGAGAGAGAGAGAGAGAGAGAGAGAGAGAGAGAGAGAGATATGTCAATGTATTAAAAACTGGTTATAGTCACATATTTCACACACTAGTACGCTTGACGTCGTTCGCAAAGAAACTTAATAGGCAGGTTCCTTGACGCACGGGGTTAACGGATCAAGGTTCTCCTAGAGGCGATTCATCATCGCGTACCGGGATCGGCGTCTCTTCGAATCATGCCGCGTGTCGATGAAAAGCCGCGGTGGCGCAATGCGAAGAACGAGAAGAAGGGATCTCTCCGGCCATTACGTAAAAATATAAATCGCTCTTTCGAACGGCCTTCTTTCTCTCTCTCTCTCTCTCTGTCTCGTCGTTGTCGCAAGAGAAGAGATCCTTTCGCGCGCGACAAGAATAATCTATACCGAAAAAAACAGTTCAACTGTTATTTTCTTAGAAACCGGCGATAAACCATAAAAACGTGGCGTTCTCGCTCTTCTCTTTCTGCATCGCGCACAAAAAAGGTCGCGCGCGCACGGATGTCCTTCGGAATTCTTAAGCGAGAATCGGACGAAAAAATATATCTAAGAGAGAGCCGAAAAATGTTGAACGTGAGACTCAAGTCTCGTCTTTTAAGAAAATCAAGACAACTCAAGAGCGTGTGAACTCGTTGAAAGACGGTCGCGCGTTTTCTTTTTTTTCTTTTTCAACCGTCACATACGTGCCAGTACAGACACGCATTGTACGTCATTCACATTCTTATTACGAGAACTTCGAACCGATGTTTTGAATGAAGAAAACGGTTTTGATTTTTTTTTTGTTTTTCCAAAAACAATCCCAAAGTTGAGAATAAAATCTGTCCTCCATGAATAAACGTTTTGCAACTTAGCGGTATTTATACTGATGCGTTCTTTCTTTTTTTTTTTCGAAAAACAAAGAGAAATGCGAACGTGAACACTTGTCTGAGAGTATCTTCCGGGTGTACGTGCGTGAAACAGCCGAGCCTGTGTGAAGGATAAAAGGCCAACGCACGAAATAGTATCCCACTGTTGCGATCGCTACGATCACAGCTACCATATTCGAACACGTGCGAGGAAAACAAAGTAGGAAAAAAAAGGAAAAGAAACAAGGGAGAGAGAGAAGTCAAAATAGCAAAAAATGGAAGCGCGCGTGATGCCTTTTTATTTTTTTTATTTTTGACAGTGTGCTATTTAATCAATATATATATATATGGCCTAAAACCGCCGTGTATATGCGCGGCAAGGTCGGGGCGAACGCACATTTTAAGCGTCACACGTGGCGCGACGGGGTTTCTCATACACATTGCAAATGCGTCGGTCAAGCGCGGCGTCACGCAGAATCGCGGTGGGAAACGAGAGGTCATAGGTCCCGGAGGTGGAACGAACGTCTTCCTGGCGAGTGCGACAAGATAGGCGCGGAGGAAACAAAAAGATAAATGAGATTGCAAATGTGACACGTACGATGCGTATGTGCGCGACGCGTTATGCAACTTGAGTTACGAGCTCTTCTCCACGTTCTGTACAAAAAAAAAAAAAAAAAAAAAAAAAAAAAAAATGACAAAGCGCACACATTTCCATTGCTGTGCGCGTTTGTTTCAATTTCTCTCGTTGAGTCAATTTTGCGCTACGGAAATTTATTTGTAAGAAATGAGTCTCGAACTGAAACCGCAATACGCAATGATTTTTCCGAACGAAAGAGATTCTCTCTCCATTTCCGGAGTTCGCTCCGTTTTTATTTTCGAGATTTCATTGCGTGTCAAATCATCGCTAGCCTGGCGCTTGTTGCTCGGCGCAATCTCGACTCTCTTTGCAGCCGGAGCAACCATAGTGGAAGCCTCTACACGGCCGGGTGGGAGAGACGATCGCGAAAGGAGGGAAGAGAGAAAAGAGTTAAGATGGTGGACCGGAATGGGGCGGTCGCGAGACCGTGTACGCGGAATGTTGGATACAGAAAGCTCCGGGCGATGCGACACACACGAGGAATCTGTTGGACGACGGAAAGATCAGCGTGTGGCTCGCATACACAAAAAAAAAAAAAAAAAAAAAAAAAAAAAATCAAAGCCTCTGCTAATAGAACGAACATGTCAAATATTTGTACACTTCCGTCTCGTTGCACAGTTTGAAAGAAATCGAGACTCTCTGCGTGTGTGCCACTTTTGCATACGTGCTAAAGCGCGATGCTTGTTAAGCGCGACGTTTACGTCCTCGGACGGATGTCCAAAGTTTCATTTAAACGAGGAAAAAAAACGATAGTCGTTCGATTCGCGTTCACAAAAGAGACTTTTTTGTCGCGAAAGAGCAAAGTTCGCGCGAAGGATAAATATGCGCGTCGTTATGTCGTTATTATTCCGAATAAAAGCGTTAAATGACGAGCGGAATGTTTCTGACTTGTAAATGGACGTTCGTCGTTTTGCCGTTCATGAACGGCAAAACGACGGCGGCGTGCGGCTTCGGGATAGTCGCAGCCTTGCGCGGCAGCGTCAAGTCAACGGCCTCTCGCTTCTCACGAGAGAATGCTCCAGCAAATCTGCGACGCGGGATCGCCAACGCAATACACCTAGGAGAAGTCAGGCATCTACCGCGCCGGAACACCGAGCTTGCCGCAAGAGTTATGAAATTGGCGTTGTACATTAAACTCTTTACGGTTACACACACACACACACACACCTGGAAATAATATCTATATAGTCGTAAAGTGACTGATAAGCGTTTCAGAAATAAACTTATGTGTGCGGAATGAGATAGAGAGAGAGAGACAGAGAGAGAGGGAGAGAGAGAGTTCGAAACCAGATACAAAAATTATTAGAAGCTCATTTCTTATGTGGACACATTTTATTGCGAACGATTTTAAAAAATCACGCCATTTAGAAAAATAGACAACTTCGTATAAAGAGATCTGAAACTACTTTAATTTTGTAACACATCCTCATAAGAGAGAATTAAGGTTTTATTGAAATTTCATGCAGAAACCTGATTGACAATCGTCGCGTGAGACGCTTGAAATTGCGTATATGTTTGGCATCGGATAATTCAAGTCAACTGCGCACACAAGAAGCGAATAAATCTCTCAGAGAATAGTAGTAGTTTCTCCAACTTTTCTAGTTCACGCGCGCACAATCGCTCGTAAGTGAACAACAGTTACAATGATTATTAAAAAAAAACTATTTGTTTAATAAGTATCGTAGCAATTTTTCAGAGTAAATATTAAATTACTTTTTCACAATCATGGTTGCAATTTAGAAAGTGTTTAAAAATTTTTTAAAATTTACGAAAAAATTGAAAACTTGCGTGAAAACACAAAAGAGCGGGAGATATTATCTCGGAAAATTCGGGTAACCGATTTTCGTGATAAACCGTTACGTATATCACGATCTGCGGTATCTCTCTCGCGGTATCATCGGCAGCGATGATGCCACTTATCGCTCGATTCTCTCTTTATACAGCGCGTCTCGCGAGAGGAGCACGTTCGCGGCCATTGTCCCCGATTGAGGAGGGCAACCTATTCGAGATTATAGTTGGCCAGGTATGCAACTCGACGGGAAAAAGAAAACGACCTGCCAGATGGAACCCGGGCGCGCTCGTGCAAGACACAAATCGCAACAAGGAATAAAGATGAGACTGGTGGTGCACCTGTTGTCGCAATACGCTGGGACGCGCGCGCTAGATTTCTCAAAACCCAAAGAAAACGTCACGTGACGTCATGCTCGGCGAGACGTCGGACAATGCCAGACGACACGAAAACATACATCATTGTCCTCTGCGAGGTGTCGCGTGCGAAAACGTCGCGGTTATTTGAATGAATAATTTTGTGAGTTAGTTGTTTGAAAAAAAAAGGAAAAGAAAACTTAAAATATTCAACATAAAATTGAAAAAAGTTTGAATAAGTTCGAACGTATTATCGGTTGGAAATTAAAATGCGTATTAAAAAACTTTCGATAATTTTTGTACATATTTATATTCCACTTGATTTATTTACGCTGAGAATATTACTGATTAGATACGCGTATCACATAGAAATGGAATTTAAAACGAGTAAGAGAGAGAGAGAGAAAAGGAGAGATAGATGATTTGATGTCGCAATGATGTAACATTGATGCAAAACACACTGTATATTAGACTTACTAATTTTTCACTCTTCGTACTCTACCATAAACGTTCTATTTTTTACATCACGTTGCTAGATTACAACGACGAAAAAAAAAACGTCGTGGCGAGAAATTGCACGGAACGTGGAAGATGTCTTAATCACACGAAAGGGAGAAATGTCGCAACCGCGCGCTTTTGCGCAAGATCGAGTCACGGAAAAAAAAAAAAAAACAAAGTGAACATTCGATTGAAATTTCGTGCGCGAATGTCGTGACTGAATATAAAATTCGAACTTACACAAATTTAAATTTTACAATTTGCAAAACATCTTGCAATCTGTTACATAAAAACAGAATTAATTAACATTAAGAATATGATTATAATTAATCTATATCTTTTTTAGCTCGTACCGCCTTTCCGAGGCAAAATTCATACGGAGCGGTAAATCGTTTCCCAAGTCGCCAATTTGGCAATCGCGAACGAGAGAAATCGAGATCGAGCAATCGATTCGCGCACTGAGAAAAGTAAAAGACGAAGAAGAGTAGAGAAAAAAAAAAATATTGTAAAACCGAACGGGCACCGAGCGAATAACCCGGTGATCGCGCCGGCACAAGGTTGGAGGTAATGGACGACCTTTCGAGGGCGCGATGCTCCGCCCCCGCCGGGTAATTCGAGAAACAATGGCAGCCAACGACACGCACCGCGCAAGCGTCTCAAACAAGATTGGCTTCCGCGAGATTCGCAATTTGCGTAACGCGAAGTCGCAACGAGAAATTTCTTCAATTTGACAGGTCGCTCGGATGACGGGTGTTCATTCGAATGACGCGATCGCACGTAAACATAAAAATCTGCCTCAATTACGCAACTTGCGACCATTAATTTTTTTTATGTAATCATTGTACGTGCGTTTAAAATTTTGCATTTTTCGAGAGAGATCGGTGATGTTTAAAGTAACGCACGTACATATCAAAATCAGATTTGAATTGCGTGTGTTTATGATATACTTTTTATTAGAAATTAGCGATTTTAGTGAGTTTAATAAGCTTAGCTGTATACAATCTTGCAACTAAAAAAACGCGAACTTACGTTAACGACAAAATTGCTTTGTCAAAAAAAAAAAAAAAAAAAGAATCAGCTTAAAAGCTCATTGACACTATCTCGCTTAAGTGTCACAACGTTTAACATTTAAACGCGCAACACACAATAGTTATCGGAAACAACTTCAATCGCGAGACCGTAATCTTTTGTCGAGGCACGTGCGAAGTAACACATAAAACATGCACGAATTATATTGATTATTTTTGGAGAAAAAGACGAAGAATACGAAAACTCGATTTAAATTCAGTCAAAACTTTGCGAAAAAAAAGTGTTTACAAGCCTGAGAAGTTAACAGAATTTAACAATGTTTACAAAACAACAGTATTTAAAAATGTGTTACGCATCGGTTTCACGGTAAACTTATATTTTTGTTTGAAACGAGAAGAGTTAATTAAAACAAAAAAAAAAAAAGATACTAAGCCGCGATGCAGCTTGAAAAAAAATGGCAAGCAATGTATTTGAAACTTTCACGTGCGCAAACGCGCACAAGACGGAAGATTCGTTTCATAATCGCAGCCTTAAGATATCACATGGAGCAGAAAAACAAAATGTCGGAAAGACTTTTTACGTCACAGATCTGGTAATTTATAAAATTAATAAATCACGACGCTCACATTATTCTTTCACTGAAGTCAATTTATTTGCATTTTTTTACGCTGTGCGTCGTAAAATTCAAAATAACAGTGAGTTATCGAGATGTTTTCAAATCAAGTGTTTGTCTCGAATTAATTTATTTTTTGTTTTGCGTTTTTCGCAAAAGAAAAAAATGCGCGCGCGCATGCACACACACACGCACACGCACATAAAATGAAAATCTCTCGATAATTTACGGTCGCTTTTTTGTCTGTTGCAGGTGCGATACGCGGTGATAATCACGACGCGGCAATCTGCCCGTCGATCTCGTCGGGCTCTTTTTTGTTTACATCTCGAGACGACACGTCGACGGCGCGAGGACGGAGTGCAAAGTTTTGAAAAACTCGCTAATCACGACACTTAAACGCGACACGAACGCGTTTCGCGATCTTCCATCGCGATACGGGACCGACCTTGCAATTTATTTTCTTTAGTTTTGTATCGATTTTTTTTCCCCCGTTCTTTTCTTTCAAAAGCGCGCTGAATGAAACATCGATGTAAACAACGATGAGTAAATCGAGCGGTTAAAGACAGATAGAAAATGTATGATATTGACTTTCGAGAGATACAAAAATCTTTCAACGTCGACAATTTGAATAGAAGTCGACTGTTAATTCTAAGAGATAATTTCTCCATTTACGGCTTTACAGATGCAAACGATGTGCGCGACTTCGAGAAGAAATGAACAAACGAATCGCGAAAACTGGTCGAAATCAACAATTCAAGATGAATGAGTTTTGCGTTAGCGACCTCGAAAATAACGCGAGGTTCTTCTTTGAAATTGTAATTCCTCACATAAACAGGTTAAGAAACGAAAATTTACATAACTGAACGCAGTCCCGCAGCGCGACTTAACTTCACTAACGCGGCGCGATATGTGACTTAAAAAAAAAAAAAAAAGTTTGTTACTGATAGAGAATCATCATTATAGAAGCAAATGAGTCGTTCATAGATATGTAAAAAAAAGATCGAGAACGTGCGTTCTAATTAAATTTTTTATCTCCAACAAAAAATTCCACTGCGTTTTGAAAACCTTGCATCCGGTTCCTAAGTTTTTGTTATACTTCTTCTTCTTTGTTCCGAGAGAAAAAGGCTTTTCTTATTCTCCGTCCTTCATAGCTGCAGTCCTTTGTAAGGACTTCGGATAAAATTTATGACCGTAAAAGTCTGTCAGACATGCTGTCTGAGGATTTTAAAAAAGTGCAAACACAAATCATAAACAGACCACGTGCTTTAAAATATCGTTCACGTGTTTTAAAATCTCTATCATTTTTACAACAAATTCGCTCTATCAATCTGTGATCGCTCGAATTCCGAAACGATCGACGAACGTTCTTATTGCAATTTGACTGCAAATTTGCTTTGGGATTCGAGCAATCGTTCGTGTAATCGTTCAGCAATCGCGATATGCGCAACGTGAGGAGCCTGAATCTCGGGATCAACCGTGAATCAACTCGTCCGTGGCGAACCACTTCCGTCTCCTCTCTCGCGCGCGCGCGCGCGCCTCTCTCTTTCTCTCCTCTTCTTTCTCTTTTCGCGTTTACGTTACCTTATTCTGCGGCACGTCGATGAGCACGTAGACGAGCAGCGTGATCTCCTCCTCGTCGGAACCCAGGGCATTACCCTGGAGACCGGCGGTCGTCACGTACAGGGCAACCAGGATATTCGAGCTACCTGCTACTGCTGCTGCTGTTGCTGTTGCTGCCGATCCTTCTCCTCCTCCTCCTCCTCCTCCTCCTCCTCCTCCTCCTGTGCTTCCCGTCGTTCTCGCACCAGTCATCGTTCCCGTGGGAGTCGCACACCTGGCGAACTCCGGTTCGATTCCTCCTCTTCTTCTTTCCCGCTACTGTTTCGTGTGCACCTCGCGCGACGCACTCGCGCGACGTCCCGTCGCCGAGGAGGCGTCGCAATCTCTCACTGATAATATTTATTATTCACTGAATTCGCCACGCGCGATTCATTCCTTTTCCGCGACGGCGACGACGACGACGACGACGAAGAAGAAGCACGTGTTTGAGGTTATGAATCGACGACGTTGTTAAACGGCGACGGCGATCCGACCGACGGCACACCTGGAATATAACCGAAAAACCGGAGTGTTCGCAGTTAGGATCGATCGCACGGATGCGTGTGTGTTGTTTCGTCGCTCCTTCTGTCTTATTCGGTCGCTCGGTCGGACGGAGCGCCGTCGAAAGTTTCGTGCAGCACTGACCGCACGTCCCCCTGGCCTGGCACGTAACGAAGGCGAACACGTCGCCGTTGCCTCACCTGGCGACTGGTGCGTCGACGCGGTCTCCCCTCTCCTGTCGGAGAACCCTTGCCCATTCGGCATCTCGCGCAGGTAGAAGGGGCGCGAGGATAGAGAGAGAGAAAGAGAGAGAAAAGGAAGTGCGCGCCTCGAAAGGTTTCTTATCGAGAAAATCGCGCAAAAACGAATTAATATCTAGTGGAATTTCAATTCACGCTGCTAAGGAACTCGATTGATGTTTGTTTGTGTGTGTGTGTGTGTATATAAATACGTAACATTTGGATGTTGAATGAGAAGAGAGAAAGGAAAGAGGGAAGAAGAGAGAAGGGAGAAAGAAAGAGGGGGAGAAAGAGAGAGGGGGAGAGAGAGAGAGAGAGAGAAAGGAACACCAGTTGCGCTGTGTGTACTGCGAAAACGGTTCTCTCGTAGGACGAGAGATAAAAATGAATAAACACCGTATAGTGGAACTTCGATTTGCCCAATCGACGTGTTTAACAGGTGTATGTAAAAGATATTAGATCAATCGGGTTTGTTCAGTGATAAAAGGAAAGGAGAAAGGAGAAAAATTTCGTAAACACATGCAAAAATTTTCGTAACGAGTATCTAACAGTAAATTAAAAAAAAAAAAATAATTTATACTGCAATAACAAATGTGCCACAAAAAATAATTTGACTTTTACCATTTAACTTTTTTCTTTCTCTTAAAAATCATCAAAATACAGAAAAAGATGTCGCTCGAAAAAAAATACGCTCCGGAAAGAAAGAAGAAGACAGCGCTCTCACGCAATATCCTTAAGAATCTTATGAATATTTGGATTTTAAATGTCAACAAAGAAAAAAATATTCAAATGTTCGTTGAATATTTATATATGTTCGGTAAAGAAGGAGATCGACAAAATATACGAAAAGAAACGTTAGAGAGCGAGCAAAATGAAAAAAAAAATAAACATTTATTTCCTCGAATTCAAAAAATGCAAGATTCCCGTCACCCGGTCAGGTGAAAACGCGAACTTATTTCGCCAAACATGGCCGACGTAAATACACCGATACAACAACGACGACGACGACGACGACGACGATTCGAACGTCGTCGAATTCGGCGTCGTCGCAAACGAAGTGCGGAGGACGACCAAAAATCAGATTAGAACGGCGTGTAGGGAAAGGCAGGTTGTTGTTGGAGCCGCGCCAGGTGCGCAGACTCGTCGCTCACACGAAGCGAACCCTGCTCGCCACGTCCACCTGAAAAGCGCGTTACCGCTTCGCTCATGGCGGATTCCCCCGTCCCATCTCCGTCCATGTGACGTGCACGTGGCGCGATGTTTCTTCGTCACGTTTGTTCCGATGACGAAGTCATCGCGGATCGAGCCGGCACGACAACGTCTTTCCACTTTTCTCCAGTCGTTTCCACTTGTTTGTTTCAACGATCGATTGATCGCGATCATCGATATTCAAAAAAAAAAAAAAAGATCTTCGCGAGCCGTTCCTTATCGGCGCGCACGTGAGTCCGCGATTTCTCGAACGGAGAAAATGGCGCGCAACAGCCGGCCCGTTCGAAGTGCGCATGCGGCCGCTCCGAGTGACCGCAGGTGCGTATCTACGTGCGAAAACTTAGCCGACGACGTGTCGGCGTCCTCGATACGGGTTCCCTTCATGTAATCGCGGCCTTGGGACGCTCACGTTATTTATTTTTCTCAGACTCGTCTTTTCACGGGGTATTCGTTCGGAGACACGTGCCTCATTCGACCGCTCATCGTGACGAAACGGAACACGTGCATCATACGTTGCCGGTCTGTTAAACGTTTATCTCTGTTTTACGAGCGAGTTTGAAGATACACCTAAAACGCGCGTTCAAACCCCCATACGCAAAATACATAAGCGGAAAAAACGCGATAATGGAATTCGAATTGGTAGCGCAAACTAAAAACGCTATATATTATAAATTTGCGTCACACAAGAAAAACAATCAAATTTCTTTCGGCATTTGAGAGAATTAGAACGATTTTTAAAACGTCCCATCTCGCGAGCTATTGTGTTTGCACAAAAAAAGCCAGTTTGTAATTTCGTCCTGATTTCGTACGTGCTCTTTTCCTTCTCTCTCCTTCGTCTCTTTCCATCCGCTCTTGATAGAAATAAATTATTCAACGTATATGCACGCAATATACATACAAAAGCTGATATAACTATTTTATATTCCACCTTTATACATATGCCATTGCGTAACGCTGTCGGTCGTCATGCGCAATTATGCGGTCGCGTCATCGAATTTATGCGTTTTTTTTTTTTTTTTTTTGCGCACACAGGGATATCCTCAAAACTTTCGATCTCAATTTTAAATATTATTTTCGTTTCCTCAACGCGAGTACGAAAATCCTCGCGCGGAATCGCGTCGTTCGAGTGGTACTCTCGTCGAGGGTACTCGAAATTTTCGAAACTTTCTTTCGAGTTCACTCGGAAGAAATCAGGGAAAACGACGCCGTTGTCGTAATTATTGAGAGAAAGTTCAGGAAAATGACGAAGAAAGTAGCGCAAAATGTACCGTACATGTGTACACGCGTTCGGTTTTTCTCGCTCTCGGATTTTTTTTTTTCTTTTTCGATCATCAATCCGCGTTTGATGTGGCTCTTTACTGCGCGTGACCGCACAGTCCGCTCTTTGTACGGAACAATTAAGAGAATGAATACACATATCCACCGCTTCTTGGGCAAGACCGCCGCGCGATACATTCGATTCTGCCGAGTCACGTCGTCGTACGAGCGCGCCTCCCGACGCACGCGTTATATTTTCCGCCGTTTCCCAACTTTACTTTCTGTAAAGTTAACTGTCGCACACATGTCGCACACGCTTTTCCACACATCTCCGACAATCTTGGCCAAGTCAGATTACCATCGTTTACGACATAATTGCAGAAACATATTGTGCGAGAAAAATCAGATTTTCTTTTCGCGCGTTTATTAAGCGGTGATTATGTGTTATTAGAATAAATATATGTATATCGAGCTGTATGTGCGTGACTGCTAAAAACATTATGACGTCAATCGGTTGTGTTTCTTCGCGACAGAAAAAGTGAGTTAATGTCGGATTCGCGTGAAAATCCGAATGTAAACAACGCGAAGAGGCACACGTGTGATGCGCGTCGTGTCAAAATCGCGAGGAAATATCTACGAAGCGCGAATTGACACGCGCAAGAATTGTGTTTTGTTCTTCCGTCGCGCTTCCGATGGCAAAGTGCGTGAGGAAAGGAAAAAAAAAAAAACAGGAAACTTTAAAGCTGTCTGACCAGAAAATATTCGGCATTGAGGCGCGCTCTTGCGATTCTTTAAACAAGAGCTCACGGGACTGCTGCACGGTGGATTGGCAACCACCTGTTGCTGGTCCCTCGTGTCTGTTGCAATTGGCGGACGGGATCGACGGCGCTTAAGCGAAGGCAATCGCGGTTGAAAGACTGCGGCAGAGAAGTAAAGATATTTCTCGTCGGAAAAAGTCGTAACTTCTAAACTCTAGATTTCATAAGAGTTTCAAATCTACGTACGTAAACACGCAGAAATTCTTGGATTCGCGATGAGATTCGGATTCGGATACTCGCTTTCGGTCAAAAAAAAAAAACTTCGTTGTCAGATTTGATTGCGGAAAATCTGAAAATTGAGATCAAACTTACCGCGCGAATATTTGAAAAAAATTGTCACAAGTTCAATTAATATTTCTCAGAATCGCGATAAAAGTTAAAAACATCGCAACCTAGCGAGTAAGTATTTCGTTCGCGGAAATTATTTACATATTAACACTTTTCTTTTTAATACTTCCAACAAAAAAAAAAAAAAAAAAAAAAAGAAAAAGAAAAGAAACATACTTCGTCGTTTGCGAAGACGACGCTTTGGAGATTTGTACTTTTGCAGAGACTTGCAAATGGGAAATAGAGACGCGCGTTAAAGCCCCGGGGAGCAAAGTCTGGCTGGATTCCAGCATTGTCGAGGAGAGCCGGTTTATGATATCAGACTCTGTACCGCCGATATTTACCGCGGTTTGCTCGTTCTCTCTCTCTCTCCCTCTTTTCTCTTCTCTCTCTGTTTCTTCCTCTCTCTCCTTCTTGCTTCTCCGGTATGAATATATTATTATTACGATGTCGCTTTAAATTCCCTATGCGCATTTTCTACCAGATTCGTTTTACAAGTAGCTACAAGTTTTTTTTATTATCAACGTCGTACTGGTTTTTTTTTGTTAATATCAGCAAACAACCGACGCACATGTGACAAAATGAGATTCATTCACGTCATTGCTAAATGAGATGCGACGCTAATTCCCGAAGATTCTAATGACACTGTGAATTCTCGCTTCCGGAAAAAAAAAAACTTTTGCTCGCAACCAAAATATTAAACAAGAGAGAAAGTACGTAAACACATGTCGAACGAATGTATACGGAGCGCAAAAAATTCTTGGATATTTAATTTAATACATATTTCAAACAAGATACAAACTTGCGTCTGTGCGTTTTACGTGAAATTTTTCTTTAACGTGCGCAACAGCGTGAAAAACGTCGCGCACGTCGCGAGTATCGTTGAACTCATCGTCGTAAGGAAGGAACGCGAAGAGAAAGGGATGTTTCGTTTCGCGAAACCGCGCGAATTTTGCGACATTTCGGGACAAAACTTTCGAGACAAAACGCGCATCGCCTGATTATTCCCAAGCCGATCGCAATTCTCAAAAGCGCAGAATCTGCGCGACCGAAAGTATTTCAGGCCGCGTAACGGTTTTTATTTGTATCACTTGTACAGAAAATACGTACGAGACGTATTTAAAAAAAAAAAAAAAAAAAAAAAATACAAACCAGTTTTACTCGGAACCGTTAAAAACTGTAAATTATATTAATTTCGCTCGCAACGCAAAAATTTCACGATCGATCGCCTCGCTCGCTGACTAATTGGCGATCGCGACTTGACTCGATCGTCGATCTTTTGCGCGCCTGTGGCTTTTCCAGAAATAGAACTTATAGAGAAAGGCAAAGACAGAGAGACTCTTAAACTATCGCGGTTAAATTTAATCGGCAGGAGAGCGCGAGCAGTTCGACTGCAAAGCGCGCAAAGTGACTCTTCGTGATTCCGACGACGACGACGACGACCACGACGACGACGAGGTCGATCCACTTTGGATTCTCTTACGTGCGGTAAGAGGATGGAGAGCGGATTCACCGTTGCGGGGAACTTTCTCTTGAGTTGAGTATACGCGCTCGTACATATGGCTCTTGTGTCTGGCTACGTAACTTTCGAAACGACAGGTCTGTCCCTCCTCCTCTCTCTCTCTCTCTCTTGCGAATCGCGGCACATTCCTCCAAATTACGCATATTTTTCAGTAGTTTAGTGCAGTATTTGTTTCACTGCGACTGACAAATAATCGCGAGACTTATTTTTATAACAAAAAATATACAATGCGTTATAGTTGCTGTTGATTTTTTTTTTACCACGTTGCCTGATCATTGCGTTCTTGTGTAAATAAAAACAAAATACAATATAAAAATAAACACAAAAATCATTTTTGAACATCGCATCCTCTTGCAAGGACGTGAGAAACTTGCGCACGTCCCGCAAGGAAGTCGAGGACTCCAGGAGGAAACTGCGTCCTTTCGCGCGCGCGCGCGCGCGTACGATGCGCAGTTTCACGGATATCGGGCGCGCTCGGGCGAGCAGAAGCAGCGACGAAGAGCCGCAAGGAAGCGGAAGAGAGAAGAGAACCCGTTGCCTGCGCGATCGGCGCGAGCGCGAGCGAGCGAGAGCACATTTGTGGTCGCTGACCCGGCCGGAACGTTGACTCCATGTAGTCAGTCCCCCCCTTTATATTTTCCTCCGTTCCCCGTTTATACCTGATCTTGCCGTATAGCGTATCTTCGATTATACGAAGAGTTACCTTGTCTCTCCTCGGCTTCGCTTCGCATCCTCGTCTTCTCTCGTCAATCACAGCGTCTCTCGCTGAAAATCAATCGCCCTTTCCCGTATCTTCGTTTTCCCAAACTCTCTTTCTCTCGTTTTTCCAGACCGTATTTCACTTTTCGTTCTGTCTGCTCGTCGGAACCGTCGTCTTCGTTCATTCATTTTTTTCTTTTGTCCCGTTCTTCTTCTCTCGTCAAAACAGGAAAAACCCGACATAGAAGAATAGACAAGATAGACGACATCAACACACGTTTACACGAGACAAATATGCGTTTGCACAAATTTCAAATAGCGCGTCTTTGACGTGTGTGTGTGTGTGTGTGTGTTTGTGTAAAACACATATTTGCACTTTTTTGCAATAAATATTTTGTTTTTGTTTTACGAACAAATGTGATCATGTAACAAACAGAAGGCGTGCAATTTCATACCTCTGACGATCGTTTAATTAACACATCTTTGATGTATTTTCGATCAAGTTCATTTTGTCCGTTTCTCATCACCGCTGCGGAGCTCTCAAGCGAATTTGAAAAAGATAACATTCGAGGAATATTACAGAGGGTTCGGGAAATGATTGCGTTTCGGTACATATTTCTTTCTCTCTCTCTCTTTCTCTAGTACGAAGCGAGTACCGTTAGAATCGTTATCGTTCCCGCATCGAGAGAGTCCGAGATTCGAGTCCTACTTACTAACGGTATCCATTTATTCCGACGACCGGAGGGCTTGCCCGTCTGCCTTTCTTGCCGCCGCCGCCGCCGCCGCAACCCCGTCGATCGTTTTTAGCGAGGAAGAGCCGTCGGTTTACGAGCGTTTCGCAATGATCGTCTAATCGTTATTAACGACCGCGCGCGGTGGGGTATAATCCGCCGGCTTTTTGTCATCTCTCAACAGAGAGATAGATAGAGAGAGAGAGAGAGAAAAAAGACCAGAACACCGGCATTGGACTTCCACCTCGTTGCATTCCATCGTCGCGCTGAAGGAACCAATTTAAGGAATTGCAAAAGATTGTTACTCGCACGACGTTACTAAAGTTGGGATGCGCGAGGAAATGAAACGCGATGAAGAAACACGAAGTGTTTCCAAAGAATGTCACAGACATTTATATACTTCCATAATGAGTTATTCTGTACATTTTAGCGCAATATGAAAAAGATTACAAACTGGCGACTTCTCGCCAATTGTTAACAAATCAATTCTACAATGTGTAATAAAAGGATTTACAAAACAACGAGCGCTATATAAGGCGCTGTTATTGGTTGCGCGACACGTTTATTGTGTTTTCAGAATAAATAATCGGAACGACCTCGTCACCTCCCAATCGAGTCCTTCTCTAATTTTTCTCCGTTTAATAGATTTCCTCCTTTGCAGGTAGTTACGCTATTTGGACACACATCGCGGAGAGATTTCGTACCCGCTTTATCACTCGCGTTGAAACTCCGTGGAATACTTCGTGGAAGTATAAAACGTGGCACGAAAAAATCCGCATAAGAGAGTGCTCTTGGCGTATTGTGGAATTGTTTTTTTTTTTTTTTTTTTTTTTTTTTTTTTTTTTTTAAATAAACAGCGCGTACTTATACAACAATATGTACTCACCGTAATTCGGTTGCGGAAAATGCGCATGAAATATCTTGGCGATCAATTTGTAGTTGCGCAAGAAATCGCTTATGTTGCTCGCGGTATTGTCGAACGTTATCACGTAAGTCGGTAATGTAGCGTTCGCGTTTCGAACGTAATTGTCGTCGAGCCAGGCCGTCGGGTCCGCGAAGAATCGATCGGCCTCGTCCACGTAATCGTCAACGTTGTCGAGATTGGGCTCGCACGTTAAAAATCTTATCGACGCGTTCACATGCAAATGACTGTACAACGGGGTGGCGTGACACGGGGTCAGGATCAGCGTCGACGAGGAGGAGTTCGCGCGCGAAATCTCAACGTCGCGCAGAAACTTCATCGCGTCTAAAGTGCCGCGCTGATGTATCAGAGACAGATACAATCCGGGCGCGACGTTGCTGAGTATCAGAAGCGTCCAGATGCAATTTCGCACGAATCTCGCGCACCTCAGATTGTACAGGCCGTAGTAACCTGTGCATATAAGCAACGGCAAAAGCGGCATAACGAATCGGTGCTCCTTGTGGGACAGCAACGAGTAGACGAACAGGGTCCAGCCGATTGTCGCGATCATGATCTTCACTCGCTGAAAATGATGATGGGTAAAAAGAATTATTCGCAAAACTGAGAGAACAAACAGAACGTAATACAGACCGAGCAGAACGGACAGGCCGGAAACGAGATACCAGAACGCGTGTTCCGTGCCGTACGTGTTCCCGACGCTTCCGAGCACGTTCGCTCGGAAAAATCTCCACGGAGTCACAACGAACGTTCCGTAACAATAACTGTCTATCAATACGGAAATCGAGAAACATGAAAAAAGTATTAAAGCGTATCGAACTAGGAGTGTACGTTTTTCCGAGCTCATACAAATGTGATACAAGCACAGAGGTAGCCATACAATCGCGGCGGTGGGTCTCGCCATGCAGAGGAGACCGACGATCCACAAGAACCTCGTGCTCTCGTCAAGCCCGCGGTGACTGCAATGAAATCTCCACGGGAATATCGATAGCGCGATGATGGTGCAGGCGGTCTCCACGGAGTTTATCAGCGTTCTGGTGGCGCAATAATACCAGAACCAGTTTAAAAGCAACACGTACAACATCCATCTGCTGTTGGTCCACTTGTAAAAGCAATAATCCGCGTATCCGGCGAGCACAGCGTGGCAAACTCGGGGCAGTGTCGTCAGGAGAGAGACAAAATCCAGAGAAAGCGCTGCGAGCACACGATAGAGAATTGAGATGAGAAATGGATACATGTAGCTGCGAATCATGACCGTCCATTCCCACGTGAGATGTCCGTAGCCGAACGCCAAATGATGGGCCACCTCCAGCGACTGCCAGTACTCGTCTGGCACAAAAGCAGTTTGCACCAGAAATACCGACGTCAGTCGCCATAATATCAAAACAGACAGTAGTGTTAAGTTCATCTCGTGTCAATGATTCAAACGTTCATTTCTTAAGACTCAACCTAAAAAAAATAAAAACAAAATTGTATTTTAAACATGTTCCAAGCTAATAAAAGTTTCGAGATGATAGAAAGTTTGTTGTTCGAAGAGTAATTCCGTTGTAATCGGTAATTTTCTTTCTCTTCAAAGAATATTGATTGAAATTAATTGATTTTAAGTGTTTTTTTTTGTTTTTGTTTTTTGTATTTTTGAACTATAGTCCGCTCTTGCAAATACCGGTGCTATCACTTACCCTCCTGTGCTCCTCTGCCATTTCTTCACGACGCGCGCGTACAATCGCGCATTTTTTTAAACGACGAAACGAATGTATAAATCTGACCGAATTGATAAATCCACAAGTTTGAAGCGTGAACCGGACAATTAGCCATTGCAACAATTGTCATTTGAAAAAATCAATCTCTCTTCTCTCTTTCAAGCGCGGCGCTCTTTTCTCTCTGTCGATATAACAGATTTTTTAACCTTAAAAACTTTTCAACAATTTCTCTCGCTTTTAAAAAAATCACGAGCGACAATTTCTGGCATTACCTTTCGTTCCGCTCGCGAATGTGTCGAGCGAGCGCAATTTCGTCGAAATTTGAGACGCGCGCTGCAAAAAAGTCTCATCCAAAAAGACGTAAAGGTAAAAAGTCAGGTTAAGATCGGGCACACGACCACAGGCAACAAAGAACGAAGAACTGCACTTCGCAACTTCAGAGAAGATGGCGGTTAAACACGTCACGAGCGCTTTAGCCAATCAATTTCCCGCTCCCGCGGGAAAACGGATCGGCGCACGACGAGAAGGCGATTGGTCGACGCGTTTGATCTTCAGCTCGCAAACGTTCGGCGTCGATCGACAGGCGAGAGCCGCGCTTTCTCTCTCTCTCTCTCTCTCTCTTCCTCATTTCGTCCCTCGTTGCCAGGTCCTCGAGTGCTGCGCGAGTCCGCCATTACGGTGATAATACTCGAATCGATCACGACGAGGTCTATAGATAAACGAGATTCCCTCTCGGCGAACGTGGCGCAAAAGTCGATATCGCATCGTTCGGGGACGAGTCGATAGCCGGTTCCGCGGACATCGTTCTTTTCGACGCGAGAAATTGAACTTCGATACACCGCGGAAATAATCCATCGACGGGCGCACGAGGGGAGATTGAGAGATATATCGTGAACGCGCGTGTACGCGCGTAAATTTGTGTTGTTGACTCGTGCCGCGTACACCCCGAGCGAGCTTGTGAATCGTCGTGGACGACGGGGCCGCGCGCGTGGACAACGGGACGGGATGCGCGTTGTCGCGTCGTTTGTGTATTTTAAATTATGCAACGTGCGTGCAACGTTCGCGTTGACGGTGCGCGGCTGCTGACGCGAGAGCAACAACGTGGTAAAGCGGACGGGTGTCGCGTAAAAAAAACGCGTCCTAAAGAACCGCGTGTGTAAAAAAACGTTACACATGCACCGACAGTTTGCGCGTTAATTACGTTTATTAAACGTGACAAAAACAACATGGAGAATATTAAGCAAGCGATAATGGCAAACGGCTCGTCCAAGCTGGCCGGCACGTCGGACGACGGCAAGAACGACGTGCAGTTCACCCTCGCGAAAATGATGGACGAGAAGTACACATATACGTATAAGAAGCTGGTGGTGCCGCCCTCGATGAGAAGCATTTACTGGAAATTCTTCGGTTTTCCCGCCACCGACGACGGCGATATACTCACCAAAGTCAAGATAGTTTGTATACTGTGCAAGACGCAGATCGCTTACAATCGCAACACGAGCAATCTACGCATGCATCTGCAGAACAAGCACGCACAGGAGCTGCTGGAGCTCGAATCGGTCAGTCTCGGTTCCAGACAGGTCGTCAATCAGGAACACAAGGAGCGCAAGACTCCCCACAAGAGAGTGCTGAAGACCGGTCTGGCTCCGGCGAAGTACATTTACACGACCAACGTGGACGGTACGGTTCAGATAGACGGTGACATACAATTCGTGACCGATCCGAATATAAGCTTGTCGAACATGGAGGAGGACAATATCGCGATCGCCCAACCGCTGCGAGTTATGATCAAAGACGGTTCCGGGATTAACGGCAACAATCAGAACGTGGCGTTCCTCATGTCCGAGGACAATGTGACAAGTCAGTCGGTGGACGGGAAAACGGTGTCGGACGCTATCGCGGAATTCATCGTGATGGATCTCCAATTGCCGGAGATCGTGGAGGGACGTGGATTTCAAAGACTCGTGGCTACTCTGCGATCACCCTGCGAGATCCCGAGCAAGAACAAATTGGAGGAGGAAATAATACCGAGGATATACGATACCTTTCGAGAATCGGTGGCTTCCTCGTTGTCCCTCATCACTTTGGAAGTTGCGCTCACGATCGAGGAGTGGAGATCAAACAACGAAGAGAGTTTCGTCACCGTATCGGTTTATTATCAAAACATGGAAGAGGCTACGTTAGAGTGCAAAATTTTGAGTACCCTTCACGCGCCCTTAGACTGGGACAGGACTCAGTGGGAGAACACTTTAGATTCTCTGTTGCTCGAATGGGACATTAAAGTGGACAGAATAACGGCAGTGGTGGTTAGCACATCGAGGGAAGAATTGCTTATGGCGCTTAGTAATCGAAATTTGCCTGTTGTGCCGTGCTTGCTTCACACTCTGCAAGTGTGCGCGCAAACTTGCTTCGAAACTCCCGAAGTCGCTCATATATTGTCGAAGTGCAGAGCAATCATCGGAGTCATCATAAGTCATCCATCCGCGTATTCTGCGTTGACTCTGCAAGAACGATTGATAGAGGCATGTTATTTCGCAGAATAATTCTTTTCAGAATCTTCAGTTTACTATGCGTCTACGCTAAGACAAATGATACATCATGTTTTATATAAGCATTTCGTAATACTCATTGTTTTATGTTACAGTTGGAGGAAAATGCAATGTTGCTGGATTATGCAGTTATATGGATATCAACCTACAACATGTTGGAGCAAATGGTTTTGCGTCGTAACATACTCCCATCTATATTAGACAGTATCGAAGGATTGGATCAGGAGATGTTTGAAATCACCAACGACCAGTGGAAAGTTATTGAGGATCTCGTGACGGTTCTTGAACCGTTCAAAGTCACCATTATGACACTGAGCGAAGAAAAAATGCCTCTGATATCATTGTTGAAGCCGTTACTTTGGCAACTTGTTTCCTCACATCTCAAAGTAAAAGATACGGACAGCGAGACTGCCAAAAATCTCAAGGAATCTCTATCGGATATGTTGTGCGAGCGATACGCGGACAGCAATGTCACACTGTTACTGCAGATCTCGACTACTTTGGATCCTAGGTACGTCAGCGTTAAAAAAATTTCTCCCAACTTGCGCTTGTGAATTGCTGCATGGTGTTATTGATAAAGATCTTTTGCGCGTCAGATTCAAGGCACTGCCGTACGTTACCGAGGAGGATAAAGCTGTAGTGAGCGCTCCCATGAAGGAAATGTTGACGAAGCTAATTCAGGAGGAATCCGGAGATCCAGGCATAAAGTCCGAGGACGAAACAGTACCAAGTAAAAAAAGTAGATTATCAGGTATCAAAGCAATAATTATATTTCACGCGCCTCCAATCGAGGGAGGGACAAATTAAGATCCGATATTTTAATTAATAATAATTCAAGTAGGTATGGAACTTTTACTTGGCGGTCTTTGCTCGACGAAAAGCGGAATGTCTGCCGAGGAGAAGGCGGATCTCGAGCTTGTCCAGTACCAGTCCGAATCCCCGGCACCTCTGGATTATTGTCCGTTGCAATGGTGGGCCAAGGTGTCGGCGAAGTGTCCGAATCTAGCGAAACTGGCGAACAGATATCACTGCGTGCCCGCGTGTTGCGCACCCCCGACACGCATCACGGCGGACATGCAGATTCAGTACGACACGAAGCGAGCGGCTTTACCACCTCATCTGATCGACAAACTGCTGTTTTTACACGGCAATCACACCATGCTGGGTTGAAAATCAGGTGAGAAAAAGTGAACATCTGCTGGTTTCAGATAGAAGTTTCTGAATCAACAGGATGTTTTTTGTTTGCCTAATTCAGAGATACCTCGTCGATAACAGTCTACCGGGACAGTTTACACACACACACAAAATATTTTCATAATAAAACGCGAACTCGCGATATAATCTAATGTGAGACAAGCAAACTCTGTACAAAGTAATACTTAAAATAATATCAAATTTGTTCTCTAATTTGTTTTGGACTTTCGTAGTTTTAAGAGAAAGATAAAATCTCATAAAAAAAAAAAACAAAGATCAACCACTGACCTAAATGATACGTACGTCAAGAATTTCGTGGAGTGCGCGGTTCATAAAAAATCAAAATTAATTGATTCATTAGGTAATTTTTACATAAACTATTTGGATGTAATCAAAAAATGACACGGATAAGATTACAACAAATCAGGAATCAGCGCAATTCGGACTTTGTCTTGATCAAACGTGAGAAGAACGTGAAATTTTTCCAATTTTATTTTTTCGCGACTTATTCAGCAAAAGTTTGCACGTGCTGCGTTTGTTACAAAGACTCGTGACTGCTCATTAGCTTTATGAACTTTTAAGTATAAGTAATTATGTTAGAGATAAGTATCGTTGTTTGATATGTATCAAGAAATTAGTTGGATGTTTTTGTACAATTGTAAGATGTATAAATATATATTTACTATAGATTTTCTATATAGACGCAATCTTTCGATAAATACGAGCGTGTATTAGTTATGTAATTAAAATTACTTATTTGCAAATACACAAAACACATTGAAATAAAATATTGTAAAAGAAAATGTAACAATATTGTAACTTTTCTAATGTGTGTGTGCGTGTGTCTGCTTTTAGTCTTAATTTGCATATTGTTTTTAACAATAACAATCTGCACTATTATTATATATTATCATTACGAGATACAGCATTAGTGAAAAATATAAAAGTTTTGTATTTTTCATGCAAAGATAGAGGCTGTTCCGACATATATATACATATATTGGCATATATATATATATATTTACATATATATATATATATAAATTGCCATTGATATTGTCTTGTTCTTAAAGACAAAAGATAAAACTAAAAAGTTGTATAAAGATACTTTGTAATAGGAACTTTTTACATGTGTATGTAAGTGTAAAATATTTGTACAATATACAAAAGTTAGAAAAAAAAACTATTAATGTTTTCGATATAAAAACTCATATCTTATTACTTTGTTTAAGTAAAATTCTACAAATTTGTACAAACCTACAAGCATTGTATAAACAACCTGAAATTGTGCATACAAATAGAGACGTTAATGCTTGTATGCACGAAGTTGTACATTTCATCGTTAGAATATTATTGAGGCACATTATTGATGCAACTTCATGTGTAAAGGCTCAAACGCTTCTCTGTCACACATTTGAAATATAAACAAACGTTCTCTCTCTTTCTTTCTCTCTCTTACATCTGTTTTATCAAACCTCTGTAACTTTTTATCCCTTTCGTATATACATTACACAATTTAATATTGTGTATTCAATGTTATTTCAATGTATTTATAGTTATGGTATATTCAATTGCTTTCGTATCCAGGCAGAACCTCTGTCAAATCTCGGATCAGCAATCCTCAGAGAGGCTCTCTTATAAAAGTAATAGTACAATACTGCAACTTTACAAAAGTTCAGATTACAAGAGATGTGTTTGTATAATATATAAAAAAAAAAAATTACATCTCTCTTTCCATACCTGTTCTCTGCATAGAATAGAGAGCGTAAAATCCTTTTGTCCAGTAATATTTCAATGGCACTGACCAATGTACGGTGATGTGCCACACGTGCAAACTAATGGATAGTATCATGTATACAATACACAAAACTAATGTCATACGGAATTTTGTATACAGCAGTTGTATCAATCCTGCCTAAAAGATGATAAAAATATAAAAATGAGATTTAAAAGTCGTACACACATCTCTTTTGTTTATATTACATAGTATGTAATTATTTTTTTCCATAACACAAGAGTAAACATTCTATTGTGATATCGAGATGTAAATACGAGAAAATTATTATGTTTACCTGAAAAATGTAAGTGGAGAAGAAGCTTATCAAGAGGAGAGTGAGAGCTATGACAAGACAGAAATCTTGAATCCTGAAAAGAGGCGCGAATTTTATTGAGAGGGAAATGCGATGAAATTTAAATTACGTACACGTAAAGTATCAGCATGTCCGACGGATGTTGTCGGGCGAAGCTCGCAAACGAATTCACGCAAATGTCAAAAAGCAGCAGAACATTTTGCAGTATCACTATTGTCGTGTACTGTTTTGTGTTTAAGGAATTCATTTACTATCTATATATGAAAAAGAGAAATTGCGGAATGTACAGACACATGTGGCTCGCGTGATGTGTATTCCAGAGCTGTCAGATCAGTTTGTTGTTTTTGTTCAAACGGTTGCTACGGCAACGGACGCAACGAGATCTAGGAATGTTTCGAGCGTTTCTGTTGGCGGCACTGCGCTCGTTTTCTAACTCAACCTGACAGACCGAACTTTGCGGCGCGAAAAAGCACGCCGTTCATACGATCGAAAACAACTCCGAAGGTTAAGCAGCGGCAGCGAGATCATATTTTTTGTGATATAATTTATTTCGTCTCTTTGGACAAAATAATCGATTAAAATAACCGGCTCGTGTCAATTGTGTACGTACATACGACCAAGATTACGTCTTCATTTAATTTGAGAGATTATGAAGTGCACAACGCCTGAAATCTCGTGGCACAATCGCGACCCGGTGCTCAGCGTTGACATACAGAACGGTTTATGTGAAAATTCAAAGGGAGAGACGTTTTGGAGAGTTGCAACCGGAGGAGCAGATTGCCACGTCTTGGTAATAACAATTGCGGCAATTAAATGTCTTTTATTCAAAATATTTCGATCTTAATTGAAAAAATTTCAAAAAAATAACAAAATTCTCATTTTACGTTCACATTATTGGAAAAAATCAAACTTCCAAGTGATGATGATATTTACGCGAAAACTAGCAAGTTTCACATTTACCCGCAGATTTGGCATTTAACGACAAGTGGCATACTGGGTGGAGCTATTTTGAACTTTGCAGCGGATCTGGAACGTCATCAAAGAGCAGTAAACGTGGTGAGATTTTCACCGTCCAAGCAACTTCTGGCATCGGGAGATGATGGTGAGGATATCACATGATTTGTTTCCGCTAATCTAGATTTCATTGTAACTAAATAATAAATGATTAATTGATATACAGAATCGATTATCATCCTGTGGAGACAAAATGAAAAACAAGAATCCTCGCCATCCAAAGATGACACTGAGAACAAAGAACACTGGACTTCGTGGAAGACACTGAAGGGCCATCTTGAAGACATTTATGACATCAGTTGGTCACCTGATTCCAATTTCTTGATTTCGGGATCGGTTGACAACACTGCTATGCTATGGGATGTCAAAAAGGGTCGTTCAACCGCAATATTGTCGGATCATAAGGGTTTCGTTCAGGGTGTATCTTGGGATCCTTGCAACGAATATGTCTGTACTGTTAGCACAGATAGGTACGTATATATACATCAACAGAGTAACCTACAACTGTAAATCGCAACAATGAAGCAATACGCACGTGAAGAAAAGACATCTTCTGAAACTTGTGAATCCATAAAAAATTACTGTTTTTTTTTTTTTTAGACAATGCCGTTTAATAAGTGTTGCTACGAAGAAGGTCGTTCAACGTGTTTTTAAATCCACGATTCCAACACCAGCCGGCAGCCCGTTGGAAGGAAAGATAATGCGTTTGTTTTACGACGATACGTTTAAATCCTTCTTCCGCAGGCTGACTTTTTCTCCGGACGGAACGCTCATTTTCGTTCCTTCCGGAATAATCGAGTCGCAAGACACCGCAGCGCCTATATCGAACGCAACCATGGTTTTCTCTAGACAGAATATAAAAGAGTTAGTATATTTTAAAATATTCTGATCTGTTTGAAATAAAAAACGAAAAAAAAAAAAAGAACAATTTTAAGGACGAAATCACTTGTTTTTCTTCAGACCGATAATGGTGTTGCCGACTCAGAATGAATGTACAATAGCAGTGCGATGTTGTCCCGTGTATTTCGAGATACGAGAGGACGGACCAGATGCGGTAATACCGTTGCCGTACAGGATTGTATTCGCCGTGGCAACGCAAAATTCCGTAATAATTTACGATACGCAACAGATTTCTCCCATTTGCGTCATATCGCTGATTCATTACGGAAGACTGAACGATCTTTCGTGGTAAGTAATTGTCACGATGTGCCAGTCATCGCTTGAATTATTTCAAAAATTTCTATCTACTTTCTACTTTCGTTCTCTCTCTTACTCAGGTCCAGCAACGGTCGAATTTTAATTGTGTGTTCAAGTGACGGATATTGTTCGGTAATACATTTCGACAAGGACGAATTGGGTAAAATTTATGAAACGAAAACTACTCCAACGAAAGATGCCGCGAAGAAAGACGCGGCAAAAGAAACATCGAAGAAATTCAGTGTTAAGCAACAGTCTTCAACAAGCAACGATGCGAAAGACAGTGCGATAAAAAGAAACGTTCCGATATTTGCTGTCGACGATTGCGCAATGGATATCGATCTCGCAACAAGCACAAATACCGATGCGACGGCACATAATCGATTCGACGAACGAAAAACTCACGGAGTCGCGGAAAGTGATCGAAGTGAAAAATTGGAAATCGATAATTTGCAATTAAAAAAGAGTTCGTATGAGGAAGAAACGGAAGAAGATATCAAGTTGGTGTACGAGGACAGTGACAGCAATATCAAGAAACTAGCGACGAGCATTTCGCCGAAGAAAATCGTTCCTCCTCCGATAAATCAAAGACCTCCCAGGAGAGTGGAATTGATAACTTTGTCGAGTCCAAAGGGAGGCAAAAAGAAATAAATTATCTTGTAACATAATTTATGAAATAATTTTTCGAGACCTATAGTACGATTCCTAGTGTACATCTATTTTTATACACACACACATATATATATATATAATGTTACTTTTTTTTATATTCGCTCGTACACGAGAATTTACATCTGTGCAAATAAAGTGATAATTTCCAAAATTTTATATAAATCGTGTGCAAAAGTGCGTTTGAGCTGAGAATGTCAGGAAGGAAGTTTATGAGACAATGCGTAAAAATAGGCGATTTTTTTTTCAGAGCGCGCGTGGAGAAAACTTTATTTTAATCCTTGAAATTGCGAATCGCGCGAATTGCGATCGCGTCGTCGTTTGTATGTGTGTATTTCGTGTGCAGATGTGCATACGTACACAATTGTCGCGAGTACTATACAATGATTCACGTCGCCCTATGAGAACTCCGCTAGAAATATTCTATATAGCGCTACTATTAAATGGCGAAGCGCAGTGATCGGACTATCCGCGAAGTCAGACAGTGATCGAGCAGTGGCACGATCCGACACCTCGCTACTTTCGCTGCCGGAAAAATGGTAAGTCTTTTGTTCTTTTTGTCACAACATTTTGACCCGCTTTGTGATAACGTTCATTATTGTTGTTGTTATTGTTAACATCGTGATGAGACTTACGCGCGCACAAACGCACGCATTTTAATTAAACTTTTTAATTTTACAAATTTTGCGGTCACATTTCGAAAGAATAACAATTTCGAGGTTTTTTCGAGTGTTTATAGAAACAAAACTATTTTAGCGCTAATACAATTGTATAAATTGTACATTTAATTGCTCAATTCATTGAAACTTCCACAACTTTTGAAACTATAATTGCCGAAATGCAATTTCGCGTGTCTGTGCAAAATTATCGCATACAATTGTATAAAGACACTAATTTTGTATTTTAAAAAATGTTCGTTGTACTTTGTATCAGTTTTAATAATTCTGCTATTTACGCCGTTCAATTGACACGTCGAGTGTTCGTGCAATTAATTTGCAGTATAGTATACGCGATTAATATTTGTTTTATTGATTTGTTCACACACATACATACACACACCTGCGCGTTTGTAAACATAACAGCGGAAATTGCACACGTGTCTTTACATTTCCTAGTAAAGTGCATAGCATGTATGTCGCACTTACGTACGTCATGAAGATGCGCGAGGTATATAGGTCGGAAACATTGTGTCGTGCGCACGATGTGTGTACATGTGTGTATCTTTTTTCTTAATGTTCTTTCAAACAGATCAGAGTTCGCGCGAAATCAATTTAAAGTTCTTTCAAGTAAATCGCGAGTAATCAAGTAAACTAGTAAATCCATACAAGAGAAACAATTCAAGGAAAAACCTAATTGAAAGACATCTCGAAAAGATTCAAGGAACATAGCACGAAACGCACCTGCTTTACGTTACAATTATACATTTTTTATTTGTTTATTTTATTTTTATAATTTCTTATTGTTCGAGCCTTAAATAAAAAACCAGTGTGCGCAATTAAATCTTTAGAGAACACAAAAATACGCAGATACGTTTATCGTTTTGCAATTATTTTTCGATCTTCCGTATACATAAACATTCTTTATTTATATAACAGTGTGTTTTAGTTTTTTTTTTTACAATCGACGATTGTACACGCGCGATATCTAGAAGATATACGTCACGTGTATACATCGTTTTCCAAGCTACACGCAAAACTTTAATTTATATCGATCCACGCTGCGCGCGACCGCGTGTCGATCAAACAATTTTATATCCGTAAAAATCAATTCTCTTGCTCTTTCCGCAAGATTTTACCGCGATTGTCATCTAAAATTCTGTTGCTTTGCAACAGAACAAAAAATTAATACTCAGAGAGTGGGAGATCGGAAAGAAAGACGGAGCTACATTCGGATTCAGAGACGTCTTTTGCATCAGCTATTTCGACTTTCTCACCCACGTGAGACGATCTCTTCGGTGAATCGGGCGCAATCGTTTTCACATGCAGGCGTGCAGTTTGATGTTCGATTAAGCTGCTATGGTTACAATGTGTCAACCTATAAAAAATCGATTTTTGCCGTATAGTTGCGCGGCAGATACACACATATATATATATGGAATGTATAATATCGCGTATATGTCGCACGAGAGACAACACGCTGTTACACGTGCGCCCTATGCAAGTAGATCGGACGGGTATAAGCACGGGCGGCAATGTATAGATGCTCATTTTTAGGACACACAGGCTGAATTATTGACGGAGGACACGTCAGGTCAAGGTGCATCTTTTCTTTTTCTCGTCAAACTGGTTGTTGACAGATAGAGTCACTGCTTTAGTCGACGATCGTCAGTAATATAATACCCTTGTCGGGGGTATACAGCTCCGTCTTGCCCGGAATTGGTCCCGTTAGACTCGGCGGATCTCTCGTTTAATTGAATGATTTCGTTTTAATCCAGAAAATCGTTCTCCATCGCATCGCGATATAACGCGCGGGAATAAGTAACACACACAAATTATTTGAAAACTCGTTAACTCGGTCATTTAATATTGCAAACAGTTAGTTCGCGATTTATTAAAATATATAATTGGAACTAGAAACAAATTAAAAAAATAAAGACAAAAGCTTTTTGAGAATTTTATTTGTCCGACGTTTCGCGCGATTTTTGTGGATAAAAAATATCGCTAGTTTTGATAAAATCGTTTTGAATTGTTTTCTACAAGATAGTTATCAGGAATATTTTCATACAACAGAAATTGATTTTTACGCCAAGTCGACACTCTCTAAAGTTGAAGAAATCATGAGAGGTTCAATTATATCGAGCAAACGCGCGGTGCGAAAAAGTTAATGAAATCAGTTTTAAGAGTGCGCTAATATATCTCTGCGTGTTTTTACACGGTGTGCGATTTTTCCATGAGAGAAAACACTGGCAATTATCTTGTTGGATCGCGGTAAACGTAAAAATTAAAAAACAAAAATAGTCTTTCAACTATCGAAAAAATGGCAAAAAAGGTAAATGTCGTTGATCGCTTATAATTTAACGATTTGTGCACGTTACATTATCGTTACGAAGCTATAAACGGCGTAAAGACTGTAATCATGAATTTTTGAATAACACTCAAGTGGTAATCACTCCTGCACGTAGCATGATATACCCAACACGACATAATTTAAAAGACTTGAAACATGCACGAGACATTATTGCGGAAAAACGATTGTCGATAATTTCATAACGCAAATTTATAATAAATTTATACGTGAAAAACGACTCGGTTTAATAGATCATCGAAATTATTTCAATTATCCGGTGTATATAATTTCACTATTTTATTCGTTTCGCATGTCAATACCGTTTCAGATGCCCCTTCTTTCCTGTTAAATTTGTTCTTCTTTATTTTACAAAAGCTTCAATTTATTTATTTTCCCAGCGAGAATGTATATCCATCCACATAGGGCAGGCAGGCGTGCAAATGGGAAATGCCTGCTGGGAGCTCTATTGTCTCGAGCACGGGATACATCCCGACGGGCAGATGCCGAGCGATACCACGGTGGGTTACGGGGACGACTCCTTCAACGCGTTCTTCTCCGAGACGGGTTCGGGAAAACACGTTCCGCGAGCGGTTCTGGTTGATCTCGAACCGACGGTGGTAGGCAAGTGTCCCGAGTCACAATTTGACCAATCGATCATTTTCGATATTACGGATTTTGATTGTTTTTTTTTTTGTTTTGTTTTGTTTTGTTTTTCGAATGTATTTTTTCAGACGAAGTCCGCACGGGCACTTACAAGCAATTATTTCATCCGGAACAAATGATCACCGGGAAGGAAGACGCGGCTAATAATTATGCCAGAGGTCACTACACAATAGGTAGATACGATATCGAACGTAATTTGTATCTCTAGCAGTGAAGCAAAAAAGTTTTTCGATCGATAGACAACTATCGAATAGATTTCACAAGTTGAAATTTTGCAACTCCGCGATTTTCAGGAAAAGAGATCATAGATCTCACCTTAGACAGAATACGCAGACTGACGGAGCAGTGCAAAGGCCTGCAAGGGTTTTTGATCTTCCATTCGTTTGGCGGTGGCACGGGATCGGGATTCTCGAGTCTGCTCATGGAACAACTGTCTGCGGATTATCCGAAGAAGAGCAAACTGACTTTCAGCATTTATCCAGCGCCGCAGGTAAAATGTTTCCGAGATCTCGCACGAATTCGCGATTCTTCTTTGAACAGATTCTCTACCAACAACAATAATAAAAATAATCTGATGGCAATATCAAGTTATTTTAAATTACAAAATTGTTGTTGTTTTTCTTTTTTTTTTTAATAGGTATCGACTGCAGTAGTGGAACCTTACAACGCGATCCTGTACACTCATCCGACATTAGAACACACCGAGGTCGCTTTCATTGTAGACAATCAGGTATGTATTGTTTGTTTATCTTCCATCTAACACAATTCGCGCACAAAACTAATTATTGTCTGTTCTTGTAACCGTTGCGTTTTTCGCAGGCGATTTACGAACTTTGCAGACGGAACTTGAACATCGATCGACCAACGTATACGAATTTAAATCGGCTGATTGGACAAATAGTTTCCTCTATTACTGCCAGTTTGCGTTTCGATGGCGCCCTGAATGTCGATCTCACGGAATTCCAGACTAATTTAGTGCCTTATCCGCGCATTCATTTTCCACTCGTGAGCTTTCGCCCATTTGCTACAACACATTCTAATATTTCTCATAATTCTTTTAACCAATTTATAATAAAATTTATTTAATTCAAATAACACAAACTTATAAGATAATTATTAAAACTAAGTTCTAACATCGTTTCATTTGTGTTCGAATAATACTTGAAGGCCACTTATGCACCGGTATTGTCAGCTGAAAACGCCGGACACGAGAGAGTGACCGTCGCGGAAATAACGAATTCCTGTTTCGAGCCAAATCAACAGATGGTAAATTGCGACCAGCGTATGGGAAAATATATGGCAGTGTGTTTGCTGTACAGAGGCGACGTGGTGCCCAAAGACGTGAACGCGGCGATCGCGACGATAAAGCGACAGAAACACGTGCAATTCGTCGAGTGGTGCCCGACGGGATTTAAGGTGAATGAAACAAATAAAAACAATTTTACAGAGATTAGAAAGTATTATATAGATATCAAAAAAAAAAAAAAAAAAAATTATAACATTATTGCACACAGGTGGGAATAAACTATCAACCACCTACCGTCGTACCGGGTGGCGATCTAGCGCGAGTCGAACGAGCCGTGTGTTGCCTCTGCAATACAACGGCGATCGTTGACGCGTGGGCTCGACTCGATCATAAATTCGATCTCATGTACGCCAAACGAGCTTTCGTGCATTGGTAAGAAAATTGAAAATTTGTAAGATCGTGAGAAAAAAAAAATTGATCGCGGTTCCTTAATTCGCAAAAGTCGTATATGAGATAACGCAATTTGTTTACCTTTACTTATGTATCTTTCAACTCTCTTGTGACTCATCGAGACAAGAATACGATAAAGCAAATACGATTCGCAGGTTCGTCGGGGAAGGTATGGAGGAGGGTGAGTTTTCGGAAGCCAGGGAAGATTTGGCCGCCTTGGAACTCGACTATCGCGAGGTGCAAGAAGACGCTGTCAACACCGAGGAAGAGGAAGAATATTGAAAAAAAAAGAAAAATACGTTTAATTCAAAACTTGACGCGTGTCCTATGTTTTGCTATAAATCTCTAGTTTATGTTACTTGTCATTGTCGGTGATACACATAAGTGGGGGGGAGGGTGACTGTGTATTTATACATATAAATAAATTATTTATACATTCCTCTCTTTAACACATTTTCTCACAATGTGTCTGTTTTTGAAAACCGCGTGTTTTACAAACGATAGTTTTTATATGCACAATTAACGAATCGAGTCGTCGAGAAGACACGCTACGAAGACGACGTCCACGGTTCGTCGTAATCTTCGATCAATAAGTTTTTATCTTTTGACATTTTAATTTGTATAGAATCGTTCTTACCAAGCTTCAGCGACAATATCACAATTCTATTTACACGTAAAAATGCGGGATTGTTCGAATCCCGATGTAAAATCAAATCGATCTCATCTCCCTCTTTTATCTGTAAATTTAAATATTTGTGTGTACACAGCTCTTATATAAAATAACACAACGTGCTCGGAAATATATACATTAACATAACAAAAGAGATTCTTCTATACCTTATGGGTTGTGAAAACTTACCTCTATGGATTTTTTCTTCACTTTCTTTCCATTAACACGAAACAGACTCGCATAAAACGCCTCTTCTATTTTACTGAAAATAAAAGAAATACAAAATATAAAATTATATTATTATTATTTAAAACAGTGATAAAAAAAAAAACATATATACGTTTATACGAATTCTTTTTATAGTTTAACAAAAATATAGCATACTTTCGTGAAAGGCCGAATGCAGCTTTATAAACAAGATCCATTCGAGTATTCTGAATATTTTTTGTTATTAATGTGGAACCTGCGGGTACTTCATCCGCCTCATCTTCTGTATCCTCGTCAGAATCATCCTGTTTTTTTTTAAATTACATTTTGCAGAGTGCGTTAGGAAAAGTTTTGACAAATAATTTTATATATAGAAAGAGTTATGTAATTTTGTATAAGAGAATTACTTTGTCAGCAGGTTTTTTCTTGTTAGATTTGAATCTTTTTCCTACATAAAAATCACATTGCTTTTGAACACCACGTTGCCTTGTATTGCTGTTATACGTTGACAAATTCGATTCCAAAACACTCTGTGCACAATAAAGCGTACGTGCGTTGTCGCATATCGCTCGTCTAATAATATTTATCGTCACTCTGGACAGCATAATAATTTGTTTTTCTATGATTTTGTGCCGTAACGATTAGATGAGTACCTATAATCGTCTCATTACCATCAATTACCATGCATTACCACTCTACAATGTGATGTTTTATCTGAATTCAAGCTATTTGTGTGATTTGGTTAGGTAATCTAACCTAACTTCTCTGTCACTTGCCACGTGAAACTGCGGCTGTTCCGGAACTGCTAGTAAAAATCTATAGTTTACGTCACGTATATTATTCATTTTCAGTATTGCAAGTGAAGTTTCGAACACAGCGTGAGAACTTGACGCATGCTCACGAGCTTTACTCCTGGTGGAATTAACTTTCTGCTCCTCCTGCATCTGGGCAACTGGCTTTTAAGTGATTCTTCAGGGGTTTTTTTAAAAGATCTTCTGTGATAAGAGAAAAGTAAAACGACTAGTTAAGTAGAAAATTAAAAAATGAAATACTTTTATCACAATACATATTTTATTGACTTTTTTATAATAGTTTTTTTCATAGATGGTTTCATCAGTTTTAGTAACACTTATTTATTGACTTTTTTTTGTCTTTCTTTTATCATATACATTGCTTTAATATAATTTTGTAAAAAGTTTATATTAATTAAGTATATATAAAATATATATTTATCTCTGTTTCTCTGGTAACAAGGTGACTTCATTACACTGTTCCAACATTATAACGTCCAACATTAATTGATATTGCATTGCCACTTGCATTATCTTTTTAATTAATCCGCAGTTTAATTACACTTGTGCTGTGCATATCGAGCTTATCTATCGAGATAAATCAACACTTATGACGTATATTTATTCTCAATAGATTAACATCAGGCTGTGTGTGGTTTTCTTCGTGCGAAGAAATCGAACTTGTTCAGCCTACGTCTGACAGTTGACATATGTGTGTCTTTTTCGCGCTATAAATTTGCTAACAGTACAGACCGCTACCTTGATTCTCGATAATATATTTTGTTACGTATTGCACCGCTTTTTCGCTCAGTCCCAAGTGCGGCAACTCTCTCTCAAATTGATCAAGTGTGCCAGCACCGGCGATATAGCCGTTCAATTTGGCTGCCAGAGGAGAAGTGCGCAAAACCTCGGAATCGGTGAGGCCGAGGGACTCGATCAGCCACGGATGACCCTGCAGTCGATATTTCTGGTGGTAACTGAGACAAAGAGAAATTACACGTTACACATTTTTCTTGACACACACATTGGCTTCTGTCGAATATAATTATCTGCTTATTCTATTCATAAAATGCTAGTAGTTATAGAAGCATTTATACGCAGCAAAACTTCCATGTTTACTTGTAATTCTAAAACAAAGAAAGTCGAAAAATAGTTTGCTGTGTTTACAACAGTACGTAGTAAATTTGACCAAATTTGCAAAATTTATTAACTCGTTTTCCTGATTGATTCGGAGAACGAAATACTCACTCTTCCGCCGGGTAAAACTCTGTAAACTTCTTAATTTCCGTGACAAAGATTTCCTTTCGTTTTTCCTGTTCTTGTTCGCGAGATTTTTCAGCCAGCAACCTTTGCTCCTCGTCGTGGTACAAGATCAACGACATGTACTGCAAAAAAAAAACAACCAATTAAAGATTTATGACACACACCTTCAGAGAAATGACATGCACGGCAAAATATATACAATTTAATGTGTAAAAAATACCTGTCTCTTAATTTTCGTCGTTAGACCGTACTCGTGATTATTCCAAAACAAGCTGAGCAAGTGTGTGTAAGATATCGTCTCCGGATCGTATTCAATATCGACGACTTCTGTGTGATCTCCTCTGCAATAAGAGCGATAACAAAAAAACAACACATGGTACACTTCTCAAGATTAATCTTGCTGTTTCATCAAAACAAGCAATAACATAACATTACAGGTCTCTGTAAGCTGGTGACGGTTTGGTGCCGCCCGCGTAGCCGACGTTAGTTCTAATGACTCCGGACAGCGCTCCGAACAGGGAATCTCCGGCCCAGAAGCAGCCCATGCCAAACGTGGCGCGCTTGCCCTTGACCTCTTGCAGCTGGCCTGGCATTCTGCTACTGAACGGACAGATATCGTTACGCTCGTAGATCGGGCACGTGAGGAACGCGCCGCAGTGATACGAGATGGAGCAGTTGTTCGCGAGAGCCGCCCGCACCAAGCACTGTAGCATCACTGCGATCACGCAACACCACCGCAACATCCTTGAGTGATCAACGAGGATACGCACGCACCGGCCACTTGTTAAGGAACTCGAAATCGCGTTCTGTGATGCCGCCTCCACGGTGGCATGCGTCCAAACCCGTTGTACAAAACGGTATCGGATCGAACGGAGAGATTAGATTAACGCGAGAGGAGGCGGAAGCGAGAGAAAGCACGCGCGGGACACAAACTCGCGTCGCGTCTCGCTCGTGAACGTGACGCGCTCCCAAGTGTCCCCAAAATCGCGACGCGGCGGACGAACAGACGCGTCACACGCACGTGCAATGTGGCACGAAGACCGGTGAAGGCCGCATCAAGTGATCGAACACATCGGGATTCGCGCAACGCGAGATTGAGTGATTTTCTTCGCGATCGTAATCTTTCCGGATCACCTGACCTCGAACGTGACGTTTGAACCGCGATATTTAGTTGCGATAAGTACCGCGAGCTTCTCACGATAATCGCCGCTTCTCAGCGGGAAACCGCGCGATTCTTGTGTATTAAATCCTTGAATCTAATCTTGAAGATAATCGCGAACGATTGCTTCTAATGACTGGCACAAAAAAGATCTCTTATTTGAAATTGAAATATGCTTACTGGGTGTTTAAAAAAAAAAAAAAAAAAAAAAAAAAAAAAAAAAAAAAAAAAAATTTTCTCAAAAATCTAATTAATTAGATGCCGATTGGACGTTCACAGCTTCATGCGATATCTGAATGGACATCTCTAATAAGTCCACTGATTAAATTAATTATACATAAATAATAAAATTAATATTATATATTTGTATTATGTATATATAATAATAATTTATTATATATAGTTAAAATAATAAACTTTTAATTAAGTAAAAATAAGAGGTTTCTGTAAATGTTTGTTCTATACGTGAATAGTTTATAAATGTGTACAACGTTATACAAAAACGTATCAGTCAAAAAGGTCACGAAATCATTTCACACAACGTCACACAAAAAAATTGAGAATTATTTAAAAATTTTCTGTTGCTAACGATGCGCATTATATGAAATATAATTTCGCATCATTTCTCGCCAATTTCTTTTTCGATCACTTTTGTGTACATAGAAGGAATACAAACCGATATTTGACTCAAGTTTTAAAAATAAATATTTTATTTAAACTTAATAATATGAGGGTCCAAAAATAAACGATTAGAGAAGAAGTTTTAATACGAGAACTTGCGATATGAGAAGTCGCGTTCTTTTCGAGAGACATCCCTACATTTTTATTTTTTAAATCGAATTATATACTTCAGTTTAAATTTGTATTAAATTCATACTGAAATATTGCACACTGACATCCGCACTGACTTTTATAGTTTTACTCTTTTTGAGTTTATATAAGTTCGTCGCGTGTGTTGATTTACATTCAAGTCTTCGTTCGTTTAACACGCGAAATAATCGCGAAGAAAAATAAATCAGGACGTTTGTCTTTTTTTTTACCTTGAGCGATTAATATTCCAGATGACTTTTGAGCGTTTGAAAATCAGTTTATCGAAATGTTGATCGAAGCGAATACATGCGCGTGATCCTCTTCGAGACGACCTGTTTTATAGAGAGATTAAAGGAGCGAAACTGTCGCGTGTTACGGCTGCATCCAGTTTTTATGCCCACAACTCCCCACTAGATTCTCTTCTTCTTCTTCTTCTTCATCATCATCCTCCCACTCTGTGAGATTTTAGATAACCGTGCAACTCCCGTTCACGTGTTTCAATAGACTCTTTTGTGTTGTTGGAACAATGCCAACGAATTTGCCAAGCTTCTATACAGAAATAAGACATTTTATTGATACGTTTTTATCCTGATGTCGCAATTTCAGTTCAAGGTAGACTGCCGAGACCAAATTCGCGTGGTTGTTCCATTTAGCGCAAATTCGCTACTGTTTCTTCTTTCTACACTCACGCGACTACATTATCTTCTATCATAATGTTAACATTCAAAACCAAAAAGAAACCGGAGAGACACATATGTAATATACAGAAGAAGAATACAATTGTATACAAAAGAATTGAAAAGCCAAAAGAAGTAGAATAATAATTAATGTGTTAGAAGTTTTCGAAGTCAAAGTGTGTGTGTGTGTGTGTGTGTATGTGAAGAAAATTTAGTAGAAGAGTTATCATGTAACCAACCTAGCCAAAACTAAAATTATTAAATATTTTCATGTTGCAGATAATATATATATATTTTTATATTGAAAGATAAGTACACGTTTCAGATTTTCTTTCTGCGTATGGCTGCGTGAATTCAAAAAACGCAACCGGATATAGTTTAATAAAATTATTACGGGATATAAATACAACTCAGAATTTTTCTCACGTTCCGCGTGGTTACGTTATTTTTTTAAGATTCCCGACGTTATCATCCGAAGCGCGATAAATTGGCAAAATGCATGTTGAAAAAACACACGAGAGCTCCGTTCGTTTGATAAATCAATAAATATCTGTGTAATTCTTGACCGATTGGCATACCATAAAATTTAATATTTCGTGTATTTTTTAGCAATTCCTAAGTTATCAAAAAGGTCGATGACATATATGGTGACAAACAATTTTATTACTGTGAAGTGGAAAAAAACTTTTCGTCACACAGCCAATAAAAGCGTAAAATATATACTTTTCGAAATTTCTGGCCGAGATTGATCTGAAAATAATTTTTGTTTGATATACGTGTTATATTATTTCTTTATAGTATTTCTTTTCACACGTGTCTTTTAACAAAAGAATAATTATTATATGTTGTCTTTGAGGTAACACGATCCCATAAATTGTTTGTCACGCTGGAATACGATTACCCGACGCCATTGACCTCGTAACTGTTTGACATGTTTCATTGAGAACGCTGAACAATAAGATCTCTGCGATTATGTGCGAGAAAATATTTTCTTTATAAAAATTTTATAAATTGTTTTTATTTTTATACAATTTTTCGTGTTATATTACAAGAAATCATGTAAAATCAATAAGATAAAAAACAAATAAAATAAAATATTATATATAAAATTATGAACCAACGGAACTTTCTACGACGTAGTTAAAAATTTACTCGAATCAGAATGTTAACTTTACGATGTATCCGCTTGTTTATTAGGAATGTTTACGTTTTTAACAATAACTGTCACGTTAAAAAAAAACACATCATTTTACAGGAACGTAAAACGCAGAAATAAAACGATTTCGCTCGGACCGATTCGTTTCCCGTTAAATTGTGTTTAATTCTGCACACTCTTTATCATTGTAGGTTCAATTGGTGCCTCTGAATGAGGCTCAATAGACTCGCGGTGGTTGCATCAGAAGATACATACCAGCAATGCACATTTGATCAAATCAGTTCGCAACTGACGGACGACTGATGTAATCTTCCTTCTCTCATTGCTAAGCCATTACAACACAAACTTGTATCACACACTGCTAGTCATCGTGTGGCTATCAGTTAGTTCCTGGCCTGCTGTGTGTCCGGTCCTGCAAGCGGAGTTCACTATCATCACGCTGATAATAGCGCAGCGTAAAACTCACAAAATATATATAGTTCGAAAACAAACAAAACAAACTATATTAAACAAATTTCGCGCGTTGTTGAATACAGATTACAAAAATCGCACAATAAAAAAAAAAAAAAATTACAATGTTTTACGCATTAATTGTACATTTGTTGATCAGATTTTGGTGCGACGACTTTTCACGTCAGATCGCGTATTAAAGAGATTTTGAAAAATATCGTAGATTCGTGCGCGAAATTGCAACGGATGTTCTGTGCGAACTGTTTTTTTGTTTTTTTTTTTTTAAATAGATAACAAACTAACGTCACGATATATAAAATTACACGCTATATACATATACATTATGCGCACAATTGGTTTTATTTATATACATAACATCATTATATATATATATATAATTTTTTTTTTTACAATATAAGAAACAGGTGATACAGACGTCACATAAATTCATGTTTCAAATTTACACAACCATTGAAAACTCAACTTTCGCCACGTGCTCTGAGTATCTTTACGTAGAATAATCCGTATATATAGCACGAAAATATATTAATAAAGTATGTATTTTTAAGGCGCGCGCAACCGTGCGTTTTGAAAAACGAATCACGCGACTTTAGTAAAGTCGGAAGTCACAAGATTTGGCAATATTTATTATGCATCGCGTGGAGGAATGTGTATGTGTGTGTGTTTATTTGTACTATTCACTCTCCTCATTACTATCACGTTTCTAATTTGGCATTTGACGTAAAAGTGTGCAAAATAATATTCGCGGTCAAACGTTATACGAAGTATTATTATTTTTACATACAGTCTCGTATATGTGTACGAGATTGTGAGTGGGGTTTGCTGCTACCTCTCATTTTGATTGTTGGTCATTGCGGAAATGCGTAAACTCGAGATTTTGCGTTAAAAAATTGACGTATTCGTGTTACTTCACAATATATTCGATGCGATACTTAAAAAATTGAAAAAACTTAAATGTCCTCCGTATTATAAAGTCGCAAAAAACGAGTATATTATAAAAAAATTGTATCATGTTATGCGTGACTCTCGATGTGTAATGCACAGAACACAAGAACTTCGGTGAAAGTCTATTGTAATGCAGATCAAATATATATTACATATCAAAACGCTTGCGGTGTGTATACACGTAAATTTGTTTTAAATCGATAAAAAAATTATCTACTTTAATCGTTACTTAATTTCTCTTACCAACTAGAGTTTCATAAAAACACTGGAAGATGTTTGGATAGTCTTAAATCTGTGTTTGCGGAAATACTAGAAACTTCAAATCTAAGTAATAATATCCTATTACATGTATATGTGTACGAACGTAACACACGTATATACTTCTTTCTCTCTTTTCGATATAGTCTATACATACATACATTTATATATCTCATATATATATATATATAACACATATAATAAATAAATTTCTGTACAAAATACTTAAGGCATTAGGCGCGCTGGAAAGTTTGTAAATAATTACTTTGAAAATGCAATCATAGGACAGAAAATGCGATCAATGTGACTGTGCGTAAGTACGCGCTCCGAATTTGTCCTAACGAGGTGTTCTCGATTGATTTGGTGCACAACCTTAGGCTCGTGTTCAAAGCTCTCTTCAATCCGCGTTGAAGAGTTGCGGAGAAAACGAATGTTTTGTACGAGATTTAAGTACATTCGCCGTAATTCGTAAATATGAAAAATTGAGAATTATATTTTGATTCTGAAGCTGCCGTCAAATACGTATCTATCTCTGCGGGTATCGTCTTGTGACTGTATTGCGATGTACGCGAATACAAAACGTGTGATAAAATAAAAACAAGTTGGGAAAAATTAATTTAGTTAAATACACACAAAAACGCGCGCGAGACAAGAAAATTTTAAAACTTAACGTCGAGTCTTCGAGGAAAAAGAAAATACTGGAAACTAATTGTAGGAACATTTTCGTTTCATTTCAATACTAACAGCTTCTCGTATGTACCGATGAGAAAGATAGAAAAACAGAGAGAAAGAGAAAAAAATGACAAAGGGAATACGCAAGTAACGTATCACATGACGGCGCAGCAGCTCTTCTCCGAACGATTATCGCCGACGATCTCACTGGTGTTGCCAGTGAAACGTTGCGTAAAGTCGTCCGTGGTGAGGTCGGAATTCGAGATAGACGACACTGGCATGGAGATGCCGTTCCCGTTGGCGTCTAGGGAACCGCCGGATATGTGACGATTCTGCGCCCGCTGTTTCTTCAGATCCGACAAGGATTTCACGAAAACAACGGACACGTGTATGTTGATCTTGCCGCCGTTGCTGTCGGTATCTGCGGCATAAATCGGTGACGACGTCTGCTGGCTGCCGACCGGTGGGTCAGGCCCTGTCACTGCTGTCAGGCAAACACGTAAATCCAATGTGCTATTTCCCCCATCGTCAAGTGTGCCGATGCTTTTTTTTTTGATCGACGCAATTGTCATCACTTTTCCGCCCCTCCACCTTAAGCCCACTTTCTATCCCTATGCACTGATTACAATTAAAAAAAAACGAGGGTGTCAACTATGAGTCTCATGCGCCAAGCCTTGACATGCTCTCAGCGATCAAAGCGTTTCCATAAAAAAAAAACATTGCGCCAAGAAAGAAGGATCACATTGTAATGCACATCGGCGATATAATACACAAGTATGTGTATCGCTAGATGACAGTTGGCGGTTGCGTTTTACGCAAGCAAACTCAACGAATATATATATGTATATACATATATATATATATAAAAAAAGACAAAGAGAAATTTATGATAAACACACGTTTGGTACAAGAAACTGGATGTTCCGACGATTACAAATGTTGTCTTCATCTTACAGTGTCTTACACAAACAATAGAGTTTCTCCGAAGTTTTTTTTTTTAAAAGCTATACGATCTGTCTAATTGTACTTGCGCATTATTATTATTATTATTATTATTACTATTACTATTATTATTATTATTATTATTTCCTTAGTAACAATATAATCTATCATCGAATAAAAAACGAATATATACGTTCGGAACACTTCGTCTAGAGAATTGTCGACTAGGAAACGTACGTTATTACAAAGATCCGTTGGTTCTAACTATAATCACTAGTAATTTTTTTGTTTTTTTTGTTTTTTTTTTTTTTTTAATTCTATATACCTGATATGTTCTCTTAGTTTTTTTTTTCGAATTGACTACTTCAAGACTACTTCAATAATGGAGGAAAATGTAATCGTCACTTGTGTTATATACTCGAGTATATGATAATAAAGTCGATCAAAAGCATTCACTGTATACTCTCCTTAGAGAACTCGCTATGAGTCTTAATACAAAGTGTAGAATATTGTACGAGATTATATATACATATATATATGTATAAAAATTGGTAAGAGACTGTGTGTGATCAACTTTTTAGGCTCATGCTTTTAGGCTTCAAAATTCGCGCTCGTTCATTCGAGAGCGCGTTGTTTCGGCAAAACTTTACAAACAGTAACACAGTCTTCTAAAAATATGTACTTGCTCTATGAAAAACAAAAACTTGCACATTAAGTACAATGTATGTATAAAGAGAGTAGAACGATACTTGTCTATTCATTGTGTCCTGCTAGCGAGTATGTGATTCGTTCAAATTAATTATAAACTTTATGTGTGTGAAGAAAACAAAAAAAAAAAACAATCTCCCTATGGTATTGAATATTTAAGATTATTTGCGCTTATATTTTGGCCAGAACGAGCTAATGCACGATCCACAAAAATACGCTAAGGAAGCCGAAGTGTCACTTACATAGGTGTTTGTCAAACAGATGTTAAAGCGAGATGTGTGCATGAGGAAACTTGTTCAAAGAGAGAAAACGTGTCCCGTGTCTGTACAGCACACAAGACAGATATCTCATGTATGTGTGAGTGAACAACGTGTATAGTTGTGTACTGTGTGTGTGTGTGTGTGTATTTGTGTGTATGATACAATAAACATAATTAAATGCAATCCGTACAAATCCATGAGATGTGTGGCGCTTTAAAGAAATAGGAAAGTGACATAGAAAACTAACCTCGCAATTATTCAGGGGCACGCAGTAGTGAAAAAAAAACGGAAAAAGCTGGTAAATAATTGACAGATAACACAGTGACTTCAACAAAGTATATTTATGGGATTGATTGAGATTTTGCAACATATTAATGAGATAGAAAGAGAGAAAGAGAAAAAGAGAGAGATTAATATATATATATATTATCTGCACGTAATTGTTCGCGAAAACTAATTTTTATGTAATCTCCCTCCGGGCGCGGGATTGTTATTATATAAAAAAACGTACGTGTTAATATACAAATTTTCTTTTTTTTTTTAATTAATATATAAAAGTATATAAAGACAATCGCGATTTCCTTTCACTTATTTTTCTTTCGTTTTTTCTCAATATACGATATTTTAGTTTTTTTTTTCTTTTTTTTTTTTTTAAATCTTTGGATACTGAGATTGTACATAACCATGATGTACACATATGCATACATACATATACATACATATACATATATGCAATTGTTGAATTACACGATTGAGATACAGATATATCTTTGGAAGTTGTCCATATAAAGCTACCATTTATCACAGTATTCTACTGAACCACAACCACATATGCAAGCAAGAATACATTTGAAATGTACCTGAATCTTTATCAACATCTTCGTGAAGGAAAGACTCGTTGTCTTTTCCTTCGGGACCTTTTCTCACTGCTGTCAATGCACTAGAATCAGTCTCATGAGTCCCTACACTTTGCGTATTGTTCTCCATTGGCGGAATACTAGGTGTAGGAGCGTTAACATAAGTCTGAAATAACGTGTACCAAAAAAAGTCATACAGATGAATTTACGCATCGGAATAAACATTTGTGAGAAAATTTTCATTTTCTCCAAGTTATTGTACCTGTTGCGCTTGTAATCTCAACCGAGCCTCTTCTTGAGCATCTTTCTTTGTGGTAAGAACTTTGTCTCGAATTGACGTACGCCGTACACTCTGCGTCCGCGTGTTTATGCTTTGTGACCTACGTACTCTTCGTCCTTGCGCCTCACGAAGACGTTTACTCTCTTGCTCCGTTTTTAATTCCACTATTCTTTCCCTGATTTCCGGATCTTCACATATGTCTAAGACAACACAAGTCATTATATAATATAGAGAATACGAATTATAAAAGAGAGAAAAGATCAACTCGATTCTACCTGCAGGAGTTTCGTCGTGTTTATTCTTCGCGTTCAGATCTGCTCCATTTTGCACCAACAATTCAAGCACTTCCAACTGTAAAATAACACACAAAATATTTATACATGACAATTCTAATAACACACATAACCATCAAAATAAAAATGCGTGATTTATACATGTCCCCAACACGCAGCCGCATGAACCGGCTGCCACTTATCATTGTCCTCGACATCGGTTGACACGTGTTGGTCGAGAAGGAATTCAACAACTCTTAAGTAGCCATTGGCGGCTGCAATATGAAGCTGTAACAAAATCGTAATATAAATTAATAAAATTACGCAATCTCAAATGTGACTTACCACTATTTGTTTCTAGACCAAAATCTCTGTACACTTACAGGTGTAGCACCTTGATGGTCCTTGTATTCAAGATCACCTCCTAAAGAGGCGATCTTTTGTAAATCCTGCAACATTTGAACCTCAGTCGAAGCTCTTGTCTCATCTATTAATTCTTGAGTAACTCCTCGCCTCGCCATTTCCCCTATTTTTATAATTAAAATTTATTTAATTTACACCTTACATGTTTTGCTGTGTTTCGCTTATATGTATGTACATATGGTTATTTACCTTCAATGCAGTCCAATGTTTTTTCATGTTCACAGATATCATATGGCATATTGCCATCGGCATTAACAGCCAATAAATTAGCACCCCTAGCAATAAGATACTTGACTAAATGTAAATGACCGCATGTAGCGGCAGCATGCAGTGGTGTCCATTTTTCGCTGTCTTCCGCATTGACATTAGCACCAAATTCAATAAGTAGCTTCATCATTTCCTCATTGTCGTCTATACAACACTGATGTAATGCCGTTAGGCCGTCTTCATTTGTCGAGTCTGGATTCACACCTTTTTTCAAGAGTCGTCTCACTGAAAAGATTTTTAATACTAATTTTAAACGATTGATCATTGATAACAGATGTAGTTCGTATTTCGATGTGTGATATGTACAAAATTTCTCTTTACCTTCATCAATGTCATTTCTTGCAGCAGCTTCCAACAACATAACACTATCACTAAAATATATGTGACGTTTATTACTTGTGTGTCTGGTCTGATGCCTTAACCATTCCTTCTCACGTTGCCTCCATACTTTCAGCTGTTGAAGTCTGCGATGACGTGCCAAATGCAATCGTTCTTGTGTTGTAAGTCTTTCCACATGTACCATTTCCGCCACTAACTCTGCGTGTTCCATTGTTATGTGTTTGTAAGTTTTGCAGGTATATTTACCTGTTTGTAGAAAAAAATAAAAAGAAAGAAATCCTTATCAAATATTATCTTGCACGTTCGCAAACACAGCGAGAGAAAAGAAAAAACAAAATTATATGTTTAAAAACAATTATGTAAACATTAGAGGCACGCACAAACTCCTAACAGCTTTACCTTTGTTTTTAAACGACCGAGATCTCATTCTCATATAACTAAAATATTTTTCTTTTAACATGCATCTGACGACATGATTCTGGCATGTAAAATCAGAGAAATTTCGTTATTTCAACAAAACACACAAAACCGAACTGATCCCCGAGAAGTTATCTGACAGCGAAGTGATAGCATATTTTCACCTGTTGTCTCATCAAATTTTATCAACCACTTAAGCAAGTAAACATACAATATTTGCGCACATGTTCTTACGTGTTTGAAAGGAAAAAAAAAGCTTTCTACCAATATTAACAATGATATTTATGTAGTGCTAGTGAGTATTTCTTTTTTAAGATTGGCTAAGATTTGGTATTTTTTTGTAAAAAAAAAAAATAAGATGAATTAATTTATTTTGAAAATTTCAAAGAAATCTCTCGTAAATGTAATATCAAAAACTTGATCCTTCTCTTTCCCCCAAAAAAATTTACAATAAAAATAATTAAGAGTGAAATTGATATTAATATTTGTCATGCGTATAGACATAGAGGAGATGTAATTATTACGAAATTTATTTCCTACAAACTAATTAATTAAGACGCACAAGCGATGTTTTCTTCACAAAATTTCACTTTTTAATTTTTAAGATTAAATAACTAATTAATGCAGCCACGTCTCGAGTCTACAGGAAATAATGTACTCGGTGATTGTTCATTGGCGTCTTGCGATTACATGTTATACTTTGCACACAATCACCATGAGGAAAAGCACCACGGGTGCAACACACACACACACACACACTCGTCCGTATACACGGTGTGTAATATTCTCACGGGGAATTTATCGTGCCTAATTCGCATCGCATCAAACGAGAGAGTACGCGTACGTACAATTCCCACACAACGGTCGGAAACGTATCGCCGAGCAAATGGATTTTACTTCCTGTCAATTATACATATATCGCGCACGGCAAGGCACCGCACCGAGCTATCGCGATCAAGGCCAGGACGAAGCGCGCAGGATCTTACGGAACCGTGAGAAGTATACGCGGGAGCGAGCAAAAAATTGGCAATCACCGCAAGATCGAGTGTCGAAAAAAAAAAAAAAGAAATTAACGGGGAAGCAGTTTTTTTTTCTTTTGTACTTACGTATGCAAGACTCGACACGCGGCGACTCTTTTGTTCTTCTCTCTCGTTCCCCTTCGCGCTCGTGTGATCGCGCCAGTGGAATGTAACGAGCGACGACAACAATTATGACGATAATGAAGGAGGAAGAGGAGGACGACGACGACGACGACGACGACGACGGCGAGGACTCGAGGACTCGGCACACGACGTGTGCAACGGCGATTCTCATTCATTCACATCGCGTCTCGCGCCTGTCCGCGTGAATTTACGTGGTATTTTTGTCGCATATCCCCGCGAGAACAAGCGCAATGTTGCGCCGCAACACACACGTTCACGACGACGTGTCGTGAAAGTCGCGAGATGAAAAAAAATCGAACGGAACACGCACCGGGGACACACCACGGGTGGCGGTGGATTTCGTTCGCGCGTTTTCCGTGCCTGGCAGCAGCGCGTGCAGCCGCGGAAACGTCTACCTGTCGGACGCCATTTTTAAACTACCTGCGAGAGAGATCCCGCAGTGTGTGTGTGTGTGTGTGTTGCGATTCGAGCCTGCTTTTTCCTCCGTGTGCGGCGCGTCAGCGAAGTATTCCGCTCCGTAGAGAAACCGGGTGTTTTCGGAACCCCCACCATCGAAGACGATTGTGGCATAAAATCGTCGTTGTTTTTATAAAAACACTACATAAAAATTCAAAATAATTAATTGAGAGTACATATGTATATAAAAAAAAACTCACTCATCTCTTATTGTTTCTGTTCACGTGATCGGTTAACCTATGTTACAGAATTTTCCTTATCCAACCGCTAAAAATCTTTTAATTCTCTTATTTACATGCGCGGCTCCTTTTGTTATACAATTCTTTTTATATTTTACAAATAATATGTATATGTGCGAAGATATTACAACGCATTTGCCTTACGTGTTTGTCAGATTCGGATCGTCGAAAAAAACTTCCTCGGCACCCGCGTCGGCTCCGTACAGATACGCCATTGCGTTACGTCACCGCGGTTACGCATGCGCAAAAAAAATCTAGTCCAAATCGGCGCAACACAGACCGGCGCACATCCTGTTTCGCCCCGTACCGACCCTTCACTACGCTCGATCGAGCGATCGACTTAGGATTCGCCTTGGCTCTCGGCTTGCCCGAACGCGACATAAAATTCGATTTGCGAATTCCGTTTGCGTTTTTCTTCGACTGCGCAAACGAACTAGATTGCGTAACGTCGTTCCGCATTCACGCGTGTCTATAATCGCGTGGATATTATCGCTTTCTCGGTTTGCATTTTGAACGCGCGACAATCGACGATTGACGCGCACAAGCTGATTTGATAAAACGTGAATTCCCTCTTATGCGGAACGGTACGTGCTCCGATAAAATTCGTAACGTAATATTTGAATCTCTCTTTTTGTACATATTTTTGTCCCACACAAATTTAAATATTAAATAAATTGAAATAAATTTAATATATTTAATTTCAAACTAACATTAAAATACGTCATTAACAGCCAAACACTGAATGTTCCGTGCGAAACGAATATATAAATATATATACATATATATGCATTTATATTATTTCAGTGTAAATTTTTACAACTGAATTTTAAATTGAAAATATTAAATTTTCTTTAAATGTATTTGTAGAAATGTAATATATAATTTACCGCGTATTTTGCTGCTCTAAAACAATAGCGAGATATATCAAAGAGAAGACCACACAGATAGCGCATATCTCTGCGCTCCAAAATTTACGTTCTACGAGATAATATGAAATCGATTTATTTCTTTTATCTCTGTATCAAACGTATCTTTCGGCACTCGTAAATCAAGGATCGAAACCTCGAAAGACGTTGCGAGAACGTGTATTGCGCATGTTCCTGCGAATTAATAGTTCGTCATTTGCGCACACGCCGCGATCGTTATCAGCCGCAGGCGAGTGATGTCGAGTTAATTGATTTTGTATGTTGTGTAATTCGTGTAATCTCAAGTTCGTGCGGCGATAAGAGCGAAATCCTTATCGCGCGCGTGGTTGGCGTCTTCCGGATTGTCGCGAACAACCTCGAGCGTCAATCTCGACGACGCGTCAAGACAACAACTCGAACATCTAACACGTTGCTGCCAATATGGAGGCGAACCGCGGCAAGGCGCATCTCGCGTTGGCCTCTGGCATGTTCGCCACCGGCGGTAGTCTTCTAGGCAAGCTCGCCGGTGGCGCTGATTTCTCGTCGCTGGTGAGTCGGCGGGTAGATTCGAATCGACGCAAAAGTCGCACGCCAAAGTGTGGCTAACAAAAACACAAGAAAACTTATCTCTTTGCAAAGCGATAATTAATTACTGAAAAACTTGCATTAACTAATTAATTAAATTTATTTACCGAACGCGTGTATTTATCATCATCATGCATTTGTTTTTCACGCGACAAAGACATCGTTGCTGATAAAAGGAACGCTTCTGGTCTGCATGATAACGTCCAACACCGTGGGATGTTCGTTTTTTGTCAAAGCCCTCAACAATAGCGGTTCTTCCTTGCCGGTGACGGTCGCCAGCACGACCACGAACTACATGTGTTCGGTGAGTTGTTAAACGCGCGCATCGATTATATATTATATATGCACGTTTTCGCGATTATAATACTATATATACAACGCGCGCGCCACTCTTGGAGCGCATGTTTGCTTTTTCTTTTTCACAGTTACCGCGCAACGTCAACGCGGTGACTATGAAAAATAAATTAAAATATCGCGAAATTACATCGAGCCAATCAAACAATTGAGAGACGCAATGTCGGCAATGTACGCGCGCAATGAAAACAAAACGACAATGCGAAATACGTGTATTTGTATCTCGCACAAAAGAACTCTCTCTTTCTCTGTTATATATATCGGGGTGGAAATTTATTTGTCTGTAACTCTCTGGCAGACGGACTGATACACTTCCGAGAAGCGGTGCGCCGCTAAAGAGTAAAAGTTGTTTCGCAAACTGGAATTCACAAGCCGCGAGCGCGCACAACGCGGTCACAGCAATTACACGCGCGTTGGCATACGTGGCGATTGAACGGGAATTGTACACGATATGTATACGACACACATATACATACGCGCGTTGCTTTTGAAGCGCGATCGCGCGATAAAGGGCGGTATTATATGCGGCAAAATAAGACAATTATTAAACGGATACAATGGAAATATATTGTGTGTTTTATCGGGAACAGATATCTCGGCGCGGATACTATTTCTCTTTCACATTTTCACGCAAGCAAAAAATTGCTTTGTTCGCGCGTTTTGAAAGCGAATTCGATTGTAATAATTTTCACCGATTGTTTCGGTCGATCAAAACGTGGTGGTTTTTACGTATCAGACAGCTCAGATATTCGCAAAAAATAAAAAAATAAAAAAATAAAACACGAAGCCGCTCGGAACTGTTTCCGATAGTCGATCAAAAAGTAACACCTCATTTTGTTTTTATTTAAAAAAAAAAAAAAAAAAAAAAACTGTCGATCAGCGGAACACTTTTTGTAAACTACAAAACTCCGCCAGTCTCTTCAGATTTCTAATCGGGATTGATGGAAATTTAAATGTCGGAGTGGCTAACTGGTTAACACCGCACACGCGCTGAAACGACACCGCGCATTATCGATTGACTAGATATGCGAAATTAAATATTTACAAGATTAAGTTCAGATTTGCGGAACATAAGTGGCTGTAATTTAAGATAGAGCGTATGTGTACGTACACGTGCTGACTAACACTTTTTTCGAGAGAAGCAAAGATAAGGTTATACCTTTGGGGAGGGGTTTTTAACGTATCGCGCGGTCAAACACGGCTCGCCGGTAATTTTCCGTAACGATCTTTGAAGTACGTTCTTTCATTTTTTTTTTTTTTTTTTTTTTTTTTAATACGAGAAACTACGTCAGTATGCATTTACGTAAAAGTCGGTTTACGTAAAAAATGTTTAATGTAATTACCTGTGTAAGAAAAACACTACAAAAGGAAAAAATATGCTTAAAATGTCTCCGCGAATCATTATAAATGCTACTAGCTAAATCATATTTTTCATCTTCTCCGTTGAAGGCACTCGTGGGTTTTCTCGTGTTCGGCGAATCCACATCGCTGGCCTGGTGGTGCGGGACTTCGTTGGTACTTCTCGGTTTGATTTTAATTTGCTACGTTCCCGAGGAAGAGGACACTTCCGAGAAGAAATTGAAGTAACCGCGGACGCGCATGTTGCGCTTTTCATATTAAAAGAAAAACAAAAATCAACGGTGGATGATGATCGCGCCGCAACACGACGAGTTACATCTCTATCTCCGGTTTTTCTATTAACGTTGCAAATTATGTGTGATTGTAAACGAATGAAAAAATTCGTTGTATTAAAAACGTTAACAAAGTTTAATAAACAAGCTTATTACATTCGTATAAGATATAACTGTAAACTTTTTTATAATTGAGTATATTTTGTTACAAATAAAGTTTATGTAATATATAGTCTTAATTTTTTTTTTTTTTTCTATCTAACCCGTAATTACTTTCTCCTTGCGCAAGTTGCGGATAATTTTGAGCAACGTGTTATTTGACGTAATTGTCCAATTGTGAAGGATGATGACGCACACATGTACGTAATTTGTATTATTAGATCAAAGAGTTTAAAAGAGACACGTTCTTTCCCCTCTCCTTCTTCGCAGCAGCGCATGCAATGTATCGAAATAAAAATATTTTCTATTTACGTAAATTTAGCAAAATACCGTTTTTTTTCTTTTAGGAGATATCGCGTGTTAAAATATATGTCGCGAAATATTTCCTCGAGAAAAATACGCATTTCATTTTTTTTTTTTTTTTTTTTTTTGAGATCTGATTAATTCTTTTTACAGACTGAAATTAGATTTTTATACCATAGATTCGAGGCAAAGTAGGTCTCTCTCTCTCTCTCTCTCACTTTCTTTCTCTCTCTTCGAAAACTGACTCTCTCGAGTAGCGCTTGTTTTAGCACAGCTGAGAGTGGATCTTCGTGCCTCTAGTAGCGCTAGATAAGAGGAACGACACAACGAGCGTCGGGGATCTATATCCTTTTCTAGTGTCACTTAAAACACATTAACACGATGCCTATCTTCTCTCTATCGTTCAGCCATCGAGTGGGCTAACTTCTCACACTGAAGCATTAACGAAACTCGCGCAAGGGCCGGGAGTTATCGTTAAGGTCGCTATCGAGTTGTCAGGTGCCAAATTCACACAGGATGGATAATGGGATCACGTGCACATTAACGCAACGTGTTGTATTACATACAAATGTAATGAGAATTGATTCACCAATTTGACCTCGCCGAGATAATAATACGTGTAATAAAAAAAATGTGAAAATATAACAAGAAAATAACAGGTGAATTGATCTTCTCTAACATCAATTTACCTTGGCGATTATATACCGTCATTCGAATGATATATCGTGAAGTTAATTTTTTTTTTTTACGTGCGATGTTATTTCTCTCGAAAATGTGTTGCGTGATAAAAAAAACAGCTGATCGCGTTGGGTATTTACTTATTTTTTATAAGCTAGATAGTGGTTTTCACTACATCTCTCTCAACGTTTTGCATCGCAAAAAACGAAGGATTTTCCAAGGTTTTTGTGTGCGGCGTACACGACGCAGCCTCTTCGCGGAGCGTCGAGAGCACTTCGGCAACATGCATCGGCGGGACACACGCCGTCCATTCAAGATCGTGTCATGTCATGCCCGCACACACATCCAATATTCTTCAGTCAGGACGCAAGCGTGGCTCGATGTTGTGTGCGTGTGTGTGTATGTGTGCGTGTGCACGAGTTCTACTACACCAGATTTCTCATTTATAGGGCAGGGTCGAGGGGTGCCAGAGAGCGAGGACGGCCTTTATCGAGCGGCTTCTGCGCGAATCCGCCACCGTCGACGCCGACGCCGTTGTCCTCGACGCCTTATCCAGGGACGGATTACTCTCTCCTGTTGTTTGCGCGTTAATAAATCATTTCCGTGATCAAAAAACACGCGGTGAATTTCAATTTCTTGCCGATCCCGGGTTTTCCGAACGCGAATGTTGCCGATTTTTCAGCAAGGAGAAATCTTCTGATTTAAACCCCCTGAAAGTTTCTTCGCCTCGGAAAAGACCGAGACGTTCGAACCGACTTAATTCGTCCCTGACAACCCCTTCTCTTTGTATTTTACGCTCATCCCTTCCCACATCCCGTCGCGACAAATCTGTTATGAGATTTCCACCTTCATCCTCGCCTACCTCATGGCAATGAATTTGAACGGGACGCAGATTCCCGCGGACGAGGCAGAAACGACGACGACATCGGTCAATGCGCGTCGTCGTCGTCGTCGTCGTCGTCGTCGTCGTCGTCATCGCACGTCTGCTCCTACGTGAGAAAAGAGAGAAAGACGAGAACCGGTATGACTCTCTCTTATTGTGACCGAGCGGGTGTTATCGATAGCCGTGACGCGGGGGGAATATCCCGTCGTTCGTATCTCTCCGAGACCGGCGCGCGGCGAGCGAGATTAACTCTCTGAAAGGACCGCATCCCTTTCACCGGTATCTTGCTCCCCCGCAGGGAACATCTCGGGGAGCTGATCCGATCTGAGCCGAAGGGCTTTTGTCGAACGCGAGCGGGCAATCGATCGTGGTGTTTCGGTGTCTGAGAGTTTAAGGCGTGTATAGAAGAGAGAGAGAAAGAGAGAGAAAGACACAAAGAGAGAGAGAAGTCTTGCCTTCGGGGGATAAATTGTACTATCTCGAGGCAAATTTATACCGCTCTATTTCCATCGTTGGATGTTCCTGTCGAGGTGAGATCCAGAAAGAGAGAGACGCGAACCGGCGATATCCTTATACGGGATACGAGCTGTCGAGCATCGAGAACTGGCAGTACACGCATACGAGGCGGGCTGTTTTCGCGCAGTGATAGGATCTACCCCACTATCCTGCACGTTGCCCTAGCCGCTGTCCCTCCGACGCGTCGCGGTTTCCCCCACCTTTCGTACCCACCCCCGCCTGTGTGCTTTTTCTTTCTCTCTCTGTTCCTCTTTCTTTCTACGTGTTTTTTTTTTTTTCGTCCTCTTCGCGCTGTGTGTGTTCGCCACCGGGCAAAACCCCTTTCGCGTCTGCTCCTCGCGCGCTTTCCTGAGAGAGCGGGGCAGTTTTCGTACGACGCGCCCTTCCGTTGAGAATATCGAGAGAGAAAGAGAGAGAGAGAGAGAGAGACAGGTAGAGAGAGAGAAAGGAAGTAGGGGGAAATAGAGAGGGAAAAGCACACGAATTGCGGTGCAATCTGCTGCAACGATGTGTGACAGACGAGGCTGAAAGTGCAATCGAACGATGGAATTAAAGAGGCGCGATCCGCCGCGGTTGGCCGCCTCGGGAATTTCTGCTCGCGGAAGCAGTTGAGTGTAGCATACGAACGATTTCTCTTTGTTTCTCGACTGTTCTCCCTCGCGGGAAGAGACGAGATAACATCCCCAGCAAGTGCACCGAGTTAATTTGCGATAAGGGGTGAGTAGTTGCTCTCGAAGGGAATTTTTCTGAGTGCCACTCTCGCGATATCGCGTTCAGTGTGGATTCTGCAGGTGTGTGTACATGTACCTCTTTTGTTTTTTTTTTCTTTTTTTTTTTTTATACTTCTTTGTGAAGAGTTCTGTTTTATATGTCGATTACATTTTTAACAAGACTTTGAATTTGCTGCTGTGAGTGAGTAACAGGCTTTTTCGTTTATTAATTTCTGCACAACCGGCGTAACCTTTTTTTTTTTTTTTAACTTGAAAATAAACGATCTCGAAAATGTTCTCGAAAAACATTTATTTATATTCGTACGCCCCGTGTCTTGCGCATTGAAAAATATCCGTCAGACGCGAATTGTGTGTAGCATTATTTACAATGCACATAGCTTTTAGCTTGATTACGAAGTAAATCTAGATGTACATGTTATATTTTATCAGGATGAGGCTTTGTGATAGAGGCGGTGCCTTTGACGGACAAGATCACGTGACAAGAGATTTCAGATAGATGAATGCGTCTCCTCTTTTCCTCGTCTCTCTCTCCCTCTGACGTGTGCTTACCACAGTTGTAATAAATTAATTTTATGCGACTGAAACTCGCGCGCGCGCGCGAGTTTTTTTCTTCTGTAAAAACGCTTCGCGTGACAACTTCCAATTGGCCGGTCACGATCGGTTTTTGCTGAATTTGCGAACTTATCGAGTCACCCTCCCTCCCTTCCCGCGTTTTATTTTGAGAGAGTAGGTCAACATCGCGCGGGACCACTGGCTTTAGCATTTCAATTGCATTTAATCTAAATGGCAAATTGATATAACTTTCATACAGTAGAAAATAGCAGCAAGTATTAACGAATATGTGTGTGTATTTATATTGTGAAATTCGAACGATTGAATATCCGATGGAGGGATTCAAGATTATCTACTGAATATTTATAGCAGTGATTGTATTACCGATACATATTCGGAAACGACGGAAGGAAAGGAGAGAATATTGGAATTATTCTATTCCGCTCTTTTTAAAAAATGCATACCGATATTTCGCACAAATATTTTTTTTTTTTTTTTTTGGAACAGGTTATACCAAGAATTTTGTGTAGAATATGCGCACGTGTGTGATCTTTCGGTTTTGTATTTTTTTAAATATTTGTTCAATATGTTTCAAAATTTTTCTCTTCCCCAAAGCGCTTTTTCAAAACTGAAATTGTTGAAAATTTTACACAAACGTGGTGGCCTTCAGCTGTGGTCTGTGTTGAAAAACTCATAACGCGGTAGTTACACCGAATGCGCGCGGTATCAAGTTGCAAGGTCGTCGTAAAGAGTCCGAAAATTGTCTTATGGCAATTAATTCAACTTTCGCCCACGCTAAGAAAGAAAGTTCCAACTTCTTTCTTGGCGGTTGTTCAACAAACAATGCCAACACGTCCAACTTGGGGAAAAGTACACATATATTGCACCGCGCCGCAATTCCATTTGTATCAATTGCGCGAGATACGTCAAAACATAAATATGTACTCGTACAACATATCGATGTAAACAAATTGATAGCGCATGCATATTTTGGATGTTTGAAATTTACTCGGGGGCAAGCAAAATCCGAAACGCATCCGCGGCTTTTGCATCAGCGCTTTGTTGTTCGAACAGCAAAATATGTTATACGTCGGGGCACCAAGCCAATATATATGGCTCCCAGGCAGAAAATTTACATAAACGCGTTTATTCTTGGGCTGTCGAATACAAGCAACAAAAACAAAAATATCACAAAATCCATTTCCATGAGACGATCTTTCGCTATATATATATATATATGCGCGAATTTATATTTTTCTGGCAAAGAACGCGGCAATTTGGCGTCCTTGATATCCGACACTGTTATTATTCGGCGTTGAGTCACGATATCCTTTCGTTTCTCAGAGTTTATTGAATTTATTTATTCATCGAATTTTCTCTCCGCAAAAGAACATCCCTCTCTCTCCGATAAAAACAACAATAACTCCTTGCACAAACTAGATAGATTGTTTTCCGCCGCTATCACCTTCGAATTAACGGTTTTTATATTTTTACAATGATTAATTATCAGTTATTTACACACACGTGAAGGGTACTTATATAAGAAACTTGTTTTTGTGTTCGAGAGTGGGAACAAGTGTAGCGCCATTAATGCGCACGAATGCACTGCTGACAAAGTAGGTTAACGTACTACCTAGGCTAGCTAAGTCCTTACAATCCATCTTATTGATCTTAAAATAATCGATAAAGCGTGTGCGTTCTTTAAACCGCGCGCGCGTGTGTGTGTGTGTGCATTTGTAGTTTTTGAAGTAATGCCAGCTGCATCATTCCGTCCTTCTGATGTAAACACGTTTCTGACGCAATTTGAGATTGTCGCGCGATTGTTCGCGCGAGATGACGCTTTATTTAAAAAAAAAAAAAAAAAAACTTGTGCGCAAATCCGCTTATCCAATTTTTGAGAAAAGAGATCGCACATAGAAGAGACGACGATACGTGACATCAATTTATCAATATACACTCGTCCCATTTTGTAAAGAGCGTTTCTTCTTTCCGGAGTTTCGATAATCGATATCCGAGAACAAATTTCTCCCATTATATCCGTCATTCTCGTTATACGCGATATCTCTCGTTCACCTTTCCGAGTGTGTTTTTCATCTCCTTTTCACGAGAGCTGTGTCTTTCTCTCGCTGCATTGTGATTACAGGTGACTTTTCAAAAAGACAGATCTACTTTCCGCGCGAAAACCGCGCGCCAGCTTCATATCGGAAAGTCGATTGCTCTAGTTCTCGCGCGCGCACGTGCACACACACACACACACATACACAAAAAAAGCCTAAAAAAAAGCCTAAAACGCGGTCTATTTTCACTTTTTTGCGAACCACTCGAGGCGAAGAGGGACGAAATTCGCATATAAATGGAATCTCTTCTCGTTGTAGGGCGACTATATAACGTAACATCGAGGAGAAGCTCACTTCGGTAAAGAGGCAAAAAAGCGGCCGCCATGAATATAAAAGTTCGCTCGCATTTCGAGTAATCGGAATGCGCCGGATATCCTTGTTTACCAGACGGCAACACACGCGGAAAAGCGCGGTCTTATCGAAATGCGCAATTACACGGAGCAATAAGCGAGAGAGACGAGAGAACAGTTTTTCCCTGCGATACGAGAGAGGAAACGGTTGTTATCGCCGAGACGAGAAAAAATAAATCGTTGCGACACAATTATCTTTATGCGCTGCAGTAAATATAACTTAACGAATCAAGAAACAAAAATCATGAAACGAAGATAGAGCGAAAGGAGAGAGAAATAGAGATAGTCAAAGGAAACTTGATAATTTCACGAGTGGAAGAGAAGGTCGCTAAGATGTCGATCGAGTAGAGAAGCAGAAGACGTTTCCATCCGACGAATGCTGTGTGTCGCCGATGATTCAGTCGAGTAGAGCGCGGGCGGAGTCCCTTGACGTTGTGCACGTCGAAGATGCTGCTGTTGCTGCTTGACAAACAATACACTGCCCCGCCGGTGAGAATCGGGTCGTCGGATCGCCGTGGAACAAGCAGCTTGAGAAGCTGAAGATGACGACGACGACGAACGGACAAAGACGCGACGACTCACGCCGTTAAGCTGATAATTTTCTTATCACGCGCTAGTCATCGCGTTGCCGCCGTCATGGGGAATGGCATGAACAAGGTGAGGAATAAACTCTTGTAAACGACTACGTTTCACATCCGATTAAACCGAACGCTCAATCGCTGCGCGGTTACGTGTGATAAAGACCAGAAGGTAGATAAAGCTGCACGTGAAAGCTATGCCGGAAACACGTACTCCGCGTAAAAAAAAAAAAAAAAATAAAAAAATAACTTTAAATTGCGCTAATTCCTTTCGCACAGCGCTATTCGTAAACATTCACTTTACAGTGGAGATTATTGAACGAGTAATTTCGTCGTAATTTATGTACAGTCGGATAATCCGCTCGGATGTTTTTATTTGTGAGGATTTCGGCGTTTTTTTTCCCCCCAGAAAAAAGTGCGATATAATCCGTTTGATTCCTCTATCTAGACGTCGATGTTGTGACTTTTTATACTTTTTATTTCATGATGAAATATTATTTTTAAACTCCGACAATTTTTTCCTTCTCTGCTGTACATCGCGTTCATGTCATTACGTATTTGCGGTGTGACTTCTTCCTTCAAAAAATCAGCTCAAAAACCTCACACCGAACGCTATCGTCTTCCTCTTTCTTCCGTGACACACAGGTTTTTGTCGCGCGATTTAGTCGTTCCGCATTTCTCGCTCGGGGAAAATTTCTTTCCAACGCGTGTTGTAGTGTCGTTACTTGTCGCAGCTCTTTTCAGCGCTCGTCGATGCGTCGTCCGTGATCGATCAGGACGAGGCATCGATGAGGATGCGTCGGTAGTGGTAATGGCAATTTCTGCGACGGTATTGTTGAACATTCTATTGTCAGCTTTTCAGCGCGGGATTCGGTGAGACATCGTTTGCGGGGATTGACGCAAAGCAAGACCGCGAGATAGAGACGGAAAGAGAGAGAGAGAGAGAGGGAGAGAGAAAAAGAGAGAACGGATTTCTTTAAGCCGGCGCGATTCTTCGCGCGGATTTTCATCCCCCGCGAATTTCATTTTCGTTTTTGACGACATAATATCCGTCCTTCCTTTTCGGACATTTCTTCTCTCAATCGCCACGTGATATCGTTTTTATGAGATGACGCGCGACATGATCTCCTCCTCGTGATTTTCCGTCGATCGTCTCGACGGACATCCAATTCTCGAATCGACTTCGGGCCGAGCCGCCTTTACGGAATCGCATTTACGGAATCTCTCGACGGTGAACAATAAGATCGGAAACGTCGAGACGGAGAAGACGGAGGATCTTCCGGAACGTTTCCCTCCGCAGGAGGATACGTTCGAAAAGGGGGCTCGTGGGGGATTTCGATGTCACTCTGTGGATGAGATCGCAATCTACGCGACGTCTCTCGTCGAGCGATCGATGGCACGACGCTATTTGCACGCTGCTGTGAATCGCGCAAACACACACCGGGAGGTCACCGGGAGCGATCGAAATCGCATTTTCGTCGCCAACAGCAGCTGGCACGACAGGCTGTTTATTATTATTTTTTTTTTCCTCGTGCACTCAACGAGGACGGATGTGTCGCCCTCCTTTCTTTCGCTTTTTTTTTCTCTCCCTCTTTACGTTTACGATCGATCGATCACGAGACGACAGCCGCTCGACGCGGTCTCGTCGACAACCTCGACTCCGATCGTTTCTTCTCATCTAAAAATCAACGAGCGCTGAGCAGAGGTTGACGAGAGAGTAATTGCGGTTGTTCTTGAATAAATCAGTTTACAACATCGACAATTGTGTCAAGGCTTCTCATTGGCTATTTTCTCATTATACTCTTTCAATTTGAAATCATTTTTTATGTAGGTATTTTTTTGTATTTTTTTTTTTTTTTTTTTTTTATTAGTAAAAAGTATTAACAAATTTGTCGCGGAATTGCGTACTCGAGATCGAATCAACGCGTGGCGGACGATGTTTAAAGTTGTTGATGTATGCTCTTCTGCTTTTCCCTCGTAGCTGAAAAGTTCGCTTGCACATCGAAGTTCAATATTTGCTCAAAGAGCAAGTTAATCCAAGATTACGGCGGCGTCGCGTCGAGACGGCCATCACGAATTCATCTCACGATTTGCATTTCGCTCTCTGCCGCGGCTCATCTGCATTTTCTCGTCGCCTAATTGTGATCTTTCGTCAACTCGACGTCGCGAAAAAAAAGAGAGACGGCGTTTTTAAATCAAGGACGACGCGAGATGACGGATTTTTGTTTTTCACCTCAAGTCAAGATATGATCTGCGCATTTGTACACGTTGTATGAAAGCTTCTCGTTACGCGCGGAGCTTCTCGTAACATCGAATTGAACATTAATCTCTCGGAGAATCGCGCTAATACACGAAAATGCCACAATTCTCGTCTCCAACACCACGTTCGACGTGTTGGCAGGTGCTTCCCGGTCTCTATGTGGGGAATTATCAGGACAGCAAGGATGCTGATCAGTTGGAACGTTTCGAGATCACGCATATCCTGGCCATTCACGACACGGCTCGACGTTTACATTCCGTGAGTATAAAAAAAAAAAAAAAAACTATACACTTGTCCGATTCAAAATATATAAATAAAACAATGTCGAAAATATATTTTAAATTCGAATTAAAAATATTGACGTATTGCATTTTTTTTTTTTTTTTAGGACAAACATTATCTGTGCATCTTAGCCGCCGACAGTCCCGATCAGAACTTGTCGCAATACTTCTCTCTGTGCAACGACTTCATTCACGCTGCACGTCTTCGCGGCGGAAACGTTCTGATTCATTGGTAAGATACGTGTACAATAACGTCTCGCAAAATATGTCACACACGCGAGATCACGTTGACGTTTCTCTTCTCTTCACTGTACAGAGGTTTGAAAGAGAAAAGCGATGTCAAAGCAATTGAATTTTGTAAATTTTTATAAACAAAGAAGAAATATTATTATTGTTTTTGATTTAGTCTGGCAGGGATGTCGAGAAGCGTAACAGTGGCAGTGGCCTATATTATGAGCATCACGAATCTTTCTTGGAAGGAGGCGCTCAAAGTTGTCAGGGTTGGTCGTTCGATTGCGAATCCGAATGTCGGTTTTCAACAGCAGCTCAAGGACTTCGAGGCCAGCCGCTTGCAAGACGTAAGTGTGAAAATAAAATAAATAAACGCGAAGTTGCGATGATGAGTTTACGATTGTCAGGTCAAAATTATAAGCGTTTGCAATATTTCAATACGCAGGAACGTCGTAGACTGAAAGAGCGATTTCCCAGCCTCGCTCTGGCCGAGTCCGACGCCGAGGAGTGCAGATCGACTCTGAGAAATTACGAAACGATGGCCCTGGCGAGAGAGGTGTGCGAGGGAAAATGCGCCTTGGGACGCACTTGCCCGAGCGGTTTGTGTCGTCAAGCTTCCAAAAGGTGATTTAAAATCCCGTTTATTGCAAAGCGCGCGCACACAATGTAGGCTCTCATACTCTCAATCGTCCAATATCGCAACGTAATAAAAATATTTCAATCACGAAGAATCGCGCGGTATAAAGTAAAATCAAACGTACACAGATCCCCGAGAAGGAAGTCGTCCACCAGCAGTGTGGGAAGCGCGTCCGGCAGAACACCCCCGCAAACACCTCGGATGCTACCGTCCGCGCCACCCTCACCTGCCATGCACAGATCGGCGAGCGTTGTGTCCGCGCTGAGACCGAGAAGCGGACCGGCAGGATTGCAATCCTACACCGGAGGATCCGCTCCACCTTCCAGGTAAGGATCCGCTTGCTGACGGAATCTTTTTGCAATCGGGATTTCTCCGTTGCTATTTGTTTTGCGAACGCACGTTTGGTTTATTAATTGATTTAATTAACATTGTTCTCAGGGCTGTGTCGAGAGTGGATCTGTCAGCTGCGGTCGCCTGCAGCAGCAGCAGCAGCGGCAGCAACGCCAATCTGTCCGCTTTGGGCAGATCGAGCGCGTTTTCCGGCAGCAATTGGCGTTTGACCGCCGGATCGGCGCCGAACACGCCGAGACCGACGCCGCCGGTTTCGCCGCAACGCTGGCCGAGACGGCTCTCGAATCGGCAAACGCCGCAGTTACCGATATCGTCGGAGTCGCATCCCTCGTCAATGACGTAGCAGAGGGAAGCGCGCGGCTCGCTGACGAGTCTGCTGGAATAGTTTAAACAAAAGAAAAAAAAAATATCGGCGAGGCGCTCAAGAATCCTTTAATGATCCAGACGGGATATAATTTAAAACTTATTATTATTGTTATTGCTTCGACATTAAATACGGGAGAAAAGCTCGGGGGGGAAGAGGAGGCGCGAGAAAATGTCCGTGTTTTTTTTTTTTTTTTTAATTAAACGAAGACGTGCCTGCTGTTAATATCTCGCATTCGAGACAATCGGGATGTTTTAGTGGACGTTCGGACGAACGACGGTGAAGTTTTTGCGAACGGTCGCGCGTAAATTAACGCGTCGTTTGTTTGTACTTACTTATAAATCGAGGAAACGTTGACACATCAAATGCGTATACATATCGCATTGCTGGAAATTGTTGGTGATACTAATCGGTACAAGTAGTAGTTACACGTTGTTGCTTATATTTAACAAAAATAAAAAAAAATAAAAAATAAAACAAAAAAGGTGCTTTCGTCGTCGATCGGGGACGCGAGAACGATGAGACTCTCTTCTTGTACAACAGGAAAATATATTTTGTATATATTTTATGAAAATGGGTCAGTTTTAATCATCTCATTATTTTCCGGTTTAATTAGTTGAGGAATACGAGAAATCCGCGTATCCTCTCGTCACGTTACACATCTCGTCGGTGATTTTGTTATTTGATAATAAATACCACACGTAATTCATATATTTATTTATATACATTTAAATATATAATTACGTATCGCGCGCAAAATTTTAGTTAAAATTTCTATAAAGTCGCGATCTCTCTCTCTCTCTCTCTTGATCCGCGAGATAAAGTAATAAAACGGGAAGAGATTGATTCGGGACGTGGGATTAATCCTTTGGGGCTTTATCGGTTGTAACGATAATTGCGTGCAATTAAATGCGACAGGTTATTTCACGCTCTTTTATGGCGTCATTCAATCGCTCTAATAACGCGCTGGTTAACGATCGTCTCTGCAATTTTTTCCCCCAACGGGATAATGCGCGAATCGTTAGCGGCTAATAATTGGTTGTGAAAAAGACTTTCATCGCTCAAAGCAATATTTCTCGCGCCAAAGGATTAACGAAAAAGAAAAAATTACATGCTTGAACGCGCGCTGACCATTTGATTATTTGATTTTGTGAATAATTTGTGCAAAAAGCGAAGAGAGAGTCATCGGGGAATATTTTTCGATACGGACTTTAACGCGAGAAAGTGAGAGTTTTACAGATAACGTAGATGTAAAGTTCGACCGCGCGTGTGTGTGTGTGTGTGTGTGTATGTGTGTTACAATAGAAACGAGATCGTTGCAAAGAGAAACATCCGCAAGAACACTCATCCGAATCCGCACACGCGATTCCGGAGATCATCCCGCGAGCGGGAAAATCGGTTGTGTCTGTTGTGTGTGTGTGTGTTTTACGTGTTCGCAAGAGAGGAGGAAAAACGCAATGACGGATCTTCGTTCCAACTAACGTGTTTCATTCGTTTTGTTTTTGCAACCGTCCAATACGATTGTTGGCTTTCTAGCGAGATCGCACTGTTTTATCGCATGTTGTTGAAATGAAAAGAAAAAACCAAAAAAAAAACCAAAAAAAACAAACAAATGATAAGAGACATATGTACATATATATACACACACACATACATGGTACACATATATGGTAAAAAATATACGTATATACATATACATATATGTACACACTGTTGCGCGCGAAAGAGCTTTCAGAGAATTTTATATAAGCGGCAATCGCGATTACATATTATATTACTACACACGAGCAAAACAAATAGGCATTAGGCAAAACCGTTGTTGTTGAGTTTGCCAGCACGAGCACCACCAGAAATGTCGTTTACAAATCGAGATTTCAGATAAAAAAAAAAAAAAAACAAAAAACAAATAAATAAATAAAAAAAAAAGCCGCTTCGATCCTTCTCAGTATTATTAGCGCACGATAAGAGGTAACGTAGATTGTTTTTTAATCGTCTCTCATGTACATTTCCACTTGTGTATATGTGAAGAGCTGCGCGTCGCGACAAAATTGGTGCGTGTTTGTGTGCGTGCGTGAGTGCGCGAGTGTGTCTGTGTGTCGTCGTCGTCGTCGTCGCAGCAACCGGATGATCATTATCAAATGTGCATTTCATGCCGTAAAAATTCGCGATATTTTTCCGAGAGAGAAATACATACAAGCGCGCGGGAGTTTTTTGAATTCACGAAGCGGAGAGAGAGACGATTATTCCGAGTCGAACTATTGTGTGTACACGCCAAGAACAAATATCGAGGAAAATTGCCGCGAGTACTGATTTCAGTACGCGAACGGTACCGCACAACCGGATACGCGAGCGTTTCGAAATCATTTTACGAGAAAGCGGTTTTCCAACTCGCGAAACGCCAGGGTACTTCTGAGTTTATTGTGCGTGTTCGCTCGTTAAAATCCATCGGGGAAAAAAATCAAACCTGCGTTCTCAAAATCGTCGGACACGACACGTGAGATCGCAATCGACGATCGTGTAAACTCGCTTGTAACGCCGCGCGCGCAGTTAAAAATGTGAAAACGCGCGTTAATTAACTCGCGATTGAAAAAATCCCGCATTTTGTAACCGGTCGGCGTTGCGGACGATCGCGCCCGATCGAGGGGAGCGATCAAGGATTCATCATACATATCGTTTACATTTCAACCATGTACCTTAAAATACACATATTCCTATATATATATATATATATATATATATATATATATATGTATATATACATGTAATATACATATACAGCTGGTTTCGTGTGTGGAGCGACCGATGGGGGATTATTCGCGAAATTTTTGTGTGTGATGAAAACAGACACGCGAACAAATGATTAACATTCAGAACGGATAGACGGTGACAATGGCGCGACCGTGAAACGATCTTTCACGGCCGGCGTCTTATCTCCGGAGACCGTCTTAATGGCTCGGTGTGTTAAAAATCGCTTTTTTTCGCGAGTTCTCCAAAATTACATCGATTCGCTTCACGCGGAAACACTACATTTCGTGCGCAATATAATTACAATTGCGATATACGACATCGATAGTAGAGCAGAGAGCTGGCGGTCGTGCGTAAAAAGAATTTAGATCTGTATACTTTTAGCGCATGGAGCGTCTCAGTCACATGGAGCGAATGTGTGCGCCACTTCCTCCTCCCTCCCCCCCCCCGCGAGGATGAAAATATATTTTTCAAACGAAGAATTTTCTCCCCTTGTTTCCAATCGTTCCCCTGCTGTGACGTTGTTATTGTAGACGCACAAAAAGCGGTCCAAAAGATTAATTCGACACAGATAATCCCTCCTCTCCCCCCCCCCCAGTTGTTGTATTTTTGGAAAACTTACGGAAACAAAACATTTGCTCTATATGATTCGGATCCATGCACACATTTTAGGCAATGTGTACGCGGCATAGAAGATTCTACTTTTTTACAATGTTAATGTTAACGATCACGCGCGTAGTTAAGGGGGGGGTGGTAGTTTATAGAAAGTGATCCGCGCGGGAGCATCGAGAATGATATCGATGCGCCATTGATAGAAGCAAATTATTGATAACTTATTGACCTGAAGCATCGCTAAAAACGATAGCTAATTATCCCCGCGACGTAACGTGCGCAAATCGATGCCGGTAAACGAGCTGCGCGAAGGATACGCGATATGCGGGGCGCAGCGGTGACGGGCGCGAGAAAAACAAAAGAAAAAAAAAATAAATAAATAAACACATTTGACGGAGAGAGAGCTTAAGCATCTTCCAGTTATTTTAGCGGAAAAGCGTATCGGCGAGAGAGATTAAATATGCATAATTGCAAAATCTGTTGATTTTTTAACGAGAAATATTGAAGCGGAAAGAGGGAGATTTTTTGCAGCCGCGAAAAGCCAACGATGTGTAGCATATAAATATTAATAACGTTAGATATACGATTCGATGTTGATGCGGCGTTCCGTTTTTCGCCTGGCTCATCGCGTCGCGCATTGCGCCGCCGACGATTCTCTATCTCTATCTCTATCTCTATCTCTATCTCTCTCTATCTCTATCTCTCTCTCTCTCTCTCTCTCTCTCGTTGCATGTGCAATCGTGATTTTCCAGCAATAAGCAGAGATTATCGACGCTCACGAGCCGGCAAATCGCGCGAGGAGATCGCGCCGAGCGTTCGCCGGTTGTTTTATCGTTCGTATAGATAGTTAGTGAGCAAAGCTTGATCGTTATTACACAGCTGCGAATTAAATCGAGCGCGATTCGTCCGCGCGCTTATCGCGCGCACCTGTGTACTTTCTTTCTCTCTCTCTTTCTCTCTCTTTCTCTTCATCGTATATATTTAGAAAATCCACTCAAGAGCTCACGACATTTATTTTTCTAAACGCTAGCGACGATCGTCCATTTGTTGTCACTCGATTCGATTGCGATAAAAATGAGATTGCGAGGAGGAAGCGAGAGACTAATAAAAACTCGGTCAAAACGAAAAAAAAAAACTCAACGGAAAGTGCGGCTGTTGAGAGAGAAAAACGATGCGAGCGTAAATACATACGTAGGGATATTATATAGAAAAATGCGCGAAATATTTCATCACATTGTTGCACCGATAATATATTATTTTAAGGCCACCCATGTGATATTTTTGTAAGTTGCAAAGAAGAAATGTTTTTTGGTTTCACGCTGAAACTGACTTGTGAATTTACTCCGGCCTTCTCCCGCGGGAGAAACCCCCGTTTCCTTCTTCCCGCCGTCATTTCTTCCCGCCCGACAACTTTCCATCCCCCTCCCCCCTCTCTTCCTTCCTTCCGTCCTTCCTTTCATTGTCACGATAACCATCCGCGATAACTAGTGAAAGTTCTGTTAATTTAACTTTAATGAGTTCGCCCCGAGACTTGGCGGAGGCGAGGGGAGAGGAAAGGGAGTAATTTGATCAGCAGTTTCTGAAGGCGGCTTTATCCGAGCCGGGGTCCCTCACTCACTCGCGAGTGTCATCTCTGTCTTTCATATCTAATGTACCGACTAAATGTCCGGGAAAGATAATCGGCAGTTAATTGACTCGGTTTTCCCGCGGTTTCGAGTTGTGTTTAGTATACACACACACACACACGTACGCAAGAATTTTCGAGATCATCGTTAGCATTGATCTTCTCCCGTGCGTAATCAAGAGAGACACCTCACCTCAAATAACTAATATTGACCGATACGTTTGATTGATGGCCTGTTTATACAGATATTACATGTAGAGATACATCCCGTGAGAAAGGGTTAATGCTTCCGCCGATAACAGAGTTTTCCGATCTTCACGAGAGAGACTTTGAGGCGCACGGAGAACGAGAAACACCGAGGAAACACACGCGTATGTGACGTGTTTGAAAAAAAAAAAAAAAAAAAAAAGAAGTGCTAACCTGTCGATAATTATCAATAACAAGGAGGGGGATAGAGCTGTGAGTGTGTTTACCTCTCGCTTTTAAAGCAAAGTTCTTTACAAATGTGTGTGTGTGTGTGTGTCGCTTTTTTCGTGTGTGTCTTCGGTGTGTCTCAATAATGAACTAAAAATATCACGCGCTTAGTCAATGCTGAAATAACAGGCGAATGAAATACATCGATATGACGTGTATTGTGATCAATATCACGCTGTCCCCCGTGGCTGTATAATTTTCCTGCACGACCGCCCTATAAATGGCGCGTATTAGATTCGTGTCTATTGACGAGAGCGCGCCAAAGGGGGCGAGGGGAAGGAGATATCGGTCTC